AATGCGGATAGGAAATCTTTGTTTGGAAATTCGATGCAATTCTTTACGAGGCATTCATACATAATTTTTTCGTTTGTTACAAATTGTAAAAAAGCATTACGTCCAAGGTTTTTTAAGTATTTCACGCATAATAATGCGATCTTGATGCCTTGTAATATCGAATGAAAGAAAAAAAAATTACGCAATCAAATTTTTTTAAATGGTCCGAATTTTCGAAATACCTAATTATACCTGTATATTATCAGCTTCGTTGTCAGCATGTAACTCACGCAAGTATTTTGAGTTGTCGTAGAAAAATTTTAAATAATGATTAAAGCTCAATTATTAACCATAATGAAAACGAAACGGCTACTTTATTTGATAATAAACGACTCGCGAAGGATGACCGCGTATAACCAGTGTGATAGATTTTTACACGCGTGATACGATGTAATGCGTATAGTGATATGTTACTCAATAACATATTTCAGCAGCCGAAATAGCTCAGTTGGGAGAGCGTTAGACTGAAGATCTAAATGTCCCCGGTTCAATCCCGGGTTTCGGCAGAGGTATCACTTTTTTTATCTTTCTCTCAATTTTTAACATGCTAGCAGATTACAAAGAAATTAGTGAAAAATTGTTAAGGTAGCCAAGGTGTCTAGCGGTTGAGAATAAAAAATGCAGCTCGCAGACTTAAATCGATGAATCGGTCAAATTAATTCAGTGCGCGGCATCAGAACTCGATTAACTTTTGATTGCGGGCGTGAACGTGAGGTACAAGCGTAACGCTCGCTCGACTGGTGAATGTGCGAGTGCTCCGAAAGCCGCGGGCGTCCGCACGCTATATAAGCTAATCGACATTTCTCGCACGTCGCTAAAATGCAAAGCCTCGTGCGATTTCTCCTCGCGGCGACCCTGTCGCGCTCATATACATACATACATCTACATGCTCGTCCTCAGAATAGAATGAACTCTCTTTCTCTTATCCGTATGTATATATACAGCCTAACCTTTATATATATACACACGTATACACGCGCGCGCACGCACACACGATATACACACAGCTGTTCGATCGAGATCATCGCGTGCCCGAGCGCAGCTCGATCAGTGCCGAGGTCAGCCTGATAAGCCGAGCTCGCGTTTCTGCGGACGTTCAAACTTTTCGAACTTACTACAGCGAATTTTCGTGCCCATCCTAATTGCTTCAATGATTTCGATAGGCGATTACTTGGCGATTACTTGGCTATTTCCAGAAATTCCACACGGAATCTTTCTTTTTCTCCGACTATCGAGCACTGACAGAATAACACGAAATAACATAATGAGACGCTGCAAACAGTTTCAGAAAAATTATTTATAAAACTGGATCAATAAGTTCGAAAGACAATGCAATGATGAGATACTTGATCGTTACAAAAAATATTCAGCTACCAAAATCCGGTATGGAACCGGAGAAATTTGGATCTTCAGTCTAACGCTTCCCGAAGTGAGCTATTTCGGCTGAGGAAAAATTCTCAGCAATCAACTGTCAATACTAAAAAATTAATTTTTCTACATTTGAAGCTTTCTAACTATCGTATTTTGGATGTTTATGTAAGTTTCTCACTGTGACTATACTTAACACGGCACGATTAGCGAAATTATAGAAGCAAGATACTGTGCTACGTCTTGTTAACATAATATATTACAAATCCTGATAAAACGCATTTCCATAGTCAACGTTAGTCAACTGAGTTTCGCGTTGTTCTTAAAATTTGCAAAAATATTTTTCGGAAATTGACTTTTGATCTCATGATAATCTTCAAGTATTACTACTCGATTAAAAAATAGCTGAAAGTAATTTGTATCGAAACATAGGAAGAATTTAAATGATTGCACCTGCATTTATTACTTTATCTATTTAGCATTCAGCCTAAATAACGTTCTAATAGACTGCAATTAACTTGGAGTGGACTTTCATATGATAAGAAATAAGGGCTATTAATGCAACTGTTTTATAACTATTCGTTGTAATATTATGATTTTCTCTTGTACACGCAAAACAACGTTATTACAAAATTAATTTGGTATCAATTTGAAAAAGTCATAAATAAATTGTGCAATTGACGTCAGTTGTGAGTACACATTTGAAAGCTGCTGCAGCAAATAGTATAGAAGTTGAGTTGGCAGGTGATCGATGAATACACCATAAAAAAGAGGCGATGTCGCAATAAAAGCATATTTGCTGTATAAAGCTCTCGGTTTTGAAAGGCGGTGAGCGCTAAACAATGTACGCATGCTATATAGGTCAGTTCATTCTCGGTAAGGAGATAAAACAGCGAGTGCGAACAAAAATAGAGACTTGTGCGTGCCATAAACAATTACCAGCACTGAGAGCGTAAGCCTTAAGCGGCATGCTACTTATACGTAACCGCGCTCTGTGCAGATAAAAAAAGAGAACGGGCTAAAAAATATGAGAGAGAGAAAGAGGGAGAGAGGGAGGGAGAGAGAATGCACGCTATATTTATGCAAAATACGGTTAACTTGCCTTGAACGAATTAGCGACGTAACGCAAAACAAGCGACGATTACCGACAGCTCGAAAAATAATACTTTTGACGTTGCAGTGCGATTTACGCGCGCACTCGCGTCTTTTACCGATTGTCTATTTCCTCGCATTGGCATTTTAAATGAGCTCAAATATATTTTGAGAGCTCTCGCATTCTTTTGTAAGCTTATCGCGTCAAAGGTTTCTTCGTCGCTATTTATTCAAATGACGCTTCGTGACAATGTCCACGCACCTCGTCAATAGCATTTGTCTTTTCACATCTTTTTCTTATTACACTTCGACGTGATCACTCCTAGAAACTCACTTTAACTCATTTTAAATATTTACGTAAGTGACTAGAAGTCAAATAAGCTTCAACTATTTCTTATGTTATTGGCGTATAAACACTGACGAATATAAACGTGCTGAATAAAGAACATCAGTTGTTAAAAAAAAATTTAAAACTATTGTTATTATTCAGACGAATGAAGAGTGCGCACAAAAAGTACTAGTAAAATTCTTACTTAAATAGGAAAGTTACATTGTGCGCTGTAATAAATGTTATAAATAGAAATGTTAAAACTGCTTATCCAAGGATCAACAGAACTAGCTGAATAATTACAACATTGTACTTTTAAATATTCTTAAAATAGATCAAGTTTCCAACTGATAATCAAATTTATTAATTTTTCATGAAAAAATTTTACGCGCGTACCAAAGCAAAGGTATGTGTTCACCTCTTAAACAAGTGCTTGTAACTTTTATATACCTTTGCATATATACAGTGATATTATAATAATATACAATTGCTGTACAGTTAAAATATGATAAATTAAAGAAACAATTTTATTACTCAATAATTCGTGAACCGATCCATCTTTATTATAGTCCAACTAATGTCGTCAAGCAACAAGCACCTCTTGTTTATATTCGGTGATATTCAGTAATATAATACACTACATACATAAAAAAATTCGAATTTTTGAAACGTTTACCGTACATTAATATTATTTGATAAATAAATATCCAATTACGTTAATATTCGTCGATAAATTCAAATATAATATCGGAACCGGTTGTTAGATGTTTAGCTATAAGGTAATGAGTAGTGTACCGAATTAGTTTCTCTTAGTTCCTTTTCAAATAAATAGAATCATAATTAACATAGTGGTCTATGATTTTGAACTTTTCCCAGGATCTATCTCTATATCAATAAATATGTTTTTTTAACTATTTTTCAACTTTTTTCAATTGTTTTGTCAACTGTTCATCTCTCACCATTTGAAGAATTTGTTTGCATTTATAAATTAAATATCAAAAAAATTTTCAAATAAATTGACGATAATGGATGCCCCGAAATCAATTCACAGTATTTTATATAAAATATTAATTAGTAATTTTGTTTATTCTTGATGATGTTTATTCAGAGTTAAACTCTACAATAAAGAAATTCAATAAATTTACATGTCCTGTAAATAAATTTCATTGGAGTGAATTATGATAAATTTGTCGTATTATTTTAAGGTTAGGCGGTTGAGAGAATAGTCTTTTCAGTACCTACTCATTGTGTTACTTATTCGTTTAATTCATTTAATATAAATGGACATAAAATGCCTCGGTTTATTATTTAACGTCAATTTACTCATAACAGAGTTTTATATTCAAAACTAAACTTCAGAACTGAACAGAATCAATTTTATTCGCGAATAAAATTACTTCATTCCATAGCCTATCATTTTTTTATATAGGAAATAAAATATAGAAATCAAGTTTTTAAATAGGATCAGGTGAGTTTCGAACGTTCTTATCTTATTTTTTATTTCTTATTGTTATGTTGATTTACATATTTAACATAAACTACTTTTTTCAAAGGTAGATTTTTCATTTTTTTTATAAAATACATATCACAGCGAAAAAATATGTATTAGCTGTAAAGCAGTTCCGTTTTTAAATTCATGACTTATCGTATCGATATCTGCAACAAATAATGATACAGTTCTTTGCAAGTGTGCGGGTCAAATTATTATGAAACGTTTATCCAATTTTTTTAATAAAGATTACGACATTACAACACTTATTTCAAATTCACGCATTCAAAAACCAAAATATCGATTAGTAAAACATAATAATTAGAGCAATTTCAAAGAATAACCTCTTGTTTTTACGAAACTATTTACTCGCTGTTAGTTTTATAAAATAAGTGTTAAAACAACGAAAAATTAAATTTTTATTATTAAAATTTAAAATCAAAACCACTTGTACACGGTTCTTTATCGTCACATAACGGTATATCATATGACCATATTTCAAGTAATAAGACCATGAACTTTATACTTCAACATGACTCCATCACTTTTTGATAAGGGGAATAAATAAAAATAAATAAACTGATAATTCATCAATGTTTTAACTAAATAACGCAAAAAAACATATTCTATTCAAATGTTTCATAGTATATTTTTTAAACGTCAAGGCTTTAAATAAGTACTTACATTTTCGAAATATTTTCTTTACATTCTTGACTAAGTTCTATTACAGATGTTTCTGGATAAGTATGAACATTCATTTCATTGGTAATTGCACCTGCACACAAAATAAGTATTTCTTGCAAAAACGATTGAATAAAATATAATATAAACAATAATTGAAATCAAAATGAAAAATATATTTTTCATTGCCGAAACCCGGGATTGAACCGGGGACATTTAGATCTTCAGTCTAACGCTCTCCCAACTGAGCTATTTCGGCTGATAACAACACTGATTTTCAAGATGTTCAAAAGGAAATAATGCATAGAAAACTACAATTTTTTACCATAAAAACATACATGGTTAATAATCATCTTAAAATTGACAATAAAACTAATAATTTATATAAAATAAAAATTAATCCATAAATAACTAGTTTCCTACTTTATCGGTATATATCGGTCTATTAAATTTCTATCAATCAATAACAAAATTTTTTATAAAGTTAATAAGTTTATAATTAGTTTTAATCATTTTATTGATGATATTGCTAAGCTTATATACAAATGTTAAAATGGCATTAATACTCATATGCTCGTTGAACATATTATCGAATATGTAAATTTGAAGCTGAATTTATACTTGTATAACAGATGACAAAAACTTATTAATCTGACGTGTAAATATTGCAAATCTTCAATAAATGTTCATTTTTAATAAAATAACACAATATTCAAAGTTAATAACAATCTTAATTTTCACAAAAATAATGATGATTAATAGATAAAATAATAAATTTTTCGAATAAATAAAACATATTGATTAAAATTTGTTTATACTTATGATGTGTATTATTTCACGTTTTATTATATTTAATATTTATCAGTTTCTATTGTTCAACCGTCATGTTGCAATTTTCGTAATAAATGATGATATACGATAAAAACTGAATGAATCATGATTGTAAAAACATAATGCATTGAACAATATTTTAATTAGTGAAAAATTTATACTTTAGTGTATATTGAATGATTAGCGTTGAGTAAACGATTTCAATGCAAATTCTAACCAACTTTAAAATTAGGGCTAAGGGAGGCAAATATTTTAACTCGAACGATGTTATGTCATTGAATATATTCCGTTAATAAAAAAAATTCACAGAAAATACAAATTAAATCGAAAGTCAGGAGTCAAGAGAAGAAGCAAAAACGTCTCAACTTGAGTAATAGTTTTGTATCTTCGTATTTACTGTGGTTCGTGTTTAAGAAGAAATATATTTAAAAAGATAGTGCTTCGGTGTAAACGTCTTATGAGACAAAAATCTACCCGGATTAGTTAATTAATGTAATATTGTATGAATATGAAGTAATCTATTAAATGTATAAGTAATATAAGATATTAGAAGAATTACCTTCTAATCTTCAATGGAACAACCGTAAATTCAAATATTTCTTACCGTCAGTTTGGGTTTTCTTTTTTCCTACAACGTAATTAATGTTGCTCCTCGTTGCTTCCTGACGCCTCCATTCGTGAATTTCTTCCCTTAGTGTTAATACATTGTTCACTTGGTCTTGATCCGAGAGATTCGTCGATTCTGTAGACGAATGATCTATTTTGACTGTCTTAATAACTTTATTGCTACTATCATTTGCTCTAGATGGAAATGATCTCCTTTTCGATAAACAGGGCATCACACTTGGACGAGTGTTATCCTGTGGAGTGCATTGTTTCCACAAAGCAAGTACTTTCTTGCCGTGTGGTTTATCACCACATTTGAATGGTGGATGGCCTGACATTTTTTTATATTATGATCTAGAAAGAAGAAACAAAAACAATTTCTCATTGTAAAATACTATTATAAAAAACGGATTATGAGTACAGTTTTGGAGAAATTATAAACGTTTATAGTAAATGGTGTAAAAACATACCCCACGATCACCCTCCACGATATCATGTAAAACATCTGCCGGTTTGTTTTGATTCAAGAACACCATTGAAAATACGTACAAATGCTCTTTCCCTCCAAATTCTACTTTCAGTTTCTTAACCTATACATTATGTCTAAATGTTGTTTCACTATTAATCTCAAAAAATAATAGAACTAAAGTATTCAGAATTTAAGTAATATAAAAACCTATAATATAAATTCAGTATTTCAACACAATAATCCAATGTATTTATTTTGCTCTTTTGAAGATTTACAAACATGAAATCTGTCATTTACATTATATAAACTTGCACTTTTGTATCTTATATTTAAAAAGAATACACATAAACTTGAATAACTATATAAACGTAGTTAAATTGTTTTTATTTTCGAAGAAATTCGCAAACACACGAAGATCCGAACGTTCAAATTTCAAGACGGTAATAACAGGTGTTCGAATTTTTTCTCTCAGGCGAGTTACAACTGTTTGGAATAATTTTGTGCGTCTTTTTGAACGCCTGATGAGCCTGATTCGTTTGCGCGCGTGAGAATTAACTTTGAAATACTTGATTACTAATTGATATTATTTTATTATTCTATAATATATAATAAATTATTGATAAAAATCATTTTAGATAAAATTAGAACTTAAAATAACTTGATTTTCATTGTACATTATCATATTCAATAACTTGATAATATAAATATATGTGGCACCCACATATATGCTGAATGATCCGAATGAAGTGCCTCTCAAAACATGTTGCCAACCATATAGTTATTGACATCATTGCTACCAATTTAATAAATTTAAAAATATCTGTTTTGTATTTAGTCATTTTATTCATTTAGTGTAAACAACGAAAATAGACCTTTTATAGTCGTTGGTATAAGTTAAGCAGTCCGCTGATCAGATGATAAAAAGATATTATTTTTAATTTAGCATTTAGCATTTAAAATGGTAGTAGACGACCAAATAAACAGTGATTTTTGGCTTGATTTTAATAAAGTTATCAAACAAACTATTGTGCCTCGTTTCTCAGGTAACTCAGTGCGACCATGTGTAGAAGAAGATTATAAAGACTACAAAAATACATTGTCATCAAATCTTGATAATGTTATGTCATTGTTAAGTATTATATTGAAAAATAAAAATCAATTGACAGTAGAAAATAATACGCAATTAGTGACGGTCATAACAATTATTGGAGAACAAAGTAGTAAAAATGTGTGGAATACAAGTGAAACAGTAGAAGTTTCCAAATTGTTATCTTTACTTGTATGCAAAATTTTTGAAAAAGATAATATTTCGAAAGTATTCGATGATAACATTTTCCTGGCTGTGGTAATGTCTTTAAGACCAAAACTGCTCAAAGATACATGGAAGTCTTACCCAGGTGCTGTTGTCTGCTACAAATGGCTTCTGCAGATAATTGAAAAACCATTTTTGAAAAGACACGTAGCAGAAGTTTTGCCTACTGCACTAGTAATTTTTGATGATTATGTGCAAGAAAATCAAATGATAGGTCTAGAATGTATCGGTATAATAATAGATCACTGTCAAAAAAGCAAAAGCTTAAAAAATTGTAATTATGACGAAGTGATTTATCAAGCCCTTAAAAAGGCTACTTCTAACATAGAAACTAATATGATCATCACTTTGTACACACAAATTGCAAAATTACTTGAAAATATTTGTTACTGTGAAGGTAACATAAATATGTTTGAATGGAATAAAAAGGATGATATTTTATATATTCTCTTTAGTCAAATGGAACTGCAATCTGATATAGATTGCCGTTATGCTTATATAGTGAGTTTGAGAGAACTTTTGAATCACAGTAGTATTGGTAAATGGTCCGAACATTTAACTAGAATATTGAGTGAATATTGTGAAGACAACAGAAACTTGAAAATCACAAGTGCATCACTTGATCTTGTAAAAGCATTTTTATCGATCTATCAACCCAAAGGAATTTATTTCTACACATCAATATATTGTTCTTTATTAAAGCTTTGCTGCAATCATAAAAACTCTGGTGAAGGAAGTAAAGAAATTATGGAAAAAACAAAGCAGTGTATCAGTTTATTAAACAAATTGTGCCCTAATCTTAGTAAAGAAATAATGGAAAATGATGTAATCAAATCTATTATTAATGGAAAATAAATTGAATCGCTAAAATTTATATTATTGTATATACTTTTTACATTAAAATTCATGATAAAAATTCTTGTCGTCATTCTGTATAAACTCAGTGACCTACACTTGCAGCAACGGCGCAACAGTATCCTATTTCAAAACTTGTATTATAAACAATACTGCTACGATTTTGAGGTTAGAATTAGAAGCTAGCGCCGTGAAGGTAGTCGCGAATCAGCTGCGTGGGTAAGAAAACAAAAAAAGCAGGTGAAACAGTCAGCTGTGACCAATCAGGTGGTTTGTTGTATTTAAAAAGTTGCAATATAAACAAATGCGGTGCTGCAGTAGTTTGGTGAAGAGATGACACGCGCGTTTTGTCACGAAGACGCTTTGAGCGTCGGTTTCGATAGAAAAAAGTGAAGCTTGAAGGAAGGGGCGCCAGGCGCGCGGCTCAGGGGGCCAGTATTTTTTTTCGTTTTACGGTCGAGAGCCTTTTCGTGCGCTTTTTTTTGTTTTGGCCTCCCCTTTTTGTTTCGTATAGAATATACTTTAAATAATAAACCGATTCAGCGTCCGTCGGAGAAGATGGCGGCGTCGGAATCTAAGCCGGATGAATCTCCAGGAACAACGAAAATCGAAGATTTGCATCGATGCACCGAAATGCCAGACAAGCGTCCTAACGAATGTAACACCTACAACGGTCTCCGCGTCTTTTTCTACCTGCTCAGCATCGCTATTTTCGCTGCGACCCTCATCACAGGTTAGTTCATCATCGCTTACCCTTATACTATTGTAGCTTCACATGTTTCAATAAACTGCAATTTTTGGCTCTCGCTTTTTATCCTCCTGTAATGATAAAAAAAATCAACTTACCTCTTATTTTTGGTTACTTATACGATGAAACTGATAAATTTTTTCAAATGTTTATATATTATTTTAGATTATTTGAATATTATAAATATACTTGACTAATTTCTACAAATTATTTACGAGGATTTTATAATAAATAATTGTTTATCTTACGTCAAAAATACTTCGTCGTAGTTACTTTTGTGACGATTCAACATTGGATCAATGGACATAAATCATGGTCTATCTATACACTTTGTTTGGCTGTTGTGCCATCATCCTTTTTGCAAATGTTAAGTTTAAGATGGTATCAAAGTAATGGAGAGTTAAAGTTTCATCAATGGATTTCACATATATTTCAATTTGCTGTGATACATAGGTAAAAATTTCATTTAAAAAACAATAATTCCAATATAGTTTTTAATTTTAATTTATTTTAATTTTTATTTGACAGATTCAGTACTTTACTTTATTCAGTTTTCAAATCAATCAAAACCAAAATGAATGTAGAAGAGAAAGATAGACAATTGAGATTGGAAATTGATGCTTTTACACTGAATCTATTTACAACCTTGTTAATATCAGTTCCTCAAATTATTCTACAAGTTTATATCATGGCCATATTACAATACTTATCATTTTGGACAAGTAAGTGACTCATGATCTTATCATTTACTAAAAATAAAATATTATAAATTAACGGAATCATTTGTCATATAATAATATTTAGCAGGGCTATATGAAAACAAAAGAAAATCAAGTTCATAAATTTTATATATTTTTGAAAGTAATTTAACTGGTATTACCCGAAAATATTTTTCCGCGATTAAATCGTTAGTTATACCTTGAGAACTTGTATTTTCTCTTGCATTACTCACATAACTTAAAAAATACTGTAAATTATTTTCTCTTATAAAATAATTGGAATCGTCACTCAATGATTCGAATTTTAAAATAAAATTATAATTAATAGAACATGGTTGACAATAATCGAAAAATGGAACCCAATGTTCGTCAAAATGCTTTTCTTTGGCTATGAAACGCAAAAACTCTGTAAATGATGGTTCTAGATTGGTAAGATTTGATTGTTTAACTCGATATCTACGTGTGATGTATTGTCCATAACGTGTATAATAATATTCTCGACTTTGCATGTGTTCCAATTTGTCTCTATAAGCTGATAAAAGTCTTTCGAATGGATGCCGGACTATTATAAATTTTATAGTGCTTTGTATTTGCTGAAAACATTACGAACTTAATTAGTATTTTTATGCTTTACAATATCTTTAATAATGCAACAAAAGTTTGTTTTCATAAGCTATTTTTAAAATGCGGCTTACTTTAATTTTTTCTTCATCTTTTTTCAAGAATTGGAATTTCTGTTTAACGATGTAATTATAATCTAAATTATTATTATTTATTAGATGAAAATCTGGTGTTGTGAGTCCACTAAGCGCTGCAAAATTTTTCATCCACATAGAGCTAGCAGATTTGTAAATTGGGCACCACGTTAAATTATGTTTTCTACAAGCACGTTTTGAATAATTTTTTATTAACTCCGCTTTATTTTTTTGGAAGTAAAATCGTTTGTAAACAATACTTACACATCGATGATTAAATTTGCGATCGCTTTGTGCAGTGAAGAGTTATTTTGAGTTTTTATGTACGTACAAAATAATTGTACTCTATTTTTTCTATTTTTAAATTCGTGATTCAAATGTAAAAGTAATTTTTTGGGTGGCTCAGCTATTTTTCTGTTCCGTTTCTTATTTTCAATCTCATTATGATTTATTTTCATCACTTGCATTTTATGAGCAATATATTTATGCTTCTTAACTGGTAGATTTTGTATCACGAATAAACAAATCACTCCAAAACATAATATCAAAAGTAAAAGCTTCAAATGATTCTGTGAAAAACCAAATTAAAGCATTAAAACCAAATCGAAATAGTGATGTGTGGCTAAATAGAAATTTATCGTATTCACAGGAAACGCGAACGTCTTTGATAAATGTTTATCTAAATTGTCTCTTGACTGAACTGTCATACTTATTTCAATTTTCATTATGATCTGAATACTTGATTAAAGTTTAAAAGCTATGTAAATAAATAAATTAAATTGAACTTACACTCATATTCTAATATATCAATAAACTTTCTCTGCGTTATTAGTGATTTTGGTTTGTTAAGAGTGTTGAAAAGTAAATTTTCCATAACAGCACAGCAAAACTCACATCTAGATGGGAACCCTTTGAGACGTTAGTTTAATTCGAAATCATTACTATTTTTAATTGCGTTGTATTAATACGCAGCTTTTACAACTACTTGCGTAGAAAAGAGTGTTGGCAGTTTGTCTTCTGTGGGAAGACTGAAGCTCCTGATATGTATAGAAAGACACGATAATTCAAAACATGATAGTACGCTATACTGACATTTCCATAAAGAACTACAATTTTGTTCCGAAAATAAAACTTTGTTCTAAATCGCATAAAAATATAAGATAGAATACTCCATTGAGTATTCCTCTGAATTTCATTTTTATATAACCATATTGTAATAACATTGACTTATTGTCTCAATATGTTAAACAGATTGTAATTAAACTTGGAGTAATAAAAAAAGCAAACAAACAAACAAAATTACAAGTCAGGCAGCAAAATAAAACAAGATAAATATACAATAATAAAAAAAAAATATTATTGCTTAACGTCACATAAAGAAAAAACTTGAAAAATTATCGCACTGCAATTTACTTCATTCACTGCATTGATTAGCTGTAGTACGACATAGTTCAATGTATTTGTACATTCGTGTGACGTGCACTATCAACGTCCTGTGAAATCGAATACGTTCTATGTGATCCCGTGATGTTCACAGGTGCATCGGTGATTACATCCCTTTGTTCGGTCACATGGGCGCTAAGCGCTTATGCACTGCTCACGAACAGAGCTAATCAGGATAAGTCTCAATTTACCTGGTCGTCCATGATGATACAAGGATTCTGGAGAGGAGGAATGCTCGCCGCCAGGATCGCCGCTCTGGTCTTAGCTGCCATATGTTTCAAGACTTGGATACTCGTTACTTTTGGTACATTTATCTTTTCAGTTCGCTAATCACTACTCATTACTATCACATGAATTATTATCTCATGAAATGTTCAGTTTTGAATCACATTTGTAATTAATATTTTAGGAATTCATACTTTAGGAGTGACGGTGTGGATTATTCAACAACCTCCGAACTTCTGTATATCAACATTCGAAGAGTTAGCGTTCAAATGCTTAATAGGCGTCGTTTACTTTTTCGATTTCTTCAGATTGACAGACAATCGAATTCGTTACAACGTTTGCGTCTTTTATTCTGTGATGATTCTGCAGAATGCTACATTCTATATTGTCTACCTCGTGTCCTTCAAACATCTTTTTCCGGCCAACGTACTAATAGTATCGACGGTCTTGATCCTTGGAGGTACCTTCGTTGGCTCAGCGAGTATGCTTATGCATTTGTGCATGTTTCAAAACGTCAAAACCATTAAACTTTGCAAGCGAGCTTGCGCTGATCCCGAATTATCATTAAAAGTGTCGCCGAGTAAGAGTATCAGGTATTTTAGAGTTCAATATTGCATTTTATTCTTTATAATGGTCAAGTCAATTACAATCAAAAAATTATTTGAACATTACTAAAAATTTGTCAACAGTAGATCTCCGAAAAAGCTTAACAATCATAATGCTGCAAACGACTCTGTGGAAAGTATCGTTCCGGATATAACAGCAGACAAAACATCTCTTTTGACCAATATCGTTCAAAATACAGAGTCAATGGAGAAAGGAATTTTGAACACAAGCTTCATGAAAAATGACGAGACCAATGTTACCGTTCAAGTAGTCGTTGAGGACAACAAGGTAACGAACGTTGACGTGTCAATCGAAAAATTACAGAATCAATCTACGGTGGACAAGGATTCGTGTAGTATCGACATATCGATCGAAAAACTTGATTCTATCATGAATACAAATACAGATTCTCTTCACCGACAGAAACGTCGTGGTATTTGCTCGGAAGTGGAATTGGATTTGAAGCCGGATGAAATGGTAATTATAGTATATTACATCTGACATTTTAATTAATTTACCTTTCTCAAACGTAATTCTTACGTTTTACAGTGTACCTTTGAGTTGGAAACGCAATTATGCTCGCAAAAGCGTCGTGGTATATGTTCATTGACCCAGCTTGGTCTCGAGCTGATTACCGACGAAGATAATTACGTAGAGAAAAGCTTTTCTTCGCTCGATAAGCTTAAGTCAAATTCAGAACTTCCTATCGATATTCCGGACAAGAGTATAGATACTGGGATTCTTGATTTACCAATTAAGAGTCTCATCACGGACAACAACTGTGATCTTATAATTCCTGAAAGCATCCTTGTTCGTGGTAGACTAAGTACCCCAGCAATATCTGAAAGTGATGATACTGCAGTCACAGCTCAGGTACTGTAAGCACTTGATCGAATCTAACAAAATCACTCCCAGTATTTTATAAAACATATTCTTAATCGTATTATTAAAATAGTTATCAGACAAATCGGAAGAATCGCAGAAGCAGCTAGAAGAAGAGACTATGAGCCATGTAACATCAATTCACGATTACGAAAATCTTTGTCCTCTAGGAGTGGCGAGACCGCCTTGGTTTATTCGAAGCTGGCAAGGCTATACGGACATTGAAACTTATATACACGACGATAGCGTTGTTAGGGACAGGCGAAGAGATACGTTAACGAGTACTGCCACCGGAACGACCGCCAGTTCCGACTTTTCCGATGCTACTTACGCTAGTTTGAAGAAAATTGTGAAGAGATCAAGGCAAGATGATTACCTTGATACGTTGATCTATGATTTAGTGGACTGGGAATCATTAAGTAATAAAGCGCTTGTTGAGGAATCTTCAACGATGACTTCTGAATCCACCGATGACTCTCACGTAATTTATATTCCGTTATATTAATAGCATTGATATTTTAATCATTAATTTATTACACGAATAAACATGTGAAAATTTTACAGAGTCAAGATCAGACGAATTTGTTCTGTGCAAAACCAATAGTCATTGATGAAAAAGGTGGTATGTTGGCTCTCGATACGATCCTCGAGGAACGTGAGGATCACAGTAGCTTTCCAGAGCTTCGAATGGCCTTCAATAACTCGAGCAATACTTGTTCGGTGAGTTCGCTCGTGGCGACTATTGACGAGATTCGAAAGTGCACAGCCGAAAATTCACCGAGGCATGTGTATCACAGAACCGAATCTCAATGGGAAGATCTTGAACAAAAACAAGCTTTGTTGATGAAACAAGCTCGACTCACCAAAGTTCTATTTGCCAACGACTACAGTAACGTCACGTTTACTTATTCCGATCCCTGGGCTGGTTCTCTCGTTTCTGATCGGAATAACGACAAACTTAACTTCATCCGTGAAATGACTAAGTACTGCTTGAAAGATTCGAGTGGCACAACGCCGTTAATCAATGCGATACTGTCGGATTCACCTATTCTAAACCCAAAAGCGGATACACAGAACTGCGTAAGTCATGAAGTTATCGAAGAAGATAATGTTTATGTTGATATGAATGCTCTTGGTGCTCAGGTATTTATCTTAATTATTAAAAACTTTTTTTTAATATGTATAAGTGAGTAACTTTGCATTAATTTACAGAAATGTAGTAGTGAAAGTCATGCAAATCAAACAAATAGTTCACAAGAAACGAAAAAGGATGTTTTAACACAAGTAAATTTAGATATGAAAAATAATATGGATAACGAGGTAACAGAAAAGAAAGTCGCATTTACACTCACAACAGAAATCATAAACGACGCAATTGAGACATGCTCGGAAAAATCGGATACATCATCCAATAAAAATTCTGATACAACAAAAACTCCTTTTAGTATCGATAAGCGACGACGAGCAATCAATCGTCCTCGGCGAAAATTTTCAATACTGCGAGAACGTTTTGAACCTAAATTAAATGATCAGTTAGTGAGTATGGTCGCTCCTCCTCTACACAATAAAATTAATTCAAATAGGCAGCAGTTAAATTCTTTGAACAAGAGAATTTCCGTTATCTTTAATGATCAAGACGTCTTTGATTCATCTCTTAATTATGACAAACAAAATTTAACTGCAAAATCTTCGCCATCTGTTGTAGATAGTAAAAACAAACTTTCCGATACTTTTAAGGAAAAACGAAGTATTTTCTTGAAACAAGTTTTATCACCCCCTAGATTTCAGGGCTGGGGTAGAAAAAGAACATTCAGTCCAAATGCTAAAATTATCTCTAAGGCTCGATAATCAACACCTTCTATGTAAGTTATACTTCATTGTACGCACAACTTACAAATGCCTTTTAAATGCGTTAAAAAAGATTTGTTTATTACAACGTCTACAGTCACTCAATATTAATAAAACCATTTCTGTAGTACTTTGTTCTACAGATAATCGTATGGGCTTCCATAAGTTTTGGTTGTGATCGCGTTATGTTTTTAAACATAAACTTTATTGTACATTGAGTATTTTTTTCATACTATGAATATTTTTATTATCTAAGTTATAAGTTTTGTAGAAAAGTTTATCGATATAAGTTTGCAAAAATTTAATGACAACGAAGTAGTTTTATACGTTTTATTCCTTATAATCAATTTATTTAGATATGCACTAACTCGAGATAATTTCAAAATATTTGTTCATTTTCATGAATACTTTTTCAAATTAGAAAGAAACTAAAAGTATTACAAATGTATTTTCAAACTGTTATTATATCGACTTTGCGGCCAGTCTATTTCACCAATGTTAAGTGGCACTATTTCAAACTTGTGTAAATAACTATTATTTAGCTATTTTTATAGTGCTTAAAACTCTGCAAACTTATTACTAATTTGTGCATTCATTATTTTGATGAAAAATTCACATAAGGTTTCTTATTCAGTATTTTAATATTCTATTAGAATATTCACGTTGAGCTTGAGACTATATTAAACTTTGATGGTTTTCTTCATAAATATTCGAATATTTTTGTATTCTTGTAAGAAAGTTCGTTTCAATTTTTTAATAAATATCAAAATGAATAAACATGTAAATATATTACAATAGAAATACAATTTTATACAAAATTGTACAATGTCTTATTACTGTCTATTATGTTTCCCAAGTAATTCATCAGTACGGATATAAAATAGGAATTATAAAAGTCACGACAATAAATCATACGTAAACGTAATATTTTATTAAAGAGATCCCTAGGATCATAAGTTATTTTAGCGATACATGTTACAGATCACATAAAATAATATTTCACTTTTTTTACATTAAAAGTCTTCTTAATGTCTATTAACTTCGATTTATCATCGAAATGAAAAGATATAATTTACGACCAATTTGTTTATATATAATCATAACCTTTATAATATATTCTTATATATATTTATATTTAATATGTTATATACTACATTTTATAAACTAATTTAAAATGACAAAATTTTTTGTGAGTTTTTTTCTCTTTACATAAAAAGGTTAGCTAGTAAAATAAACATTATTTTTAGAATTAATAATTTTAAAAATGTATAAACCATTACTTGTAATAAAAGCTTATTCTAAAATTTCTCTTATGTAGACCTTAAAACAATTCAGTAAAAATTAGGCAGTGTAGATAAATTGATTCCTCATATTCTCCTGAATAATATTTGAATCTCCACGTCATTTATGTCATTAGTTCGTTATCTATCATGATTTGTAAAATATTTCTATTTCATATACTTTTTTCAAATACACATAATGACTAGTTTATGTTTAATGTAAAAACAAAAAATTTGAAATGATTTAATATAATACCTACAGAAAATGTATAAAAAACATACGCAATTATTAAATTTTTCACTTAAGTACATACTCATATTTACAAAATTGTTTTTTTTGTTGTACATCCCCGAGATAAAATTTTCAAATTAAAATCTTCAAGTTTTGATTTTTATTATCATTCAAAGTATTAGCTGTATAAATCTTACTTTCTTAAATGTTCTCGATCTAATACTTAATGTATTAAGTATATTTTTTTTTTACTGTATGTATTTGCAATTTAACGCTTATTATTCATTTATTAAAACCTTAACAGTGATTAACAGTATTTTAAGATATAATACTTAATATGAACTCTAGACATATATCAAGTAATTATTACTTTCTCAGATTGTCAAAATTAATGTCAGTTATTGTAGCTATTGACAATTACAACATATTTGTATGAATTCACCATAAATTTCCAAATGACAATGAAATATCTGCTGTCATCCTAATTAAATGTTTGGCGATGTTTAAATTAAAGAAATTACAAATTTCTAAATAGTTTTTGCAGTTTGTAGAACACATGTTTCAGCATTTGGTATTCAATACATGTCGTGTATCTTTTCTATTTCAATTAATTTGAAAATAAATGTCTGCTTATATACAATTTTTAATAATTTATGCACAACTTTTAACGTAAATATTGGGAAGACTTTAGAAAAGCCATTTCAATTTCTATACAGTAACAATTAAAATAGGTATACCTATCAATTGTTTGGGATACCAAAGATATTACTGAATACATTAGTATTTTCGTATCTTGATTTAAATTGAATAATAATGCTGCCAATGCTAACTAATAATTTACCAACAATTTTAAAGCTGCCAATTGAGATAACGAGTTCAAGAGCACATCGATGATTTGATCGAAAGCCGTAGTTCATGAAACTTCCAAATCGTTCTTATATTGGTGTGCTTTGATTTGCCTTTTCTCCAAAATTGATAATCCATTCTATGTGACAAATTGTAGGTAAACTTCGCATGTTATTGCATATACGAGTGGCCAAAGGAATTTTTCGCAATTCTTGGGCAATTCTATTCAATGATTTGCCTTTAGTTTCAGGATAGATTAAGAATACATATAGTATTGCAATAAGGCACATGAAACTATAGAATAAATATGTGCCTGCTAAAGTCATAGCTCCTAAAACATAATATAATACACATATAAAACATGTTCATTTTAATTCGACTTGGAAAATATTTCCATATGAAGCAAAAAAAATGTCAGATTTTTAGCTTAGAGCTGTCAATTTACTTGTATTGTACTTATTTTCACATAAACAAGTATAGAAGTGTTAATTTAACTTACTGGTCATTCTCCCAATAGATTCTGAGAGTAACATATGAACAATCCATAGAATTACCACAGAAAAACCCACACATTTTCCTCTAATAGCTGCTGGAAAAACTTCACTTAGGGTCAATAAAGGTACAGGTCCTAATCCCAATGCATAAGCTGATTCAAATACAAGTAGAGTTATAACAGCTAGAATCTTCAATCCTCCAGTAAGTCCATCAGTAGTAACGATATTTTGCATCTATAAAATAAAATTATGAATTTACTAAAGTATAACAATACTTAATTTAAGAACACTTACCTCACACGAGGCTTTTACTTGGGTCCACGTTTCAGTATTGGGAGCTGTTATGGCTAGTGGTGTAGGCAAAAATGGAAAAGGTGGTGGCGAATCAGTTGGGGAAATAGATTTCATCTTATTGAAAAACTCATTTCCAAAGTTATTGTGTGATACCATAGTACACGGCTCATTAGGGAAGTTTAATAGTTCATCACCTCGGTCAAGTGTAGCTAATAAAGATAAAAGAGATACCGATGTCATACAAATAGTCGCCGAAGTTATCAATGCTGTTCGACGACCGCATCTTTCCACAACAATCAGACATAATATAGTACTGAAAACTCTAACTATTCCAAGAGCAATCATGGATGTAGTTTTAGCAATATCTATAAAATTATAACAATTATTACGATACTATAAAAAGAAAAAATTACAAAAAATAATAAAATTTAGTACATACTTGAGCATATTCCTAAAATGGCAAATAGTCGTGGTGCATAAAACAGAACTTGCTGTTTTCCAGTTCCCTGTCTGAGAGCAAGCATTACCATCATGACAATGAGTGTCTCAAAAACATAACACCAAGAATTTTTCACTGGCACTCTAGGAACGTTAACCACTCTTTTTAGTAATAAAAATGAAGGTGATCTCTGAAGAAATATGATTGTGGTGATACAAGTAAACATAGCAGGTACTGATGTAACCCCAACAGCAAACCTCCATTGGTAATCCTCATCTTTACTAGCTGTTGCTATGACTGCAAAAAGTAAACCAGCTGCTGCTCCTACTTGATGCAATGTTATATTACATCCACGTTTGTTAAAATTGGAAACTTCAGCCATGTAAATACAATGAGCCATCGCTGATACTGTTCCAGAATACCCACAAATTATTCTTGCTATTAAAAATAACACATAATGGTTCGCTAGTGCAGATAGCATTGATCCAAACGTTAAAAAGATAAGAGATGAAATCATTGTCCATCTCCGCCCACAAGTATCAATGACTAAACCTATAAAAAAGTTGACGTTTATTTTTAAATTGAATATAACTTTATTTTAAACTTGAATATAAATATATTAACTAAGACTAAAACTACATTTCTCAAGCATTAAAGAAATATAAGTGAATGCAATAATTGACTTACCACCTACAATTGCTCCTAATAAACATCCAATAAACCATACATTAACGATCATATTTTCTTCATTGCAGTCAAGTCCAAATTCCCTTTTTACTAATGGAGCAATTTGTCTACCAATGCCCATATCATATCCAAATGCAATACCAGCTATTGTAGCAACAATTGATACTAAAACACTTTGATTCTCTGTAACTAATGGTGTCAAATTTTCTGTATGTCTTGGTATTGGCTTTCGAAGCTTTTTAGGTGGAATATATTCATACTCTTTGATTGTTGATTTGATTACAAGGGGTTCAGAATTACGATTGGTAGTGTTTAATAATATAGTTGTATCTTCGTCTTCGGACATTTTGCTTTCCACTCTAAATAAATTTGAAGCACTTATTAAATTTTACTATGTATATATATGTTTAATAGGTAAATAAAACTAAAGATTTAAAAAGAGTATGACAACATAACTCCATTTTTTTGAAGTTTAAATAGTGCAATTTGGATAATATAATGGTTAATTACAGTTTCATTTGCATTTTTCCGAAGGACCTAAATATATATATATATAGTACCTTCTTATTATATACAGTAAAATAGATATGTATACAACAATGCATACAATCGACTCACCCTAAATCCTGATAAATGAAAATAGATCGTTGAGTATCCAAAACTTGCGATTATTCAATGTCTTTGATGTGTTCCTTTATTTCTTGAACAAATATTTTTGAACCATTTGGAAGAAGAAGCGGAAAACATGATCGAAGAAAAGCCTTGAATCAGGGGCGGAAACTGGAAGCCATGAAGCATAACATGAGTCAATGTTTTGCGGGGCTGAGGCTAGTCGTGCGCAGGCGCGACTTCTTACATTATGCCATGGAGACTATACTAATGTTAAACTACACTATAGTATACCGATGCGAAAACAGCCCGACACAAATAACATTTTATTAAAAAAAATGATCACATCTCACGTATGTCTAATTGTACTTCTCAAAAAAATAATTATTTGTTATTGTACCATTATCTTTCTCATAAAAAATAAAAAATATCGTTATTGAAAATTCACCTCCTATTTATTCACATAAAAGATATAATTAAGCAAAAATAAATTCACAGAAAAATTGTACCTTCTGTAGTCTAAGTTGTACCATCAGTACAATTCTATAAATTTGTTTCTAAAAGAAATAATAGGACAATTACAAATTACCACTAATTGTTACAATTTACATGTCATCCGGAAATGCACTTTGCGCAGGCGTAGAGCTTTATAATTGTCCTATTATTTCTTTTAGAAACAAATTTATACAATTGTACTGATGGTACAATTTAGACTACAGAAGGTACAATTTTTCGGTGAATTTATTTTAGCTTAATTATGTCTTTTATGTGAATAAATAGGAGGTGAATTATCGATAACGATATTTTTTATTTTTTATGATAAAGATAATGGTACAATAACAAATAATTATTTTTTCGAGAAGTACAATTAGACATACGTGACATGTGATCATTTTTTTTTATAAAATGTTATTTGTGTCCGGCTGTTTTCGCATCGGTTATAGTATTTATACCCAGGGGGCCTATTCTGAAAAAAAATTTTGTGGTAAATCAGTTTGTCACTTCAGTTTACCACAGAATTAATCACTTTAGATGTGATAAATGCTTATGACATGTGCTAAAATTTTTTTTCAGAATAGGCCCCCAGCTAACAGAACAGCACTTGCACGGTTTGTACATACATACATACATACATGCGTGCTCGTAGTCTCCATATATACGCAATTCAAAATTAGATATTATGTGTGAGGAAAAAATGTTATAGAATCTTGAGTAAATTGTATTAATTAGATATTTATATTGATTATACTGATAATCCCGTAATTATCGACAGGCATAACATAGTAAAAAAATTTATTTGATTAATTCAACTCAAAAATATTTAATTTTAAAAAAGAAACAAAGCACTTTTATGAAAAAAACATTTATTACTGTTGGTATCAACATTACTTACATTTTTTATTTTTATATTGTAATCTGTATATTTTTATTTTTCTTTGTATTATACACAGTGTAGGTCATAGAGAAAATTAAGTGTTGCAAATTTTGAAATGTTTTCTTGTGTAGCGATTTTTATTGGAACATAACAGTTCCACAAATCATAACAATCATTTTCGTCATCTTCATATATAAATAGCAGACAATTTGTGAATAACTTTGCGTGTATATTCGAATTTTGCACAATAATTTAACGACCATTTTGACAGCTGTTTTTGTCAACTGTTTTACAGTATTTTTATCTAAATTTCATCACATCAAAACGCCATGCTAGAATGTAACTGCCACGTTAAAGTTTGACATTTCAACATCAAATTGAACACGTTGTTCTTAGCATAACAAAAGAATAAATCAATATTGTCTAGCAATTGAATAGATAATTTCACCATTTTGTCCAATTAGGTATTGAAGCTTGAATTTTCAATTATTTGTTTCATAAATCACAAAAGTTAATCCAATCTGATGAACAATATAAACTTCCACTTCGATGATAATTTAATTAAAAAAGATTATTTTTATGTCAGAGATTATGGCATAATTCAAACAGTCAATAGTTTCTTATAATTTCTATATATTTGTACAGAGCGAAAAGAATTCATAATAAAACAATGACGAAACAATATTTTCTCGTCTCTGCAATCACATCGCAAACGACAAGATAACTTTCTCCACTTTGAAAAAATTATCAGTTGATTGAAGTCTCAACAAAGACACTGGAGCCCTTCGTAATTTCTCCATTATTAACACAATGTCTTTTGAGTTTTTACTGGCACGAGCACACAGACGAATTTCATCTGAGCCAGAGCTTGAGTCGCAGAGCATCAACGCCGTTCAGATAATAGCGAAACAGTCGCTTATCACGCACGAAGCCCAAATTCTCGTATAAACGTAACGCTGGGTGATTCGTGATTTCGGTCTCCAGTACTACCTCGTCCGCGTCGTCCTCAATCATCGCCTGGATCGCACGCCTTACTAAATTCGAGCCGATCTTACGTTTTCGATACTTTATGTCCACGGCTAACATTGCTATATAGCCGCGTTTTGTTACTTTCCTATGAAGATCTAACTTGCAGACTATAGCACCTATACACTCTTGTCCATCTGTAGCCTGTAAAGCATCAGTTTGATTAATTGCTCATATCATAGCTTTAATTGAAGTATTTGTTAAAAATTTAATAAAACGTGAAAGACTCATATATTTTTTGTATTGAATATATTTAAAAACAAGTTCTTTTCTAAATTGATAGCATTATCATTTAATATTCAGCCTTTAAAATGTTGATAGTAGTGGTAATTTTATGTAAAAATCAATGAAACCGTATCACTTGAAAATCACTTGTAAACTAAACTATAGCTTGTACTGTGTACTTAAGGTTATTCATTAAAGTTTGATACTTACCAAGAAACACAGCTTTGGCCAATTGTGAATAAAATATCTGTAAGTATATATAGAATATGGTTCACTTAGATCCTTTTGAATCAATTTCATGATGTCTGGCATTTGTAATTCACTTGTATAACTAACATACTCAATATCCCTATTTTTGCTTGTGTGTGCAGTTTCTTCTTTGACATCTGAAATCATGTAAAATCATAAATCACAATGGCAATACAAGTATGATGGTTATGATGAGAGATTATATACAACTACATTTACCTGATTGATTAGTATGACTAGTTTGAACATTGGTGGACTCAAGCTCATCACTTGAAGTCTCAGAACTTTGTATTGGCGATTCGCAAGTACCATTTATTTGATGAACACCGTTGGTTTGCCTATTGTCACAAAGTTCAACATTTGAGAGGCTTAATCGAGTCTTGATATCTTTTGCAATGGTATCTGCATCTGAGCTGTCCTGTTTGACTTTGACCTTACTGATGATGGGCTCTGAATGAGCTCTGAATTCTGCCTTTTCACTCATTGTACTGTTTTCTATATTTATTTTTCAATGATTTGTACTCTTTGATATATCCTAAACTTCAACAAGTGTTCTCCTCGGTTGTCACGTTATCTTCAGCTAAAATTATCAGCCAGTAAATTCAGTATTTTTGTTATGAAAAAATCGAATGATATTGAAACTAACATACACGTCAAAACTAGTGAAAGAAAGTCTGACGTATTCGGGCTGGTGGGGCTTTCAAGTCTTCAAGGCCACCACCCAATCTTTAACCGTATTTTCATAGTTAACAATGATTTTCCTTGACGAACTTTTCAATAATCATTCGGAGTTACGGACGTCCGATCGTAAACCGTTGCACGACGGACACCATATTGGATTTTCTGACTCCTCATATAGGTATACATGTAGTACTATAATTTTTCATTGCCTCGAAGTTTGCGCTCCCTCGACGCGCCTTTTTCCCACTTTTCGAGTTATTCTACAAATTTTTAGTATTACAAATTTATGATACGAAACATTTCTAGTTAAATATAGTCAAATAAGAAAATAAAAAGAGAAATACAAATAATTATTTCATAATGTAAATGTTTATACTTACATAGTTTATAAATTGGAGATTTTTGTAGAATTCACAATTTAGTAATTTCCTATTATTTTATGTGGTTTATTTTATTAAAAATTAAATAAATATTTATTTTAAGGAAAAAATTATTATTAAATCATTATTAAATATAAAGTATTATATTATTATATAAAAATCAGAATAAATTAAGTAAAAATGATATTTCACAAAATAATATGTTATAAATAAGTTATATTAGCCCAGTAAATAATCTATTATAATAATTATAAATAAATTATTGTAAGATATTATTATAAAATTATTCTATTATTTCATTATAACGTCATTTTTTCTGCGATGGACAATTATAACAATTAGTAGCAAGTATGGTGACACTGTGTACTTGCAGTTTTGGGCTTCCTGGCTTTTTGTAAAAAAATATTTGTTTTGTAAAAAAGAAAATATTTTACTCGTATATATGTTATATATGTGATTTATGTTATACACATGCATATACACTACATAGGCATATATACGAACCCGCTACACTTTTTTTCCTTGTTCGATTATAACCACCGTCTGTGACGGTCATGTAGCGCGTTCCTATCATAGTTAATATACAATATAAGATTAGTTTAGTTTGCGGTTGGAGATTGGAGAGGATTCAAAAGGTGGAAGCAAATGCTGGAAATCTGTTAATGTGATGATTTAAGCATATGGGCTTGAAATTAAAAAGAAAATGTAGCTCTTTCGAATCTATTATAACTGGTTCCTCCAATTTTAACCGTAGACTATTTTTGTAAAACTACTTAATTATAGGTTTTTTTGTAATAGTTATCTAATAATAGAATGTATATAGAATATGTTTAGTTTTGGTTGATAGCAGATATAACGTGCGATTACTATAGGAATCATATATTCCACAGGCAAATTTAACATAAAAATACATTAGCTAGTAGTGGATAACTGAACTATTAAAATAGAATTGATTTTTCTTCTTGGTACTCGGTATCATTTAAGTAGTTAGTTTTGTAGAATGTAGCTGGTAATTCTAAGTAGGGAGTTAATGAGTGCCGTCTTAAATAGGTTGATGACATCGATGCTAGTGTTAACCTTTAGTTCTCTCAGGTCTCTAAATAGGCCTGGTCTAAGTTTAGAAAATTTAGAGGGCATTTTCCATAACAGATGCTCGAAGGCTTCGCTCCTTTGGTCACAGTATGAGCAAGTGACATAAATGTATCTTGGTTCTGATGTGTCCTGATTTAATACGGTTATATATTGTAATTCTCTTTCTGTTTATACCGCTGTGGATAAACCATGGCTTACTATTAAAAGACCTAACTTGTCCCACATACTTATAGTGCCTTTTCCTAGAATCGTATATTGTTGCAGCTCTTGATCAGCATCATGCGAGAAACTTTTTTTTTAATGAGAGAGGAGGGAAAAATCTTCTTAAGACACCCGCTAGATGGAAGTGTGGGCAGTATCGGATTCACCGAAGAGTGTCTCGATATAAAAACGTTTGGAAAACGTTTAGTAATGAAACATTTTCAAATTGTTTTTATATTTTCAAAACCTTTTCGAAAGGTTTTTATCACCAAAATTTAGAAACGTTTGATGGTTTTATGCAGAAAACTCTAAAAACGTTTCGAGGACGTTTTTGTATTATTCGGGATAGAAGCACGTGTCTAGTAGAGCTATAAAAAAGAAGACAAATTTGAGTTAAAAATACTTTTAATTATTTCGATACTCTGCAAAATATATAAGCAGCAATGCAATGATTAATGGTGTAACTACAATGTGTTGATGAAAAATATAAAAGCATTAAATATAAGGATCAGTAGAACCTGTATTTGAAAAAATAAAATTCGTGCAAATACAGTAAAATAATAATAATAATAATAATAATAATAATAATAATCCCGCTTTATACCGTGCTAATTATTTATTATCGCTCTTGCACGTGGTCTCACATTAATAGATGCTGTAGTCAATAACAATGTTTTACGAATTATAGCATTTCTAAGCTCGACGTTTACTCTCGAATATCGGATACATTTCAATATTCAATGCGATTCTTCATAGCTTATCGTTAATTCGTCTCAAAAATTAATCCGGTTTAAGGATAAACCCTTAGTCTAGAAACGCTATATAAGCGGAGCAGTGCTGGGCTTTTCGATCTCTCATCGGACTCGACAGTCAGTGATAAATAAAATCAGAGTTGCTTTATTGCATCGCCTCATGTGAGACGAAATAAATTAACAGCACTCCATTCTTTTATCTCAATCTGCTGTTGTGCCCATTTTATTAATAAAAACACTTGTGATCTAATGATAATTTGGGTGTAGTGATTCGTCAGAGAATTAATCGATTCAACGACTCGGGGTCATTCTCCTGAGTTTTATCTGATTTGCAATCCAATAACTTTCTACCTAGCGGCCGATATCCGTTTATATATCTAGCGATACCACAAGAGCTGTGTGTATTTTTGTTTCCATTCAAATTGTTCTGAGAACAACATCCAACTTTCTTTGGGTCACGATTAGTTATACAGTCTATAGTTCAAAACTATTTGCAGGAATTTGATTGTAGCGCATTGAACATTTCAGCATATATTACAGCATTACTATAGATAAATGCGATAGAAAGATCAACGCTGACAGTTGCTTAACGAAAATTGGATAAAACAAAGTTGTGACTGCTTTTAGACAAACTTGATTGCACATATTCTTGTAATTCTGAATCGTTTAATAACGTTTAATAATTATTTAATAATTATTTAATAATGAATCGTTTCAGTTGTTGATAAATAAACCGCGTAAACTGTTTGGCATATAAATAAACCAGTTATATTCTATTGAACAAAAGATGTCTGACGTGTCAGCAAATATGGAAGTGAAAGAGGAGCCTAACAATTCTACAGTTACAGAAACTTCACTAGATTCAGAATTAGTGTTTAAAACTCCACCAGTTGAGGAATTCGAAGTATGTACTGATGTGAATCAAATCACGCTGGTCGTGTTTCGTGGTAAGCCTACAATGTGTAGCTCTAACAGCTGGACGTGTAATGTTTCGAAAACGATAACTCTACCCCAACATCCAAGAGAAATTGCTCACTTAGAATTTTCTTTGAATTATATTAGAAAAGAAGATCGTCAAACTAATAACTGTGAAAATCAGAAGTACAGTATCAAATACTACTTTGCACTGACCTTTAACAATAATCTTCATAAGGTGTCGACGGATTACGTATACGAAATTGACTTTTACATATATGCTCACGAAAATCACTTGTCATCTCACGCGCAATTATTTTCGCAAAAGAAAGTACGAGAATCAGAAAAAATTGTAATATCCGAGACGTTTGTCAATGTTTGTCAGTACTCAAAGCCAGAATTCGTTAACAAACTTCTCTCGACTACTGAGGCACGGCACATGTGTTGCAGTATACGAAGATACAATATGAAAATAGCGGAGCAAATTAATAAGCAATCACGTGGATATGTTAATGTCGGTGCAATGTTATTGGAAAAGGGATTCTACAGTGACGTAAAGCTGATTGCAGGAGATAAAACGTTTTTAGCGCATAAACGTGTACTTTCCGCCGCAAGCAGCATTTTTAAAATTATATTTTCACGTGACTCATCAAAGGATCAGAAGAATTCATTAATCATCGACGATTGTGATCCCCAAGCCGTCGAAGGCTTATTGTCGTTTGTATATACCGGTAAAACGGCGCTATTAGATAAAATACCAGTTGAAATTTTTGAATTAGCCCATAAATATAAAATAGATGGCTTGAAGACTCAGTGTATAGAAGCATTGTGTTTCACTCTGAACAGCCAAAATATTGTTAAGATTCTTTGTACTGTTAGTACGTACGGATTAAAGGATTTGAAAAAGAAACTTTCGAAACTCATCGAAATTCACGAAGTGGACTTGGTTAAAGATGAAATGTTTCAGAAGTACTTGTGTGAAGACTTGGATCTGGAAAATGTCATAGATACTCTTAAGCTTTGCGATAAATACCAGGAGTATCTATCGGAAGTAACGTTGGAAACTTTTAAATTTATGAAAAACCACCATGAACTCATTATGAATAACGAGAATTTTTTTGAGCTATTTGATACAAATATGTCAATAATTAAGAAATGGTATCACTTTGCGTTCAACAAAGAATAATACTTGAAAAAATACTACCTGAAAAATACTTTCATGCCAATGATTTTTAGATATTGCTGCACGCGTCTTTGAAGGAATTTGGTCTTCGTCTGCATATTTTTTTATTATTTAAAAATATAATGTAACCATATTTTGTCAAGTTTTATACTCTATTAACTAAATAAACAACATTCTGTGTATTTTTTATTTTTTATATATCACTGATAACTCCAATTAATGTAAAAAATGAAAAAAGACACTTATATATAGATGACTCTAATATTACATAAGAAAAATATTCAAGTTGAATAAAAAGTTATCTCAATTTGAAATTTTAATAAAATTGATAACGATCATTGAAATTCCGTTGAACCGATATTGTTAAATATCAAATTCGTGACAAGCAATAAGTTTATATATAATAAAACGTGTTGGAAATATTGTTTCAACGTCAAGATGATGACAAAATTTATTTAAGATGTTGCCGCTATATTCGTTAATTTCAAGGTCTTAGCCTGTACTTGTTTTATAGAAATAATAATTATCTTTATTTCAATATGCCAATAATTATGTTAGTAATCGATTAATTGAAAACCCCTTGCATCCTAATTGAATCCTACTAATTTTAATTAAACATTAATTGTTTGTATCTGAAATCTTTTAATATGCATGAATAATAACTTCATTCATTTTTTAAGTCATGAAGAAATTTATTGTACAAAATTTTTGATACAATATAATATTTATATGATAACTCGCTCATTGTTTTATTAAAAGAATTTTATAAACATAAATGCAAATAAGCAAGAAATATCAAATATTATTACATTTTAGTTTCCGAATACAAACATCATTCATATACATAATTATACTTTACATATTTACAGTTTTATCATAATAATTGATACCAAGCTTATATTTACTATTGCGAGTGTCAGCTATTGACTCAGAGCATATTACACGCTCAGTTATACACATATACATACATAAGTGTATACATGTCACATATATATATATATATTCCTCATTAAAGTTTTCATATATTTTAAATAGCAGTATTCAAGTTGGAGAAGTACTATTGGTAAGAAAAGTTTGTTCGTGACAGCAGTGAAATTTCATAATGGATAATTTCTCATTGAAGAGTGGTAAATAAAATTATTGCGTTATATTACGATTTAAAAAGTGATTGATACGTGCAATATCATTAGGTTTTCTTGAAAATGTTAGTTTTTCTAAGTCCAAAGAGGATGCAGATGGTAGTCAACATGTGTGTGACATTAGTGATTCTGTATTGATGAATCAATCAATCATAATATCGGGGAATGTAAGCAATGTTAATTATGAAATTCATGATGTTAGTAATACCTCTGCCAACGATGAATTGAATACTAATATTGATGCATTGATGCTGGATAAGAAAGCGATTTTTATAGAAGATAAACATGATATTGGTTCATCGAATGAAAAATCTCTAAATAAACATTGTTTGGATGAACATATTTTTTCAATTTCCTGTAATCAGTGAGTCTTTTATATGACAAATTTATTCATATGTCTTTTAGTTTATCAAGTTATATATTAAATAATAATAATTATAACTTTATCTAATATGCGAAAAAAATTGTGCGCAGGTCCGATTTATATATAAGTAAGAATTTGGATTCTGTGAAAGAACCAGAAGTAGAAATCACCTCACGCGAAGAAAGTAATGGAAAATTTCTAGTAAAATTTCACATAAAAAGTTTCGGAAATGTATAAGTGGAATCACTTTAGATAAGTGAGAAGATCTATAAATTGACATTCACCTCCACGGAAGATCAACTATGGCAATGCATATCATGAAAATATGTTGATGTGATATAATTTATTTACTGATTAGATGATCTGTTATTTTTATTACATTTTCAAAATACTTTGAATGGAAAAGCTTAGGTTATTTGAATTTTATGAATAAATAAATAGATAAATTTATTATAAAAATATGTAAAAGTATGTTTATCAAAAATAATTGCTTTCCAAAATATTAAAGTGCTTTAATTTATAATCAAGTTTAATCAATAAAAAATATACAACAAAATGTTTTAATATTTCATGTCGTGCAAAGTGATAAAATTTAAATTATACAGAAATACGACAGGTAAAAACATAATATCACATATCATCAGTATGCACGCACGCACGCACGTACGCGCGCACGCACACGCACACACACACACATACACACATGTATATAATACAAGTTTACACAACTTGCAAAATCTTTAAACATTAAGATGCCAATTTGTCAATAATCCACGCATTCTATTCTATTCTATTCTATATATATTTATTGGCTCCGGTTTCCCATACGGCCATCAACTGACTTGTGGCGCTTGTGCGCCGAGAGAGCGAATTTGGCGGAACTTTTGAAAAAGTGAGTAGAAAAGATCAGAAATTGAATAGAATAAAGTTTAAGCTAGAAAAGAGGAAAAGATTGATAATTAGTTCGTAGTGATAATAGTAGTAATAGTGTTAGTAGTGAAAATTAAGTACATCATAAAAGTATCTCAGCGCTTTTGAGAAATTTGCATAAAATTTCTATATGGGATGGTTTGGGATCTGAAAGGAATTGTGAAATTGTATAAGGCGGGAAGATCTTTGTTTTCATCAGTTTAAAAAGTAACAATTTTCGATGATTGTCAAAGCGTTCGCAGGACCAAAAAACATGATTAAGGTCTTCATTGTCCTTGCCACAAGGACATAAGGGAGATTGAACTAAATTTTTTCTATGTAAGCTGTATGCTAGACTGTAGTGGTTGCTTCTCATGCGTACTGTGGTTACAACTTGTGTCCTGCACAAGGTAGTGTTGTTAAACCAGGGTTTGGAAGAATGACTAAAGTAGTTTTGGAAGTATTGGACTCCTTTGTTTACGTCCACTCGTGTTAGGAATTTCTTGAATTTATCTCTACAGAGATTGTTAGTGAATTGGCGTAGGTCCGAATGAGGTATTAAGTTGGATGGACTAATACCTGAACCGCAAGCTTGTTTGGCAAGAATGTCTGCTGTTTCATTGCCAGGAATACCTTTATGACTTGGAATCCAAGCAAAAATTACTTCTTGATGGTTCTGGAGAATTTCTAGAAGTCTTGTTTTTATTCTGAATATTGTAATATGCGTGGAGTCGATAATTGCTTCTTGGTGGGTAAGGCAGAGGAGCGCACTAAGAGAGTCCGTGAAAATGATAGATTTGCTAATTTTCTTGAGAATAATTAGTTCTAGTGTAAATTGAATTGCTAAAGCTTCTGCTGAGAAGATGGAATTGTGTGGATCAATTTTAAATTTAAGATTAAGGTCTAAAGGGTCTGGGCCATGGTTTGGGCTATGAATGGCTAAACCAACATACAATCCAGTATCTTTTTTTGATCCGTCTGTATAGAATGGAGTGTGTGATTGTAAAAGATCGCTAAATTGATGAATAAACTCAGTTGGCGGGTTATCAGCTTTGGCAATGGTTTCACCTTTGTCGAGGATAATGGTTGACTCTGTCTGTTGTGCTTCCAAGGAAAAAACGTAGCATGGAGGTATAGGGCTAGAATAAACCTTTTTTTGAAAGCGTTTGAGCTTAGTAAAGGCTTTAAGAAGAGGAAGATTGTGAATATATCGAGGAGAGCTTTTTTTTAACGAGTCTGCCAAGTTTGAGATAGCAATAGTCGCTGGATGATTCGTTGTCGAGAATGAGCGTATTATATAGTTGTACGCAAGTTTCTCTTGTCGAAGCTGAAGAGGATAAACTTGCGATTCTGCGTATACAATTCGATTAGGGGTCGTATTTCTTAAACCTAAAGCAAATTTAAGAGCACGTCTTTGTAAAACGTTAATTTTTTCGAAGAAAGAATTTGTATTGCTTGGGATGCAGCATAGACCATAGTCTATAGCTGCCGAGACTATAGATTTGTAAATGAGTAAGAGCGATCTGGGGTGACCTCCCCACCATGTGGTACGTAGAGATCTTATAATGTTTATGCTCGGTGAAATTTTTTTAACTATGTGGTTAAGATGAGTTGACCATGATAGATTCTTATCCAGTGTTAATCCAAGAAACTTGGCGCTGTTAGAGACAGGTATTTGAATAGAGTCAACTGTAACTGAAAGGTTCGAAAAATCAGAATCTTTGTGATTTGTGTGAATTACTATGTTGGTTTTTTCTAGCGATAGAGAAAGACCAATCTTTTGGAGAAATAGGATTACTCTTTTCAAGTTACGTTCTAGAATTTTAAGAGCAACTTTTGGATCTTTGTGAGTGACAATAAGGGCGATATCATCAGCAAATTGTAGACAGTCGCATCCAATGAGAATATAGATGAGTTGACTAACACTGATGCTATAAAGAGTCGGGCTGGAGACGCAACCCTGTGGGACACCCTTTCTGGTTACAAAAGGGCCAGTAATTTCACCATTTATGTTGAAGTAAATCAGTCTTTCACCTGTTAGGTTGTAATAGAATTTGCAAATTGTTTCTGGAAGACCTAGGTCTTTCAATAAATAAACGAGGGAAGTAGGGTCTACGTCATCAAAAGCACTTTTGACATCGAGATAGGCTACAGTGGTGTAAAGTCCGTTGGTGAATCCTGAATAGATTTTTGTAGTAAGAATCGAGAGGTTGTCAGCACAAGATCTTGATTTGCGGAAACCGAACTGTGACAATGGTAACTTGACGTTGTGTTCAAGCCACCAAGAGAGTCTAACTTGAATCATCTTTCCGAATAGTTTAAGCGTTGCAGATGCGAGTGAGATTGGTCTGAATTTATTTTTACCTGGTTTGGGAATAAAGAAAATGAGAAATTCCTTCCAAGATTTCGGGAATGAACCTGAGAAGTAGATTTCGTTAAAAGATTGGAGTAGTTCATGAATAACATTATCCGGTAAGTTGAATATAATCCGATAATCTATTTTATCGAGACCTGGAGCAGAGTTTAACCTCTTTGAGCATGATTTTACGGCAGATTTGATCTCAAGTAGTGAGAATGGTTTGTTGAATAATTGCGTTGTTTCTTCTGATGCAAGGAATGAGCTTGGAAAGTTCTGTGGTGTGCAGGAACTAGGACAAATAGTGTCAATCATAAGATTTTGGGCTTCGATATTCTTCAAATTGTTTCGTGCTTGAGGAGCACCAAGTGATCGGTGGCGAAATTTTTTGATTGTTTGAAAAATAGTTGTAATTGGAGTGAATGGACTGATTGTTTCACAGAACTTGATAAAGGCAGTTGCTTTAGCCTGTTTAAAAATGTTTTTGGCGTGTTTTTCAGCTGAAATAAGCTCATCTAGAAGCCTTGGATCGTGACGAAAGTTTTTTAGTGCTGCCCTTCTTTGTTTGTTTGCGTTCTCGCAGTCATCATCCCACCAAGGAGCATTTGGTCGTTTAATGCGTTTATTTCTCTTTTTTGACGGGTGAGAAGTGTCTTGAATATCTAGGGAACGAGGGGGGGAAAGAACATGTTCGATAGCTTTCTTGATAATTGAAATTACTTCTGAGTATCTGTCGGAATAAGTATTATTATCAGAGTCGAAATCAAATCGAACATTTTTGAGATAATCACAAAATGGTAACCAGTCTGCAGACGACTTAAACTTTTTGAAATTATATCGAAGGTTTGGGATGGGTTTTGGGGGATATAGAGGAATGCCAATGGTGATGGTAATAGGGTAGTGATCGCTTCCAAAATTATCATCTTCCACAGACCAATCACTTAAGGTGTATAAGTGAGGTGAAACGAATGATAAGTCAAGATGTGTAGGATTATTGGGATTGATTTTGTTAATGTAAGTAGGAGTGCCATCATTTAGCAAAAGTAGGTCACTATCCGTAAAAGTAGAGAGAAGACTGTCTCCAATTCTATCAACAGAAGAACTACCCCATGCCACATTGCAGCAATTAAAATCGCCACCTATAAATATTGATTTGAATTGACTCAGAGAATCAGTTAAAAGCTGCCAGTGTGTTAGAGGAAACATTTCATTTGATGGTGGTCTGTACACGGCGACAATAGTTAAGTCGAATTGACTAAGTTTAATTGTTACCGCTAAGGTTTCTAGAACGTTTAGTATGCTCGGAATGTTATAATTTTCAATGTCAAAGAGAATGTAATTTTTAAGAGCGATCGCAATCCCTCCTCCTTTACTGTCTGATCTATCCCGTCGTATAAAAGTGAATTCTTTTATTTTCATATTGTAGTTTTCATTTGCCTTCGTTTCAAGGAGAATAATAACATCATAATCTAGTGAAATTTCTTGCAAATAAGGTCGTCTCTGAGTGAAAGAATTACAATTCCATTGTAAGATGCGAAGTGGTGTATTGGTGTTTTTAGAGGCCATTTTGAGATTTGGAGATTTTGGCGAATAATTCTTGGAAGTCAGCGGCGACGTTTGTATTTGATTGGGTAATTAAAGGAATAATGATATTAGATGTGATTTCTAAAAGAAGGGCAAGAGCTTGGGAAGCGTTTTTTGGTGTCTCAAAGAAGCTATAATCCTTATCCGGGTCAAAGTTTGGGAGAATCATCTCATCGGCTTCGTTTGTTGGAGAAGACGAGAGTGTCGTTACAATATTTTTTTGTAGTCTGTATTGAGCATTCGAGGGGGAAGATTCAGAGTTCATCGGTGGGCAGGATGCAGCACGGGTGATACGAGTACGTTGAGTGTTAGTGCTATTGGAAGCTGGTGTAGTAAGAGGTTGTGATGCAAACACGAATCCAGCGTTAGGATGACTAGGATGCTGATAAACTTGCGACTGACAGGAAGGTACGAAGTTGGAGGTGCTTTTTCTAATTGAATTACTAGGTTGAGAACCAGCAAAACTATAGTTGGGAGACTGTGGTGAAGGTAGAAAGTTTGAGGGGTAGTGTCCTGATGTATGGACGTTAACTGAGCCAGGTCGAGAAGGAGGTCGCGCAAGAGGTTGAGTAGTAGTGCCGCCATTGTCTGGTAAAGGTTGCCTAAAAACAGCTGCGTATGAGCTAGAGAGTTGGTGTTGATGAGGCGTTGAATTGCTGGATAACTGGCATGAACGATCGATAGGGGGAAACTGTGCTGTCGTTGGGGGAGGAGGGTGTTAGGGTGAGAAGGACTGAGAGTGGAGGTTTTAATAATATTTGATAAAAAGAACGCCGGATTTATTTAATTCACAATAACACTAATAATAAATAAACCGGAACGGTCGGAACCAAAGTAAGTTTACAATTAAAAACTAACAACTAACGATACAAATTACATTTATAAAGGTTCGCCAGCTAAACTAGTTAAAATACGAAAGGATTAAATAGGTGTCGGCACGAGAATCGTAATTCTAAATATTATAAAGGTAAGATTAACGGAAGTACAATTAATGAAATATAATTGACGCACGCGTGCTTAAAGATAGGCGACTTGTCCGTTCAAGTGCCGAATCTAGAGTGGTTGAGACGCGTCGCCGCGCCAGCTGAGTCCGATCAAAAAATTTTCTTATCTCAATTCCCTTTCCTCGCACGAAGGTCGAAGGCGTGAACTTCTTGACCTCCTGCCAATGAGGTTTCCTTATTCATGTGTCAACTGCTCCTTTCTCTGTTTGATTGGCTCGAGTCGAAGTCTGTGATGATTCCGACCGTGCGCTAAAGATTGTGCCGTGTTTTGGTGGCTCGTGTTGCGTTGTTTGATATCGCCGGCTTTCGGCTCAAACAACAGGGTGACGGACGCTCAATGTCCGTCGTCGACAATCAGCTTTGAAAGGTAACCTTTCAACCAGTCTGATTGCCACAATGCATTTGCCATCTTTTTTAGCGATGTATGCATTTTTGCGAGTTTGGAGGCAGTGATCGTAGCAATGGTAAATAGTCAAAATTTGATTCTAAATCGTAACTCAGCTTGATGCGGCGCACGCTTCTCTCACACGCTTATCTTAAATTAAACAATATTCGTAGTGTTGCTTAAGTTTCGCGTTTCGAAGAGGCCGTAACTGAACTTAACAACAAAGGAACCAACCGACAAATGTCGGCAGATTAGAGATTCTTTTTAAAAATGAGATTGTCGATGCCGTTACGCATGGTCACTCGATCTTGTTTTCGAGTTCGACATCGCACGCGCGCATCGATTAGCAAACAGTCCGCGGCGCAATGAAATGATCCAAGCGCAATGTCTTTGTCCAAAAATTCTGTGAGAGCATATTTCAAATTACATCCGTAACAGAGGGGGTGGGCAGTTTCTGGGAAGTTTTCTCTTATGGATTGCCAAAGCTCTAGACTGATATTGGGGAGGATGTTGCATCAAGTAAATGTTAAGAGCTTCTTGAACTGATAAGTTATTGTGTGCAGCGAATTTTCTAACTTCTTGTTGGTACAAATATTCTAGGCAATCCTTTGAACTTGGCAAATGATCACCTTGACAATTCTTGCAAATAGGAGGAAGGTCAGCACGAGGGCAAAGATCTGTCTGCTCCTTAGGATCATGTGCATGTTTGCCACATTTTTCACAGAGAGGCTTACTTTTGCATTCATTTTTTAGATGCCCATATATGAAGCAGTTGTGACACATTTTAGACGGCAAAACATAAATTTGAACTGAGTGGCTCACAGAATAAAGATAAATATTCGGAGGAAGGGATTGGCCTTCAAAGGTAAGTTAAATGGACTGGGTAGGAATAAGACCTGTAGTTTTGTCTGGTTTTACTCCTTTTCGGTGAAGTCTTCTCACTTCTAATAACGGAGAGGATGATTGAATCATGTGTAATAATTGTGTGGCCGATAAGTCATGAGGTACACCTCTTATCAAGCCTTGAGTGTTGCAACGAGATGATGGGACAGAAGCTCTGTAATTATTCTGAGCAAGAACAGGGTCTTTGAGAAGGCGATTGGCAGCTATTCGAGTTTTAAGAGTTACAACTATCTTGAAGGAACCAGAAGATACAATAGCTCCTGGAAATATGGACTCACTGTACGATTTGGAAAGAATACAACCTAATTTAGTAGCATTCATACCGTTTTTGACTAATTCCTTGTTAATGGGTTCTATAAAAACTACAAAAGGACCATTATTATATTGTGTGTACTGATTAGTCGAGTCGGGTGGACATTCTACTTTTGCAAAGTAGAAATCTGGTTCTACCGGTGTTTGAGATGGAGACTTTGACTGCGTAAGCAAAACATTATCTTGAGATAAGGATTCATTAACTTCAGAATTACTGATTTGTTTAGTAGATTCCTTCAGTGGTGGCTGATCTTTGTTTTGTTCAGTATATTCCTTTGACAATAACTGATTTAACAGATTTTCATTTTGGCCATTGGAGGTTATGTCAATAGCTTCAACTCCAACCTCTTGTATATCCATAAGATCAGAATCATCTGATAGTTCTGACTTTCCAATAGACTTTGAAAGAGTCATTTCTTTTTCTTCAGTAAGCTCAGAGGGTTTTTCTTTTTCTTTTTTAATAAACTTTGGTTTTTTTAGGGGTTCAGAAAGGTTTGAATTTTTTCTTTTAGAAATAGTAATAAATTTCGGTGTAGGAATTTTGCCTTTTTTTCTTCTGGTCATATCTGTGCCGGCTACTTCTGGATAGGGTGCAGAGAACTCATCTGGTGTATTAATAAAGGACGCTTGGTGGCCAGAGGCCACCGCAAAGAGGTTATCTTGTGATAACAGGTTTAAGTAGTAATTTTGAGCAGATTTATGAGCAATTTTTATGATGTAGATAGATAAATATTAAAAAGGGATAGATAAAAATAAGAAGAAGTAAAGGAAATTAAAGGTATATAAAAAAATAAACCAAAAGTGTGCCTGCAATCTCGAACGCGTAGTGTCACTGTCGATGACCGTCATGGACCCTCATCCACGCATTTACTGTGAAGTAGTGTGAGTGAATTTCACTAATGGCGCGTATAAGCTGATTGGCTCATTCCGTTCGCTTGGCCCGGCTAATCCAAATGAAATTGAATACCGTATATATATAGAGGAGATAATATTTTTGAAAATCGAACTCAAATCCAAACTTATGAAAGATGTCAATTAAACCACTAAGTAGAGAGACAATCAAATTAATCAACAGCACTCAAGTGATTTCATCGATCTACAGTGCTATTAAAGAACTTGTTGAAAATGCGCTTGATGCTCAAGCTCAAAATATTGAAGTTAACCTTGTGCGTAAATTTTTGACATGCATTTTTCTTATTAAACCAACATAAAATGAAGCTTGTATAATTATTAGAAATTAAACATTTTAGGTAGACAATGGATTGTCTCTTATTGAAGTTAAAGATAATGGCACTGGAATATCAAAGAAAGATGCACCATACATGGCTCTACCTGCTTATACATCAAAAATTACAGATTTTAATGATTTAGGTAAAGTATACAAGTATTTAACATTCCTTATTCTCGTATTTAGTTGCTATTGCTAAATTTATTTGAAATTAAAATTATTTTCTGTATATATTTTTTTAAGATTTACTGAAGACTTATGGATTCCGAGGAGAAGGATTAAATGCTGTTTGTCAAGTATCAGACTTAACTATATTAACTAAAACCGAAGATGATGATCATATGACTAAATATACATTAGATTATGATGGAAATATTGTTAGTACTGAACCGACTCATGGTTCAAGAGGTATGTTATATATATGTAATTATCTCGAATACATTAATATTAAAAATAATGTTGTCACAGGTACTACTGTTCATATGAGAAATTTATTCAAAAATTTTCCTGTCAGAAGAAATTTACTTACTAAAAAGAGAATTGATCAAGAGATGAAAGCAGTAGAAATTTTATTAAAATCTTATGCTATTTGTCAGCCATCCATTAGATTAACATTCAGAATCAATAGTAGTACTATTTTCACCAAGCTTAATTGTAAAAATGTAGTTGAAGCATTTAAAGGGATAGTTGGAGTGCAAACCTTCTATAAAATGGCTTACATGAAAAAGTGTTTTCCTAAGGTATATTGTCATAAATCAACTGATAATATTTTTCTTGATTTAACATTTTTTAAGATTTTATGTAAATAATTGATGAAAATATTGTTTTATAGACTCAATTGCAATTATTTGTTCCAAAGAAAGAAAATGACAATGTTACAGAAATATCTCAAACTGGATACCAATTTTTGTGTGTGAATCATCGACCAATAAAATCGAAAGAAATTCAAAATGTATCTAAGTAAATCAATATTTTATTTAATTATAATAATTATTTGATTATTGACTAAATATGTTGAATTTGATTCTTCAGAAAATAAATAAAAGGATTTCAGAATACTTTAGTCAAAAGACTTCAAATTGTCGTAAATTTATATTTTGTATCATACTCGAAGTTGATTCATTGATGCTTGATGTTAATTTAGAACCAAACAAAGATCATATACTTCTTCAAAATGAGGTATTAAAAAACTCTATTTAATTTTATAAAAATAATTTTAGCAAATAGTATATCTGTTATTCAATAGGCTGCAGTAATAAAAGAAATAGATGAGTTGCTTCTCAATTTATATGATCTACAAGATTCACAATTTTCAACACTAGGTGAAATTAGAAATGGAGTTTCTGGTATAAATATTGAGATAAATGAAGAGGAAAAAGAATGGCCTGCCTGCAAAAAAAGAAAATACGATTCTCAAAAGGATAATATCTGTAGCAAAAATGTTTATGCGACTAATGATCCAAAATTAACGGAAGGTAATATAAATTAAATATTTTAAATTTTCTGAAAAAATATTCAAGTATTATTTTAGATAAACAATCAAGGAAATCTGATAATGAATTTCTTAATGGAATCATTGATCCTATGTTAAGTGACTCTGATTCTAACGATGTAGAAAATTTTAATAACAAAAAGAACAATGAAATTGGATTTGTGGAGATGTCAGAAATTGAAAGCTCTGAGCTTTTTGATATAGTTGAAAATGAGGCAATAAAAGATGCTGTTGAAGAAACGTTATCTCAATTACCAAAAGTAGATCTTGGAGAAGATTTTGATTGGCAAGAAATCATGAATAGAAACAAAAATTCTAATGATCAAGAAAAAAACTCCGATGGTCCTGCTAATATAAGAAATCATCAAATTGATGATCTTGTTTGGAGTAAAGGACAAGTGCCAGGCTTACAAGTAAAAGTTATTTAATAAATTATTATTGTTTCATGAATTTAAAAAAATGTAATTAAAAAATTTCATTTTCGATAGGGTGGTGTCGTTATTAATGGCGCAAATGGGAAAACGAATAATAAAATAGATTTGAGAGGAAATAATGAGGAATCTGAATCATTTGATTTCGGTAAAGGTACTGAAATTATTGATGACGATATAGTGCCACCCTCAAACGACAATGACTTAAATTCAATTGAAATCAATGAATTCAAGTGGGATGTTAATTTAAAAAAAACAAGAAAAAGAACCCCTACAAAACAAAATAATGATGATACTTTAAACACATCATCAAGAACCTCCAACGTTATTAAAAAATTTCAACATACTTTAGTAAGTTTAATAAATCTAAATTTTCTATTCTACTTTCAACAATTTCAATTTTGAATTTTAATTATTTTTTAAAATTTTCAGTCTGATCTTAAACAAACTAAGATTCCATTCGCTGGGGAAAATGCATGTCTGAATTCTGCTCCATCAGCATTTGCTATGTTTTGTGCTGAAATAAGATCTAAAAGTATAAAAATCCATTATTTTTTAATAAACTTTATCTGATTATCACTGTGAAACATTTTTCATTTTTTTTAGTTGTTCAAAAACATCCTGATTTAAATCCAGCAGAGGTTGCTGCTTGTCTGAATAAGCAATGGAAAGAAATATCTTCAGAGGAACGTGAATATTATCAAGATCTTGCAAATCAGCATATTAAAAGTAAGTCTGATGTATCCTTAACTCAGTCATCAAAGAAATCAAAATATCAGGTATCAGAAGCTAGAAAAGAAAAGAATAAGAAGCACTTTGTCAGTGTACTGGAAAATATGAAAACAAACAAATCTGAAGTTAAAACTGGAAGCATGATCATGAGGACTTCTAAATCTTGGGATATTGACTTATCTTTTGTTACTCAAAAGTTTAGAACGTAAGAAAACATTTGGTGTTATTTGTTTTCTTTTATATTTTTTACACACACACACACACACACACACACACACACACACACACACACACACACACACACACACACACACACACACACACACACACAGATATATATATATATATATATATATATATATATATATATATATATATATATGAAATATTTTAGCAGACTTTCAAACAAAGTCACACAATCAATAGTTGGGCCATTGAACACATCAACTTGGATATTAAATTTGAATTTACAGCTTCTGGTATTTAATATTTTTGAACTTCATACTCAACTTAACATTGAAGGATTTGATATAAGTCAGGTAAAATAATTTTTACTTTTTAACTAATATTTTTAATAAAGTTAACAAAGCTGTTTTATTGACTGATTATTTTATAATTCTCAGATCGATCGAGATTACGTACAAAGTATTGTAAATCAATGGTTTCATGAAAAAAAAGATATGAGCATTTTTCATCCGTTCCATGCAATCACAATGTAAATAATTTTAATAATATACATTTGTAAATACCCATATGTTCATCAATTTGGCTTATTTTCAACTGTAAATAATTGAATTTTATTATTGTTATTCATAAAATTTTCAAACTTGAAGTAAAGTTTATAAGTTATAGAGATCAAAAACTTCGTCTTTAAATTTTGTCTTTAAATTATCGCATTTTTTGTACATACATACAATCAAATTGATAGAATCTTACCAACATAAAGAAACCACAGTCCAATCCAATGATCCGGCGGCCATGTGGTCATGCGCACTTCGATGTTTCGCACTACATATTGTGTGTTGATCGTGTCCGTCACAAATTAATTAATATTGATTAGTTACTTCATTGACAATATTGACATTCTCCTTGTGACGGACAGTTCTGCGCACAATATATAATTGCACAGCGTCCAAGAGCGCATGATCAACACTACAATGGGATCTTTCCGTCACTAGGGACGATACTGTTCTATGGGCGCTAGTTGCAGGAGAATTTAAACGTCCTGTGTACGTGTATTCTGTATCGCAAGGACTGGCGCAAATTTTTTTATATTGATTAAATTTTTTGTATATTACTGATGTTCACGTAGACTATGGCAATTGGACAATCAGTTAATTGAAAGATGAGTTGAAAAAGAGGAATGCAAAAGTTACTGGAAAAAAAGGAGATCTAGAAGAGAGGTTAGAAAATACTTTGAAAATTTGTTATCAGCAAATGGGGCTATTTAACTTATTTCATACCATTTGTTGCTGCTAGATAATTTTTTCGAGGGTCCCTAGAAGTTCATAATGCAATAATTTCTAGGAACTTGAGAAAAAAATGTTCCAGCGGCAACTATGCAATGGCCGTTCAGTTCCGGCAGACAATCTTATACATAGATTATTTAACCTATTGACGTTCATTTTGTAAATAAATATAAAAAGTAAGATTTTTAATATTTAAAACTTATTATTCAGGATTAAAGTAAGCGGATTTATATTTAATTATAAAAGCAATCGCTGTACGTGATGTCACTTTTGCGAAGAGCACAGGTATTTATTTTCGAAATTTCTTTTTCTATACGTAATGCATAGTTTTCCTTGTAATTATTAATTGGAAAACAATTATAATAACAATTTCACAAATAATCATATTTATAGCAATGGGGTACATTTACTCAAATGTGGCATATCTATGATGCAAAATGGCAAGATCCATACGATAGCGCAAAACTGATAGCTCATTACCTCAAAGGATTGTACAAACCCATATATCATACTATGAGTGAGTAGATTTTTATCATATATTAAGCAACGTTTTTGAAATATACAAACACTTTGTTAGATTGATAAAAACTAAAATAAATATAACTAATAAACATTGTTTTGTCGTAAATGAATAATTAATTTTATTTCAGATTTATGTGGTGATCAAGTTGTTGTTATAAATAGTCAAGATATAGCTTTAAAAGGTAATGAATGGGAAATGCGAGTTTACTTCCACCATAATACTTACCATCGTGGTGCTAGTTGGACAAAAGCATGGGAATTACATAAAAAAGATCCTACCATGGTAAATTTCAATATGATTTTCAATTCCATATTTATGCTAGTTTTTCTATTGTTCATTATTCAATCAATCATAAAAGAAGTAAAGATTCTTATAAATTTTATCTCATATAGTAAAATTAACAAGTTTACCATGATAATTGCAGATTATGGAGAAAGCTGTTTACAGAGCTTTAGGGAATAATATTCCAAGAAGATATCATATGCAACGACTTCACATTTATTATAATGATCAGATTCCAGAAAAAATCAAACAAAATATTGGCAACCAAATTAAACAGTTACGGCCAGTACCACAAAGACTTGATCACATCTCACAAGATGATATCGAAAATTTCCCTCAAATTTTAAAATTACCACAAACCTATGTTTTAAGATAATTATATTGGTAAATAAATAAAGTAGTTATTGTTTGTTTACGTGAAGCATTTTTATAATATTCCTCGTAACAAATTTTACCATTAAATTTATAAAAGGTGTAAAAACAATTTGTTGTACAAATAGTTTTTGTACAGGCCAGTGGAAAACTATGTATAAATTGGAAGAACTATATAATCTATGTTGGTTATTTTAATTAGCTCTAATTCCTTTTTTTTCATTGATCAGATGTAAATCTTTCGCTACCATTTCTCTTGTCACATACATCATTTTGTCTTTATTGGCATTGAATGCATAAATTGCTCTTTGACGCATTACTTCCCAAGCATAGACATCTCTAAATAAAGGACGCACATATTTCAATCTACCCTGAGATGTAGCGAAATCTAAAGCTTTGCTTACTGATGGTTCCCATCTAGCTTTTAGACCTAGTCGTAACCATTGGAAACTGTAGTAAAAAATAATATTTTCATTTTTTTTTATAGGAAAGTCTATATATTCAAAGATTTATTCAATTTTTACCGTATTTCTGAATTGTGTTGTGAACTAAAATCATAAAGTTTATCCATTAATTTGATTTGATCAATTGACAGTGCTTCGTTGTTTAATACTAATTCAGCTAAAAAGGCTTCTTTTTGATTGGGGGTCCAGTTATCAATATCATTTGTGTTGAATGCTGAAGAGTTTTCATGTGCTAACCATTTTTTTGCTAATGTTAAATACTCATCAGCTAAGGATGTATCATATTTTGGAATGACTGGTGGTTCTCCAGGTGATTTGAACCATGCATTCCAATTGACAGTGTTTAAAATCTGTAGCAGAGAAAGAGAGAGAATTAAAATATAATTCAATTATTAAAAATTTATAATTTGTTACCTCAGTTTTATCTGAAAAATATTTGTATAAAAAGTCTTTCCACTGCGTTGTGTTGAGACTTTTGTATTTGAATGTATTTAAATAGCTTTTTAAATATGGTTCGAACACTTCTGGACCTCCAAGAAGTTCTTCTAAATAGAAAAGTAAAGTATGACCTTTTTCATAAGGTACTGTTGAAAAAGCATCATCAGGATCAATTCCAACTAAATTTGGCACAAGGTCTGTTAAAGGATTGTTTGCACCAAGAGTTTTAATCTAAAAATAGAGAATTTAATTTAAATGATAAATATTTGATAAAATTCAAATAATAAGCTGTTTTCAATGTTACCGTATCTGTCAGACTTTGAAGCCCCATCAACGCATTAAAGTGTCTAACTTTCTCACCATACATTCTTCCAGATATTTTTCTTTCAACAAAAACGGTAAAGCCTTCATTTAACCAAAAATGTTCAAAATTCTCATTAGTCACCAAATTTCCAGTCCAACTGTGAGTTATTTCATGAGCAACTACATTAGCTAAAGAACGATCTCCAGCTAAGAGAGTGGGAGTTACAAATGTAAGACAAGGATTCTCCATACCACCGAATGGGAAACTTGGTGGAAGAATCAACAAGTCATAAATACCTGTATAAAAAAATATAATTACATTGTCTATATATAATTAGTATTTTCAAAAATGCCAGTAATATATGTAAAATAAAATTAAATAAAATTATACCCCAAACATATGGTCCACAAATTTCCTCAGCAGTTTTCAACATTGTCTCTGTTTCTGCAAATTCATATGCACTTTTATCGAGTAATTCTCGTTCAGTCCATACTTTAGTTCTAGGCCCAATCTGTTTAGATACCAAAGCTCCAACAGCAATGGCAATTAAGTATGATGGAATAGGTACTGGTTGATGAAATTTATGGATTCTTGTTGAATTTTCTGAGTCAATAACTTCATCTTTAATTGCAGACATGAGTACATTTAATTGAGCCGGTGCTCTAATCTAAAAATAATTATAATGTTAAAGTTATTTTAAAGACTAATTTAATATTACTTGAAAATACTAAAATATTTTTGTGAAAAAGCTTAAAATTAATTTATTCTGTCAAAGAAAAAAATTTAAGGGAAAGAAAATCAGTTTAAGAAATTATACCTCTGCAGAGAAAGTAGATTTGACACATGGAGTATCTTGGCAGGGTAACATTGATCGAGCATGAATAGCCTAAAAGAAAAAGATGTTAATACTATTCACGTGGTAATAGATAATTAATCAAAATATATTTAAATTACCTGACATTGTGAAAATAGGTATGGCTCTCTTCCACCAGCAGTTTGTTCTGGTGAAAGCCATTGTATTGCTGTTGAGTCTTGAGAAGTTCGATAATCTATTTTGATCTTGTATCTGTAGTAAAAGTGAATATCATTTGAGGAAAAATAATAGCATAGTTACAAAAATTTATTGTATATAAAATAAAATCAAATTTTTCTATTAGTAATATGATTAATATTTTATTACTTTATCTTATCACCATCTATTATTGGGGTTTCTGGCAATTGTACACTTAGTTTTGATCCATAATCCACACCTTTCTCAACACAGTAGTCAAGTCTAGATCCATCTATTACATTTATAATTGACAACAAGACAAGTCCTCTTACATCTAAAATCTAGATTAAAAGAATAAAAGAATCATGTTTTTTTTAATTCCAATACAATTTTCAATTGTAAAATTAAGATTATCATTTTTAGTTATCAATGTTTTATATTTCATGAGGTGAAAAGTAAAATTAGATAATTCACAATCATATTTTATGTTTGAATTCTCTTCAATATGTGTTTCAAAAGTGTGTGTGTGTGTGTGTGTGTGTGTGTGTGTGTGTGTGTGTGTGTGTGTGTGTGTGTGTGTGTGTGTGTGTGTGTGCACACTCTTTTTAATTATTGAGCATACATGCTGATACTATTAAGATAGTATTTAATAACAAAATCACTAACTATGTTAAGAATTATTTTTTATAATTAGTTGTATATATACCAATAAATCTGTATCTCCTTTCTTTTCTATGTCCAATGTTGCACTTCCATCAAAAATTTTTCTATCAAAATCTACTTTTACATTGAGATGTGTGTGAGTAACAATAGCCAAATCTGAAAAGATTATAAAAATATTAGTTAAAGTTATGGATATGACAAACTCAAACATTTGTTGTACATACACTGTAATTATTCATTGTAATTAACAGAATCAGTTTTCAGGTAATATGATGTATGATATGAAAAAATACTAAAAATATAATGAATAGTTAAGATAAAATAAGAATTTGTTACTTTTTATCTAGCTTCAAAAATGTATATGTATTTACTTATCAGTAATTAAGTAATTAGAGTTTGAATCAATAACCTGTATTACCTATTAGTCATTAAATAAGAAACATATGTTTTCCAGTATTAAAAAAAGCCGCAACTTGTGTGTTATATATATATATATATATATATATTCACATAATTCATTTTATATTAAATAAATTAGTAACTACACGTTTATAAACATAGTTTTGTGGTATAAGTTTTCGAAAATCTTAGTAAAACCAATCTGTTTTTTAAAGTATAAAAATCGAAATAAGGTAATGAAAAATAAATTACCTGGTCTGGAGAATGAATTTGGATCTGTTGGACTGAGAGCCATCGTCACCTAAACACCGACTTGGAAAAATGATTTATTTTTCCTTAAAAATCGTAGCTTTTATGCATTTTCCGCAGCGTTTTGAACAGCTCTCGAAACACTTGTCCAAACAATCTCAACACAATACTGTGGATCAATGAATCGCAATGTCTGGTAGAAACAAAATGTTCATCTTTTATTGAAACTATCCCGTCTATCTGCACCCTGATCTACATAGTAGTAGTAGCTATATACACATAACATTGGACAATTTAATCTCTTTTATCTTAAAAGCAGATGAATCGGGTGTACACATACTATGTGAATGGGTACATCATCCAAGGTTCATTAACTGGCTGAAAAAATGTTTAGTAAGTATTGTAAAATACTTTACAATGTCATTAGCCATTTATTTATTTGAACAAAAATTTAAATATAATATTTACTGAGTGTTTTAAGATAATATTGATTCTATCTTACGGTAATCTGACATGATAGAACAAATCTAAATGTTTTGGAGATAGCTTAGCTTAGACCAATGGTCGTAAACGTTACCAGTTGAAGAGAGAGATAGATATTATGAAGGTATGTGTTATCTCTCTCTAACACAAATTTGATTGGCTGCGTGGTGTCGGCTGCATAATTGGAAAAAAGAATTATTTTGGAAGTTGCCCAGATAACACAGTGACAGCACTATACCGTCAGAATGCCGGCACGGCGACTTGCGTGCTGGCATTTTGACGATAAAGTACATGCGCATTCTGACGGCATTATGCGTGCACACCGTGCCTGGCGTACCTTGCATTCATCATATGAAACTTATGAGCTCGAAGTTATAAATGGCGTGTGCATATAAAATCTCGGACGGTGATAGCCCCGGGGTCAGGAAGGAAGAGGGACCCTGTGTAGACACTCCCTGATGAACGTGGCGAACAAACCTTATATAAAATAGCAGTGGACGACCTGAAGGCAGTCAGGAAACAATCTCGAAGCGAGCTATTTGATTGCAACAGTGGACGACCTGAAGGTAGTCAGGAAGTAATCTCGAAGCGAGCAGAAAACACGTGTGTGAGTAGAGCACATATAACTGCTTGCATAACTTATTAACACTTCGAGGTTATAAACCAAAAGTTATTGTTCAATGAATATAAAAAGTTTTTAAATATGCCAAAACCAAAATTATTTGATGAAGATGATTCTGAAAATGTAGAGTTTAAAGAAAATAACGATTATGCCAAGAATTACGAGCTATGGAGACGTAAGGAGGAAGAGCATAAATGTAAGTTATTTTTCAATCTCCATATTTTAAAACTAATTTTTCTCTAAAATATACTAATTTTATCATATTGGTTTCTAGATGAAGCAAAGCATGGCAAAAAGATAGATCTTAAATTTGATTCAGATGAAGAAACTGAAGATTCATCCTCAGAGGATGATGAAGGAGAAGGGGTATGTTTAATAGTTGTTTTAATATAGGATTTTTATGTTGCTACATTTTTTACTTGATGAAAAATTATGACATAAAAAATATTTATTTGATATTATTTAAGAAAATTCCAGAAGATTTTGACAAATGTTTTTACAAGACACTTGCTTGTCTGAAAACAAAAGACCCAAAAATTTACGATGGAGATATTAAATTTTTTAAGGAAATTGATACAGAATATGAAGAAGGAAAAGAAAAAGAAAATAAAAAAGAGCTAAAAAAACAAAAAGAAAAACCATTATTTTTAAGAGATTATGAAAGTAAAATAGTACTTGAGAGAGGTGGAAAGTTTAGTGATAGTGAAAATGATGAAGAGGAAGAGAATGCTAGGCACGGAGATCTAACATATATCCAAGAACAACAAGAAATCAGAAACAGCCTTAAAAAAGCGTTGCAAGATGAAGATGACAATGAAGAGGAAAACTTGTTCAAACCAAAAATTAAAACAAAGGAAGAAATCCAAAAAGTGAGTAATTTTTTATTACTATTTTTTTTAAAGCTTTTTCAAAGAGTATCATATTTTATCAAACAAGATTGTATAATGTAATTTTGTTCTAATAATCTTAGGAGGAAGATGACTATGCAGAATTTTTAAAAGGTCAAAAACAAGATATTGAAGGAGAAAATGTTACAGAGTTAAAGCCTCTTCGTGATTACTGGACAGATCCTAACTTAGATAAGAATGAAAAATTTTTGAGAGATTATATTTTAAACAATGGTATATTGGATAAAGAGTCAGACACAGATTTTGATTATGAACATAAAGTTCATGATTCAGATGAAAATTTATCAGAAGATGAACATAATATTGATAAGCAAGAACAATTTGAGCATAAGTATAATTTTAGATTTGAAGAACCAGATCAAGAATTCATTAAAAGGTAAAATAATATATAGCTCTTACTCTTACAATTAAACCTATTAATTTACAGTTTGTGTAAATTAATAGGTTATTTATTTTATATATAATATATATATTTTTTATTTCAGATATCCGCGTACCTTAGAAAACACGTTGAGAAAGAAAGATACACGAAGAGCACAGAAGAGAGCAGAAGTAAAACTTCGTAAGGAACAAGAAAAACTTCAAAAACGAGAGGAATTGAAACAATTGAAAGCTATGAAAAGGAAAGAGATTGAAGAAAAGTTAGAAAAACTAAAAGAAATAACTGGTTAGTTAATCAATATCAGTGTATTCACAGTAAGGGATACCAATATAAAGTACTATAATGTAAAGCTTCATATTTATAGGAAATGACGATTTACCATTTGATATCTTGGATTTGGATGATGATTATGACCCTGAAAAATACGATAAACAAATGAGTCAAGTTTTCAATAAAGAGTATTATGCTGGAGAAGAAGGAGATATAAAACCAGAATTTCCTGAAATTGATGATGAACTATTTGTAGAATCAACATGGGACAATTATGATCCAGCTATTGATAAAATTGTTGATGATGACACTATGTATAATGATGGTCCTCATTGCGAAGATCCTGATTTCAATGTTAGTCTTACATAAAAATTATATTTGTCAAATATTATATTTAAATGCTAATTTCATTAATTTTACACAGATGGATGCTGATTTCAATGAACAAACAAAATTGGAAGATGAGCTTATTGAGTCTACAAAAAAACGGAAACGAAGAAAACGTAGCAAATTTGCGGAAATGATTGTAAAGGAAAAGCCTAAGTTTGATCCAGCATTATATTCTTCATACAAAGAATACTACGATCAATATTATGCTCTCGATTATGAAGATATGATTGGTGATTTACCTTGTAGATTTAAATATAGGGAAGTCGTCCCTAATGACTATGGACTGTCTATTGAAGAAGTAACTATTTATACAAACTATTTATTTAAACCTAATATACAATTTATGAGCTAAGCAAGTTCAATTAACGTATTTTTGTCCATACAGATTTTAATGGCCGATGATAAAGAATTGAACAAATGGTGTTCACTAAAAAAAGCTCTTGAATATAAGCCAGAATATAAAGAATTAATTGATGTTAGAAAATTCAAACAAAAAGCTAGTAATGAAGCTTTGAAAAAGAAGATTCTTAAAAGCCTATACAGGTTAGTAATTTTTAAATTAATTGAAAAAAATTATAAGTAATTAAGATATAAATCTGTTCTAAATCATACAGCAATCCAAAAGAAGAAACAAATCCAGCTCCATTAGAATTACTTCCTGATAGTTCAAAAGCTTCAAAGAAGAGAAAGAAAAATAAAAAAGTGTCTGATCAATCTATCCCTATGACAGTTGATGTACAAAATCCAGAAATTTCAAAGAAACAGAAGAATAAAAATAAAAAGCTGAAGTCTAATAAAAATGAAGTTCTTACTGAGCAAAATTCGATATCATCGATTAAGGAAATAATAGATATAGTACCGGTATCGACTTTTAATACTAAAGAAAAAAGTCGAATATCTAATAATAATGAAAAACAGACAAAAGTTAGTAGTCAAGAAACTTCAACCGATACAATTACAGAAGAAAAGGGAGATTCTGTGGAGTCATCAAAATCTAATGAAAATGATTCAGAAGTTCAGTTCAATAATGCGCAAAAAACAGAATCTGCTTTTCAGAAAAACAAGAAGAAAAAGAAACAGACAAATCCTATGGATAAATTACATAAAATTAAAAGTGGCGGAATCTCTAAACCTAACAAACAAGCGGTTAAAAATAAGAGTGGTAGTGAGATTTTGAGTAAAAAGGAACAGAGGAAACAATTATTTAAAAATAAAAATGCAAAATTAAAAAATAAGTCTAAAGATACTGATCAGATTAACTTCTTGAGTGATGAAAGACTTAAAGCTTATGGATTCAATCCTAAAAAGTTCAAAAATAAGTTAAAGTATGGAAAGAAAAAGTAAATCCATTTGATTATTGATCCCCTGTACAGATGTAAGTAATTTATTGTAAATGATACAATGTACGTTGACAAATAATATTTTTCTTTAAAGTATTTAAATAGTTGAAAAAATCATTTTCCAATATTTTAAATTTTTGTATTGAGCAGCTCTAGTTAGTGTAGCATGTTTAGTTATTTTCATGATTGATAGTATGTTTTACTGATGAAAATTCTACGTGTAGGGTGTCGTTTATTAAGAATTTTAATGTATAAATACATTTATACATAGGAATAAAAGTACTTTATTAATTGTTGGACAGAATTTTTTGTCTTATTGTTTATTTTCATACCTATGTGTTCGATAAACTGAAAGCCACGAAATAAAATTTAACATTAAATGTATTTAGGCCAATTAAAAAGTTTAATCGAATTGCATATTGCATATAACGTCAACCATTATCATTTCCTTATGAAAAAGAACGTCACGTTATGAAAAATTCAAATAAGATCCAAATTATTAGCGTACTGTTATTCTTATCACTTTTAATTAAATGTTAACATAAAAAAATTCGAATTCTATGTATACTAAAAGCAGCGAATGTCAAAAAATTAGGTCGAAAAAGAAAACATGCTCGTAAAATGATAAACGATGTTTAAGGATTACGATAAGACTCAGTATGGTTTACCGTTCAGCAATGTTTGAGACTAATCCAAGCCGTATGTCGCGCTCCGCCTCGTAGATATCCCCTTTTCGTTTGTCAATCCAAGTCGGTTGGTTGTTACCCTGTCACTCGTTTCTTTTACATGGGTTTATTTTAATTTACGATTATTCGAATATTTTTTTCTTAGCAAATAAATACGGATCTGGAAAAGCTAATATTATAAAATAATAAATTAATTCCCTTTGTTGCATCGATAAATACTGTAAGAAGTAAAAAAGCGGCCCTTTGATTTTATAACTTAATAGTTTAATCGATTAACAAAATTAAATGTCTGGACTGTTAAATTTCTAATAAAGAACTTTTTGAGGACGTACTTTTGGATTCCCCGTTGTAATATAAATAACTGTTGCGCTTTCAATACTTAATATAACTTTTGTAAAATTTTAAACGTGAAAGAATTCGCGATATTCATTGACAAATTTTATAGTCACTCAATTATTTCGGTAAACGTAAAGACTTGTACGAATAATAATTGTGCACAAGTCTACTGAATTTCTAAAATTTTCAATGGTTGGCGGTATGATTCGTTGGAAGGATCGATGGAAAGAAATGGTAGCCAACTAACGTCTCTCGTTGTAATTAGGCAAGCGACAGAAGCGAGATCCTAAAGCGAAAGGTGTCGAAGCGCGCGCGCGCGTAGGCAAAGGAGATGAAAGAGAAAAGAAAGAAGCAGGCGCGCGCGAGGGTTCCTGAAGTAGCAGCAGAGACGACGACATTTTACGAGGGTCTCGCTCCACCGTGTGTCCCCCTTGGGTGCGATAAATCAATTCTCCCCAAGAGTAGCAGGTGGCTTGCTCGCTTCTCTTCGGCTCACGCCTCTAATACCCAATTAATGCACCTACATTTCACGAGCATTTATCGTGTTCATTCTCGTTCTGCTTACTGCAGCGCGATCTCTCGAGATGCAGCATTGATTGACAAAGTTCCGTGGTGTCGAGCGACAAACTGACGAATTTCACGCATCGGAGCTTTCTTACAGAGGGTCGAGAGAGACAACCGATCAGGGCTCGGCGCGTCAGTCTAATTGATCATCTGGGCTGCTCGAATTGCTTCTATCGGAATTGTTTCTTAATTGACTATGCTGCCAAGAGAGTTGCATTGCTGCTTGTACGCCTATCGATTGATTTCCAAGCGTTTTATCAGACGTTTAATCGGCAGTACTTCTTTAAAGCTTTACTAATGATCCATTTCCGTGTTCAATCGATCAACCAAAGATACTGGCACTTATCTTTTGTAATTAAGTTGAATATTTCATCTATTATCAAATATATCTATATTTCATCAATTTCGTAATACATAACAAATTAGTAACTTGTATCGTTAGGAAAAGTTGCACTTCCGTCACAGACAAAGTATTGCCGATACGGATGAATTGCAAAGTTTCTTCTTTTCTGATTATTTGATGTCATGAAGTTAAATTTTTGTAATGCAATTGCTTTCGAAAAGTCCATATTGCAGTAAGTCACAATACGAATTCTAAATATCTACTTTTACGTTTTACGTGACATTGTCTTATGTAAATTGGAATTTACGTGGCTTTTATTTATAAATTTACCTACTCATTCGACAATAGTTCTATCTAGAACATTATAATCCCAACTTAATTTTAAACAGAATTAATATTGATTTTTATTTGTCGATGTGCATGGTGAATTTTATTAACAGTCTCCACAACAATTCAGTTGTTTCTCGGTAACGTTTCTGTTGTATATTTATGTACTTGAATATTGATTCTCATTTTTCATCTGAATACCTAACTTTTGCTTTATTGATTCTTAACCATTTTTTTTATATATACGAACATTATTTAACTTTTTGTACTGGTTCTTATTGTCAACTAAACTATTATTTTGTACAAGTGTATTGTGATAGTGTTTTAACGTTTCGTTTCAAATTGCCTTTCAACAATAATTAAAAACTTACTTTATCAATCCATATTGCTGTTACGAAAATTTAGTGAATCACATATAATTTCGCTTTTTTATGGTAGGAACATTTATTGCAAATTCTTACGTCTTATTAATAAATGAAAATTCCTGTTCATGTAATTTTACTCTAATGTACGTATGTCGTTTAAGCGACCTTCCGATATCTTTCGCTGAAACCTCGCTAATATTGGCTGCTGGATGCTATTCCTAGTGCACTTTCCCAAGTTCAATTAAAATCATTAAATAAGTTGTAATCGTAGACACCATCTAAAATATAAAACATTTTTACTTCAGAATAATTTTCCGGACAACTTGTACGAGAATTTGTAAATATAAACACTGACAATCTGCATAAGATGCGTATTAAGCGCAATGTATCCTGCAGCTGTAAAGTTTACTGGCCTTTGTATCAGTTGCATGTTGAAATCCCTTATCTATAGAAGATGTTTCAATTGTATATAAGAAACATGCTGGGTAAATAAAAATCGTACGTACTTCACTTTGAACTTCCTCATTGGCGAATGGATCATCGTAATATTTGTTCAACAGATCTCCCGTTTCGATGGACTAAAATTACAAATTTCTCTTATAATAAATTGCACGTTTATTGTATTTACCCTCAAAAACTATCTAACTATGAGTGTCAACCCTTAAATCAAACACTGGTCTGTATTTTTTTCAATTCGTTTCTCTGACAGTTTCTTAGCCTCTTCTAGGGTAATACATCCTAAATTAAGTTAAGGATGTGTTCTACTGGTAAAGAGATGAAGAACGTAACAATTTTTTTAAATAATTGCAATTTATCGATCGTGTATTTTTGAAATTGTTGACAATAAAGTTTCTACAACAAGAAAAATGGTTGATATGACATTTTAATTCGAAAATATGAGTCGAAATGTTGAAAAAATATGCAGATCGGTGTTTATCCTAAGGGTTGATCTTCAACATCGTGATTTTTTAAATTTATTGAACCTATTTTGTGAATAAAATGATGTATTAAATGTACAGCTCACATGTTGTTTACATTGACTACAAGCTCGAGTAAAATTAGAAATTTTGATAGCGTAATAGAGGATCCATACTGCCGAATTGGCAATTGCTTTTAATGCTAAATGTCTTTTTTTATAACCGTCCTGCAGTAAAATATAAGATATGTATACGTTTCCAGTTATGACAACAAATGCGACAATAATTGAGAGCAATATTTGTAGCCCGTATGTATCATTTATTTCTTCGCACACTTTTGTTAAATGTAAATGAATAGTCCTATAAAAATAAAAAGCTTTGTATCATTGTAAACTATTTAAATAGATGTAAAAAATATATGATATTACTTTGCTAATTTTATTAAGCTTGTTGGGTTATTGACAGTATGGCTGATTACATCGAGAGTTAATTTATGATCTTCATTTGTTAGATAATTTACCAAACGTTTATGTCTTGATGCATCAGGTTCATTAGTCAGGATGCCTTTCAAAGATTCGTTTAAGATCTGATATTTACGACCAACGACACTATATTTAGCAAACAGTGAAGTAAAATTACTTGATCACGCATAAAATCGTAATATGCTGGTGGACATAATTGATTAGAATAAAATGAATACTTTCCTCACTCGAATGACGAATGTCATGTCAGCAACAAACATTATAACCACAGGATAGCTAAGTGTTATTCCAGCCGAGATTTTTGCATACAATGGTGCTGGTTTCGTGGTTATCGAAAGAGCATAAACTGTTACGGAAGCGGTGACGAGTATTGCGTACGTTGTCAATTTACCTACGTAAGCTATTCTCATCTTTTTATCACTAATATTGACACTTATACGTTCTATCAGGTCGTTCACCATAATTGCCTCTTTTATGCTCTTGAACGTACCCTTCGGAATGCCATCGAACGTTTGTCATGAGAGATATTATTTTAATGACCAAGCGCTAAACGCCCAAATAAATGATATTACCTCGCTGCGAAACCGCGCAAGTACAATCACGCCAACGGTAAGGACAATTTTTGAACAAAAGAGAAGCTGCAAAGTCACTGCCAATGTGCCCTTATCGGCAGACCAGTTCATCATGTGCGGATATGCCACAGCACAGATTGAGCAGTAACTTATGACCCACATTGACGAATATACTAAGCTAAGTGTTGAACGGCGATTGCCTAGTGGATATTGAATAACGCCCAGTCCAATAATCCAATTACAAATGCACAAAGTGTAGGCTATTCTATTTATTCTTTCGGAGTTCCTCATTTCACTTGTCTTCCGAGTTCCTCGATGACAGTCACACTTATTCGTTTGTTAATGTTATTTTTGCTAATTCTATCCGTTAAGTGGATTGACACTATGTATGCAGCGCACGAGACTCAGCCAGGATCAGTTTATACGATTGTTTGGCATCGACGCAACCGGCTCAGAGCGTCGGTCAGAATGAACTAAGCAGCGCGTCGGACAGTGTTTCTGATGCTGTTATGGAGCCCTCGGTCGGTTAAAGTTGACGTGACCTTTGGCTCAGCAAATTAACTTTAATTATTTCTAGCCACTCCCGTAGGCATAATAAGTCTTGGTCGACATCACGCTATCTCTTATCGAAGTCGTAGCAAATATTGTTCAGATGCCATGAAAGATAAAATAGCTAGCCGGAATTAAGTGTTTGTCACCCTCGTATGCGGCCCAGTTGAACGTTTACATGCATGCTACACATGGACTTGACAGTTCCAGTTTAACAGCTAGTGATATACCTTACTTAGAAACGATTGTTGAGAAAAATAACAATAAGTTGATCGCTTTATTTGCAAATCTGTCAATACTAGATTTGTTCATTTTGACACTTCAATTCCACTGCGGAGATCGTACGGTAGCTTGGTAGCCTGTCATGCAGATCGTTTGGATGATATGTGATCCAAAGATTCAAATGAAAATACACAAAACCTAGGCTACTTTAGAATTATATTCTTTCAAATTTCGACATTTTATGCATTTTGCAGCTTTCCGAATAAACCCCCATAATCTTAACAGTACCCGTTTGAAGCCAATAACGCGCATTAACTTAGTTATCCTATGGATTATATCATTTAATTAATCTATGCACTATAGAACACTAACTCCGTGTCATTTTCCAGCGAGTGTTTTATCGGTGTCATAATATCTGTAGGACCCTTAAACGCCATCTCGCACGCAACTACTTAAACTCGCTCTATACAAAAATAACTCAATAATTTGATGTATGACGTAAGCAAATTTTTAATTTCTTAAATACTGTGGCAATAGCAAAGTGTCTCAGATTTTTAATTATTATTACTAGTTATGCAATATTTTATTAAAATTATCCTTGAGACTCGTCACTGTGTGCAGTTTGTCAAGTTGTATTAAAATCATCAAATATGTGGTTATCGAGGCTATCATCTGAAAATAAAATGTTTTAAACATTAATCATACGCACTTTCAAAAATAAATAAAACAAAAGATTGTATTCAATGCCAGTATTTCTGGTATTCTGTGCATTCCTGTGTGAATGAGATGGAAAGACTTTCTTGGCAAAATGTACCATTTTGTCGGATCAAGAAGAGGATCTAATTTAGACGCTAATTTTTATCAAGTTTAATAAAAAGTATTACTAAAAATTAAATCATTTAATATAAGTCCCTGTGAAAAAATGAAGAATCTCCACCTCGTTTGCAGATCTCTATAATCTATAAACGTTCTTATAATATATTCTTTACCCCGTGTATCAAAGTATAATCTAGATTAACAAATCCATATGCTGTAAATTTTAATGGATCTTGTATAAGCTGCACATTAAATTCGCGTATCTGCAACGAGAAAGGTAATTCATCATATAGCTAATTTATCGATCAATCGTATAATTTGAATTTTAAGATTAATAATGTGTTTTAATTATATGTAATGACTCACTTCTCTTTGCGTTTCACAGTCTGTTTCATGATCATTGTAAAGCCTATTTATAATATCTCCAGTCTTGATAGACTGTAACAAAAAAGAAAATTAATAAAGATTTAATGTATTTGCTTGAAAATTGAAACTAAGATTATAGAGTATTTAAGAACTTTTTTCCGATTATCACTGCAATCGCAATTGTAATAGACAATACTATTTGAAGTCCATACAGTTTATCTGCATCTTGACATAATTTGGTGAGTTGTAGATGGAGTTGCCTTAGAGAAAATTCATGTTATTTTATTCCAAGTCTCAAAAAATTATTGCTCATCTTTTAATAATGAAGTATATTTACGGACCTAGCTTGCGTGATAGTCTGCGCGTGATTTTTTTGTGCCTGATTGACTATTCTAGCATTAATCTTTTTCATCTCGCTTATTGGTTTCCTAAATCTATAATGGGAAAATTTGGTCAAGTTTCTAGTCATATTCTCCAATAACTTATTTAATCCCTCGAAACGATAGCTAGCACAGCTGCATGTGGCAAGGAAAATAAGAATAATTTTTCAATTCTCAAAGCTGAATATTCCTCACTAACTAAGACAATTACAAATACTTCCCTCACAATATTCGTAAACGATAAATCTGCAATATACATTACTACAGTAGGATAATTTAGCGCAATACCCATTATTACTTTTTTAAACAATGGTAAGTCTTCAGAAATTACTACTGCTGAACTGGCGACAGTTATGACTAAAACGGATATCAAAGATGGTATCATATTCCGCACCTGCACTCTAAATAGTTTTTTCGGATTGATATCCAATCCTATTTTCTCCATTAGGTAATCCACCAAAGAGGCTTTTAACGTATATTCGCGTGTAGCCTGTGAAAAACAATATAAAAACGAAAATATAACACCGATTGAAAATACATATTTTCGTATCTTACTTCACTGTTATGCCGTCCTAAAATCATAATACCTATGGTCATGACAACTTGAGAAAAGTAAAGAATCTGTATAGGCAGATGAATGCTTTCAACAGTACACATTTCAATGATTGCTTGGTAATTGAATAAAGAAATTGTGCAATAAATCGTTAGGCAACCCGTCGAATAAATCATACTATAAATAGGATGTGGATAGCCTAACGGATACTCAAAAATACCGATTCCAAACATCCAATTGATCACTCGTAATGGAAACAACTGTTTTCTTATTGGCTCGAAGGTAACCATTTCGTTCGATGTATGTTAAAAGAAAACCTTTTACAACTATTTCAAGCTATTCTTTCATAAAATATATATATGGTTCAGTTATAAATTTTATTGTTATAAAAATGTTCGATATTTTAATAATTCGCAGGAAAACGAAAGGACACCAGTGAATTTATGGAAAGTATTGCTTCAAGATTAAAAAGCAAGATGGTGAATCCTATATGATTATACGTCTAAAGATTGAATCGGAAAATACCACTGAGCCTTGCGTGTTTACCTTGCGCTAGCTATTAGCACAATTAATTTCTTATTGATCTGCGATGACATTGTTTTCTTTATGACCGGCAGGGATCACCAAAACCTCAAGCAAATGTGCTTATATTGCAAGTTTGCATGTGACACTCCCTTATGCGAGTCACCTACTCTACTATAGATATTTTTATTTTTCTATGTCGACAAATGTGCTATACATTCCATATTGTTATATTGCAAATAATATTACACTTATAGTGATCGAACTTGAGATTCATACATTTCTGTATTTATTAACAATTATGCTAGCTCTCACTCGTGAGGGATACGTGTCTATAGATTTTATCATTTAAATTTGTTTGGATTATTTTTAAGACGCGATGATATTTTTATTATAGATGCTGATATATTTACTATAGGTTGATAAATTTATTTTATAAAAATTATTGACAATAGTATTATGTCATTTTCGTAATATTTGCAATAGACATGATGATATTTAAACCTTTTTCTAGTTGAACTAAAATTATATTGTACATTGATATGGATCCCATCATCTGCAAATTAAAATGCAAGTTTTATACTGATTTTATATTGACTGAAACTTGATAATACTTTGACATGCTTACTACAGTAATTATTGATAAATCAAGATTTATAAATCTGCAAGCAGTAATTTGTATTTGCATTGTTATTAAGTGAACATTAAAGTTTATGATCTAAATGAAATTTTGATTTTGCTTTTTTTTTATAAAGAATTACGCAAATATTTCATTAAATAGATTTTTTACCTCATCTCGTGTATCGCACAGATAATAGCATAAGTTTCATAATATAATTCGTTAATTATATTTCCAGTGGATTATGTATTCAATAGACTAAAAATTAAAAGTGTATATAAGAAAGTAAAAATTAAATTAAATCATCAGTGTGAACAAAAGACAACTAATGGGGCACTGTTAAACGAATTGAAATGTTGAAAGTAAAAATCCTTCTTGTCTTGTTAGTAAATGTCGAATCAACTATGTAAATAATAACTATTGGATAATACACGACAAAAGATGTTAGCAATTTTTTATTGAAAAGACACTTTTCAGAAACAAACAGTGCAGAACTAATCGTTGAGAATGTCAACTTAAAGAAACCAGAAACTAATTAATAATAAAACGTTTACATATTGTTGCGTAATTTTTTGGTACATCAATTGATTCTAAAGAACTGTTGGCCTACACTAATTTTATTATGACTTCCTTCAGACCGTATATGTATTGAAAGAAAGCAAATCTCATCAATTTAGAATGGTATCTTTGTTAATACAATTCTAAAAAAACATTAGTAGTTTGCGTTACCTTGCTTCGGTACTATAAATTATTATATTAATAATTTACATTATTATATTATAGCAGCCTAAAACTATAAATTCACGCATTTATTCTCGCAGAACATAATTTACAGGATTCTAGACATTTCACTCATGGCATCGCATTGAATGTAAAGAAATTATTTGAAGTCTGTAGTTATTACTTGATCATATACCAAACGTCGTTCAATCGTTGTACGTGTTTTTTTTTGTGCAAAAAGTATGAAAGTATAAGTGTAAACTATTATGACGGTTTACGTTCTAGATTTTTAAAATACACATTCTTATTTAGATTAATACGTGATATTATTTGCCATATGACAATCAATACAATATCATGATTTAACGTTAAGATAAGTGAAATAAGTCATATGTAATTTTGAGTTAAAAAAACTTGAAATTGTCATTCTACGTTATGCCATAATTATCGTTGTCAGCTAGATTTCTGAACTGAATTAAAATCATCAGATAAGTTGTTATCGACCCTATCATCTAGAAAAACAATTATGCATTCAAATTTATTGAATTAATTCTCAAAATTGCAAGGTGCACATAATACTTACGACATAAATCAATGTTGAATCGATATCAATAAATCCATAAGCAGTAAAATGCACACGAACTTTTAACAGCTGTATTATGAAATTTCTTAGCTATGTCAAATTAATGCCATCAGTATATTATTTATTACGTTTTTAAGTGATTATAGCGTATATTCTACCTCTTGTCGTGTTTGAGAGCTGATGAACAATTCATCGTATAATTCAGCGATTACATCACCAGTTTCATTGGCCTAAAATCAATAAGCACGAGCTCTCATTTACGATTCAGAAAATTAATTTTTTCAAGTTTCTTAGAACGTACATTTTGTGTACAACGAGTGCAGGTCCAGCTGAAAACGTACATTTTAATTCCATAATAAATCATCCAAACTGCCGATACAATGAGAGCAACGTGAAGTGTATGCGGAGACACGCCATATCTTATTAATGTAGATGCATTATACAATTCCGAAGTGATCATGATTAATGTTACCGCTATTGATAAAATAAGTTGCAGTCCAAATAATGCATTTCCCATTTGACTTGCCTCGACCAACTCGAGGTGTACTTTTCTGTATGAAAACATTTTACGTAAGAATATATTGCATTTATTTTAGAATCATTTATTGCTTCACAATGCGGACATGTAATATTGTGATACATTCTTTTCTTGGCATCATACTAAAGCTATTATTTTTATATTAGTAAAAATTTGCTGCTGTTGTAAAAATTTACCGAGATGTTTCAATAATATATGAGTTGTCTTTCTTTGAATAACTCTGCAAATCGCAATGACGAAATTTTATTATTTTTTTGTGTTGCGGAGAATCGTCGGTACTAGTTAGCATATTTTTCAATACTTCATTAAGACTATGAAACTTCCAAGATAGATGGCTGTTGAAATATAAAAATAAAGCAACTATTGATACAAAAATATTATACATCAGATGTATCAAGATCGAATTATACATTCCTTATAATTAGTAAAAATCCAGAGTCACCGACAAACATTACAATCACTGGATAACTTACTACAAAGGCAGTCAGAATTTTCTTGTCCAATGGCATATCTTTTGACAAAATTGTAATTGAATCAACTGTTATACACGACAATATGAAGACCAGTCCGGTAGAAGTTCTGATGACGGATTGTTTGTACATAGCTGCGTAATTCCTTGGTACGCCAATTTTGTCCAATAGCTCATCAACTAAAAGCAACTTTGAAACGCATATACTCAAACCCTGATGGAAAAATATAACTTAATTTTTTTAGACATTTCTATTTTATTTGGTGCCCACTTCAACTTACTTTACTTCGATACCATCCAAAAGCAACGTAAGCGATGGTTAGGATAATGTTGGAATAAAACATAATATTAATTGAAATATTATTTTGAACGGTTCTCATATGGAGAAAATAAGGATAGGAATAACCAGCTAGCATACAATAAGTAGAAAGTAATACTGCTGCATACGCGAAACTTATTTTCGGATGAAATGTTCCCAATGGATATTGTATTACACCTATACCCAAAATCCAATTTGTAGCGTAGACAAAAATGGCTACTTTTGAGAATTCCTTTCTTACTGTCATGACGATATTTTATTTTAAAGCGTACAAAGCAATTCACTATTGTCAGGGGCCTTTACTTAAAAAGTACTTTATGCAATATCAATAAAGTATATACTCTACAAGTTTCTTTATATTCTCATGGTAACTGCGCTAAAAGCGTATAACTAGGTTTGATCTTTCTGTCGTCACTGAATAAGGTCACACGATTGCTAGATTACTAGAGATCGGAGATAGTATACTATATTCCGCGCTTTGTATTTTTCTTCTAGTAATTTATTATCATTACATTGATTTACATAAATCACTTCTATTTTTAACGATACATTCTACTGAAATCGCTAATATTTCAAAACTTCTCGTGGTGCAAAAATACAGATGCACACATAGAAAATGGGATAGATTAGGATAAAAGATAAAATTAAATAATTGAACATCTCTTATTATAGAAACCTAACATCAAAAATAGCTAGCTGAAGTTATTAAATATAATGATGTGCATGGTACTTGGTAATTCAGGATTACTTGTTACTGAAAAACATTACTTTTCGATTTATCATGGACCGGTGAAATAGAATAAATATATTATATTTAGCTTACGCCATTAGGTATTTCAATTGAAACATTTCCACATTGAATTAATATTATTAAATACATCGATATCGTTTGAATAGCCAACAATAATAAAATTAGTCAGTCCTATAACTTTCCTATTATTTATAAAATTTGAATGAAGCTATAATCAGTTGCTGTGTACTCAGCATGGATTCTCAGCGGGCGTTCAATTAATTGCATTTCAAATTGTCTCATCTATAATAATTACAAATATTGCTAAGTAACTGATTGGATTATACGTATAGAAAACAAATAATTCTTTTTAAAGTTATTTCTATTGAATAGTTACTTGATTGTTGAGGTTAAGAGTATTTTCCATTGCTATTATAACATCTTTCGTAAAGAAAAGACTAAAAGATTAGTGAAGGGAAAAATAAAGAAAAAAAAAACGTAAGGAATAAAACAGAGCATGTGTCTGCTAGAGATGAAAGTCGCTACTGGCCTTTTCGTTTTTTTCTATTCTTTTTTTGTAGATGTACCGTGCGCTCCATCATTTTCGTTTATACCCCTGGAAGATTTTTTTACAATTACCCTCCCCCTCCCTATGCGTGAACTCATAATAAGACTTTAGCGATTTTCAAATAGTTACTTTGAAAATCAATTATGTCAAATTGCCAAAGACTTTGATGATATTTTTTATGGAAGATAATTACAATTATAAAGCATTAGTTGATTTTATATAAGATACACTCAAAATTCCTTCAAAGAAATGCATTGGCTATCAAAAGACAAAATTTTTACATATCGTAATAAATAAAATTATTTTCTTTTTACACTTTTCATTAATATTTTCATCGTACACTTCTGCAATGATATTTTCGTGGTGAATGGACAAAACATAGTAACAGAATAAAGTTTACTATAAAATGAACAAATAAAAAAATTATTAACACTGAACATCAATACATACTTCTTAAATTAACTCTACTATGGTGTATAACCACAGAATCGAATATAGTGAAAAATCAATAATCGTGAATTTCATATTTTCAGATCTCAAAAGAGTATAAGAATAAAAACAGCCCGTTAACGTAACATTGACCACTAACATTTAAACCAATACGTGTAATACAAAAACCTGATTCATTTTTACAATATTTTGTAAAGTCTAAATGTAATTCTATTCTGTGGAATAAATTTTATAAATGGCGAATTATTTACATTTATTCATTTATTAAATAGATCATTGACTAAGAAAGTTGACATTTTCTTGCAAATTTAATTTTGTTTTCAACGTTCAATTGTGGAAAGAATAAGATCGACATCTGTCATAGAACCAAACATAATATTTGACATATTTTAGGATTGGTTAATTAAGAAACTTGTCAAGTGAAATCAACAAATATTGAATATTTCAAAATAAAAATAGATTTATAAATTGAAAATAACAAATCATGAAAATTATTATCTAACGAAAAAATTTGAAGACATGACCATCAAAGAAAATCTTGACCATAATTTTATTAGAGAATATGCTTCGTCTAAACTCTTTAATATACGGGACTGAATAAATTGAGGTAAAGGTAAACATAACTAAAATAATCGACACATATTGTGAGCATTCGGTGTTGTTTTATTACTGATAATTCGGAAATATTTATAGTTTGAAAGTGAATTGGACAAAGATAATGGCAAGGTCACGTTTTTAATTTCATTTAGATAATGTTTCTTTGACATAATAATTTTAGCTGGATTATCTTAATTAATAACAGAGTTAGTCAATTACTTTGTATAAATGTCATAATATGAATGTGTTAATATTTTTGTCATCAGTAAAAGTGCAATGACTGAAGTTAATGATCATGCAGCAAATAACATCCATATGATATATAGATATAATTTTTGTAAACATCAATTATCTAGAATTAGTATCTACATAACTAAAATTATGAATGTCATAATATTGACTTCCTGGTACTCATAGTATGTTTTATTAATATAAAATCCATTAACTTTGTTTCTCGGGCTTCTGTAATAAATGGATTTGGTAATAAATTTTGCAAAATTTATTTTATCTATTACAGTATCAAGAAGCATTTTATTTTTATTTCGTTCGCATTATTAGAAACCGTGAATTATGCTTTTTCAATCGCAATACTTACATTTTAATGAAAAAATAACTAGAAAATATCATAAAATATTAAGATTTTAATGACTATTAGTGACGTCAGATACGTTTTACGCGTTTTCTTTTTTTTCATTTCTTGTCATATTGACTCACATATTTAAAATAAATTACTTTTTTCTAAGGTAGATTTTCCCATTTTTTATATAACACATATAATAGCGGAAAAATGAGTATTATAGTAAAATAGTTTCGTGAATTAAACATTCATAACTTTTAATCTTACACATTCTAATATCAGATTATCGATTAGTAATAGGTAATAATCTGAACAAATCCAATTAAGCATAATATCTTGTTTTTACGAAGCAATTCATTTGCTACTAGTTTCATAAAATAAGCGTTAAAACAATAATACTGCAGTCTATTTTTTTATTCTCGTCATCTTCAAAATGACCTGTATCAATTGAGATAAAATGAAATTTTGATACTCAAATTTCAATTCAGAACCATATTTATTTTCCGTCACATAACAATATACTACATAACCATTGTATTTGAATCAATTAGACCATGAATATAATATGGTTGAAAGTGGCATAAATCACTTTTTTATAAAAAAAATGTATTATAATTTTTTATATTTGAAAATTTATAGTCTTCTCAAACCTTATTAAAGAAAATAGTAAATTTAGGCGAGTTCACTATAGTATCAAAACAAGTTTGCGCAAAGTATAATAAAAAGTTTTGAAAAGGTGTAACATAGAACAAAATAAACGAATAATTTGGCCCGTAGAAAAACCTATATTTGCAAAGTAAAATTATATCTATCATAAGCGTACTGCAGCGTAGTTAATAATACAGATATTTGACAAAATCGAGGTTTTTTTGGTTCCATATATTTTATGTAATAACACGTTAGGGATAGTAAATTATCTTTTTTATTTCTGAAAATTCGATAAATTATTAAAAGCTACATACCGAATATCTAACACAAAGAAATTTTTTTTTTAATTATCTCCCATATTACACGAACTAAAACATTGTCCTACTTCTTTGGTCGATTACAATTGATAGGCTACAAGAAAAAGTTCGGTATATCCTTTAAATTGTGATTAATAAATTTTGACTTATATATAACATAATATATAACATAATAAAATATTATATAAAATATTACCAATTCAAATTTAATTTCAATGAAATATTTATTTGTATGTTGATTTTGAATAGTTTTTTAATTAATTACTACTATGTTAGTTGATACAATATTATTCCGGCATTCGAAGTGTAACTTTTCCAAATTGAGTTAATATCACTAAATATGTTGTTACAGTTCCAATAACCTGGAGAATCCAATTACGTTATTTAGAATTTTAATAAATAGATTTTATCCAAGGAAAGTACTCTGTAAAATACTTAATTTTTTACGGATTACCTTTTGAGTTAAACTATAGTCCAGTGCAATCAAATTACAGAGATGAAAATGTAAAGGATGGTGTACCAATTGAATTTCAAAATTACGAATCTGACAAAATACCAATGATAGTAACCAATATATTACTTTTTTCACAGTATCAGAATTTTTTAATTGAAATACATTCAATCTGATATAATGAAAGCAACCAAAGCAAGAGTTACCTCGTTCTTACTCTCTTTAGTAATCATTTCTTCGTACAGTTTTGAAAGAATATCTCCCGTTCTAAGAGTCTGTATTACAGGTAAAAACATATTTTATTTTAAACACAAAATGGATGATTACATTATAATTAAAAATTAAACTTACTTCTTGAATTACATCATTGCAGCATTTTGTAAAGAGGTATATTTTTATAGAATTATAGATAATTACAGTACCCATCATAGAATAAACATGGTAACTGTCAAGTCTGTTAATATCGGATGTGAATACATTATAAGAGTGATAAAAACTCATTGTCAGCATAAAAATGGCAACTAACACTGATATCAAAATATGAATCGCAAAAGCTTCATTAATCTTTTCACAAAAAATTGTTAAATGCAAATGTGCTTTTCTGTTAAATTAAAAAAGAATTTTCATGTAACAAGGCGGTACTCACAATTTTAATAACATGCATATGGCTTATCAATTGTACCTTGCCATACTGATAGTATAGTTTTGATCACTAATTGTATTTACTATTGATGATTCATCTTCTGTATTAGATTGTTTTTCAAAATATTTAATTGTATTAAAGTATTGTGGAATATCAAAGCTCGTTGTTAGTGTATTCTTTAAAGTATCATTAAGGTTCTTGAATTTCAATTTCGAATAGCTGTACTTAGCAAAAATAGTTATAAACTATGATTTCAATTACAATTCATCATGTGAATAAAACTTATTTACTTACTGTACAAAATGAAAAAATGTTGCATCTACAACAGACATACTGACTAAAGGATAATTGAATGAAATTAAAGATACCATATCTCTGATTGATAGTTTTTTCTTATAAATTAATGTAAAATTAATCATTAATACAGCTGTAGCGATAATTAGTAAATGAATCAATTGCTTTCGTAATTGTATCTTTAAGGTTTTTTGATAAACCGTTTTTGTTTCAATTTTTTGCAGATATTGATCTGTTGTAATGCCACGCTCGAGAATACAGTGTATTTTCTGAAATGACAAATTTATTTTCACATATTGGATTTCAAAGTCATTATAAATACTCGTAAAATTACGAAGGTATCTCAACATTTGTATAAAACTCTTACCCTACTTCTATGCCATCCTAGCAGTACAGTACTTATGGTTAGAAAAATATAATTAGCAAAGAAAACGTTGGCAATACTGTCGTTAGCTTCTATCTCTCGGCTAAATGCTATGGTATACTGGTATGAATATATTGCGAGTAAACAGTAAATAATTAAATTGCTTGCTATGTATAGACCACTAATTAATCGACGTGGTTGTCCTAAGGGGTATTCTAAAATACCTATTCCAAAAATCCAATTACAAATCAATAATGGAAGAGTTGCTTTTTTTATTTCCGAAGAAATATTTTCTTTCGCAGTCATTGTTATATGCACAGTGTGTAATTTTTATTGCCCGATCTTTAATAATTCACATGAATATTTATGCATTTTACTTATTTTTGTTTAAAAGATTACAAATTTAGAAAAAATTACTTATCGATATGTATAAGTTTTTAATATTGTTTCACCACACAAAGAACTAGAATTACTCGAGTGCAATAGCAGACTGAAAAAAACGACATTATCAAGTGTAATCTTTGAAAGCCTATGCCACGCCCAGAAAATTATGCGAGAAAAGTGCTTACTTACGAACAAAAATCAATATGCTGTAGTACATAACTCTAAATTTAAATTAATGATTACTATGTAACGGCCCGCCGTTACATAGTAATTTAATTATTTTAATTTTAATGTTTTATTACGACAGAAATAAGGTAGAAAGAAAAATTTCTTATACCAACAGAAAAAGCCAGAACATCGTTTCTTACAGTGAGAGACAGACCAGAGGGTCCGCGATACAAGACGCTAGCTCTCTTGTCGCGCTCACACCGGCCCTTCGCAGAATAGTCGTAAAATTTTTTTTTAACTAGGTTTAGATACAGCATAGGAGAACCATGAAATTTTAGCTATATCCTGTTTCAAGATTTTCCTAGCGTTTTCCACCTTTTTGGATGCTTAAAATTTAACATGGAAAGAGAATTATACAAAAATTAAAAATTATAAAGTAGCAAAACAACAGAATGATAGATAAAAATTGTAGCTTCTTGAAACCTTTCGCGTGTTTTTTGATTAGAATTATAGTTTCAATTTAAATGATAAATGTATCCACAAGTTTTATAACCGTTTTTATTAAATAGGTCTACTGGACTAATAGTTATTTGAAATATTCCTTCTTTAATAAATAGCACTATATCAGCTCATAACGTGATACAAAAATTAATTTATACGTTCATTAATTTATATTGATTTATGGTAAATAAATTATTCAACATAAGTAAATTACACGCAAATAGTAATTACTTTTATTTTAAAATTCTCAAAATTATTTGTTTAAAATTTACTCTAAATTAAAAGATCAACACACACATTTTATTGATAATGTGGGATTGGTGGCTTGAGTTGATGAAGTGATAAGTCAAGTAATGAGATTGTATTTAGTAAAATACTTTAATTGGTGAAAAAATATAGGAGTACAACGTGGAAAGCGAACACGTGCACTATGCAAAGGTTCCCAAAAGACGGACTAACTGCCTTTCGCAGAGGATTTTACTATTTTTTCAACTTTTTCGCTCCCACGCTTTCTCTATTTTTTATAGTATTTTCCAAACACGTGCAATCCAAATGTCGTATCGACCTTATCCTACGGTCTTTGGCACTTTTAGTAAGCGTGCGAGTTCCCTTGTAAACGTTCAACTCCCAAGCTTTTCTTACCCATCCTACTCAAATCTGTCTACTCCACAATAATAATTAAATAAGAGAATTGTATCTTGATAATTTTTAAAAGTAAATATGAATTAAAAGCTATATTAATGGCTACAGTTTAAATCATAAATTCAATATACATTTTTATCTTATCAATAATTGTAACAATAAAATGTCAATTAGAGCTTATTAATTGAATAACCAGCCAAGAAGACATAGAATTTGAAATTTATTCATTAATTTCATTTAAAAGTAATGTAAGGCGTAATTTTATCAAATTAAGTTGTAAGATTTTGCGTAATTAGAAAATTAATAATATTCTTAAAAATCAAGTAGAAATAGATACTTGTGTAACCATAAATGTATCTATTCCATCGAATAAGAGCCGGTAAGGGTCTTAAGCCCACGCCCACAGTTTCCCCTACCCCACCTCACCAATTAGAACCCGAACCTCGAATGAGAAAAGTGGTAAGATAATTGTAAGCCAATAAGAAAAGTGCTGCCCATTCTGCCTTCCTCGGTTCTGAGGAGTAAGAGAGGGATATTCCTTCCAACCACCCTCAGGGTTTAAAAGCGGCCACGCGGGCTATACACACCAATTGTCTACCGTAGCCCGAATAATAGTGAGAGATACCAAGTGTAGAAGGCCCAGGAAAAAATAAATAAAAAGTGAGTAACGCAATATTTCTAGTTATCTTCTTCTCTTTCTTCTTTAACAAGCTTAATTCCGCGTTTTTTTTTTTGGGTCTTTTAATAATATTGCAATAATATTTCAACAAGAGTTTAGGATATTATTCTACAAGACGATCGCGATATTTTTAATTTTTTTATCTTTGCGTGGATATTTCGGCAAGGTCCGGGATATCCACTTACAAGAGGCGAAACCATTGAGTCAAGGTCCTCGATGAAGCTCTTGTAACATTGAATAAAAGATAATTGAAGAACACGCACCGTTAATGCTAAGAAACTTCTTTCCTTCCAATTGCTTGCTTGGTTTAAGTATCGCTCGCAAACCAAATAGAGCAACTTGAGGTTACGTCTGCCTCAGGCGTAACTAAGGGTGACATTGAAATTTTTGCAAGCCCCGTAGTGATATGTTGGAGTGAAGAAGCTTCTTAGGGTTTTAAAAAACAGAAGAAAAATTGCCTCAGCAATATCAAAAATAATAACACGAAAACTGAATTTGATATGTTTTGATTTTTGAAAAATAATAAATCAATCAAAAGGTTGTCGAAATAAGATCAAAAAAATATTCTTGTCAATCAGATTGAAAAAAAAAAAATTTGAAAATTGAATTCTAATAATTGAAAGAAAGAACTATATTTGAAAATTAAAAATCGAAAATAAAAATAATGAAAAGAGAAAAGAAATTAGAACTAGAAATTTATGAGAAAATTGAAAGAAAGGTTTTTTCCAAAATTAAGAAACATAACAAATACAATATTTAGCATAAAAAATTACTAGAAAATTAATGAATTTTACCAATTCGAAAAGAAGATTGCCTTAATTTATTTATTATATTCTTAACATGTACATTGACTTTGCCATTTTTTTAGCAAACCAATTTATATAAAATTATAAAGAAGTTTTAGTTTAGTCAAGAAAATTATGTCAGTAAATATAAGAAAATACAGAAATTCCAAAAAATTTTTTTGCGATAGGAAGGTTGTAATAAAAAAATTTTTTTCTTGTTGTAATTAATAAACTTTCTGAAGAATTGATTTAAAAACCTTGATTATAGTCACAAATTAAAGAAATAAAAACTGAAATAGTCATAAAAGAAAAATAAAATGAGTCACTGGAAAATATATTTTGAAAAAATTTTGTAGCTGTGTATTGCTTGAAAATAATTTCTAAAGAAAATCGTTAAGCAAAGTCTTTCTCAAAATACGAAAAAACGAAGTAAAAATGGTAAAAAATGAAATAGAAATATAAATTAACTTTAAATATGCAAATAGAATAATAGAATAATTTGATCTCTAAAAGGATATATTGATCTACATTGTTTGAAAAGAAAAAAAATATATAAGTCGTTAAGAAAAGATATTATTTGTGAACTAATTAAACAATCGAAAGGAATAAAAAGTTACTTTTGTAGAGATATTTAGCGTTTAAAGCATAAATAATTATAAGTGTAGAAAATATAATAGAACAAACATCATTTTAGAATAGAAATCAGAAGGATTAGTTTTTTAGACTACTTGACATTATCGCCAGTCAAGAATATTCTTCTTTTTATTTATCATGTCATTTTTTATAAATCATACTATTTTTTCATACGAAGTCATCGATATGGTAGACCAGGTAGTCTAGGACATTGTAATTTTAAAAGAGAGTCAGGATACGGTAATCGAGTTAGTAAATAGCTATAATGCTACAATTGCAAAAATTAATCAGAGCGATCGTAGTATTGGCGCGCATATTGGAGAATTTGAATCAGAAAATAGAAATAAAATTTATCAACTAGCTAGTTTAGGTAATCTGCGTTAATTTAGTCGAAATGAAACCGCCTTGAAAAAACAATAAGTGAAATTAGGAAGGAGTTAGTTAGTAATAAGAAATCGATTATCCGAAATACAATTAAGAAATCTTTACCAGAAAAATCAGATAATTAACTAAGAACCTAGAAAATTTTAAACTATAAAGTATTATAATTTTAGTTTTTTTGAAGAAATTGAAATGCTTGTATATATAGTGTAATAGTGATATAAGTATATATTTAGACCTTTAGTCAGGGTTATAATCGATACCAATAGAATGTTTAGGGTAGCTAGGGTGATTTTTATTTTTTTTTGTATTTTGACATCACAATATTTTAACAAAGGAAAAAATTTCTGGGTTTCAGTGGATTGCGAGAATCGTCCCGTCAGGAAAAAATTGACTGAGTGCCAGCGGAAACGATTAGCTAGGGAAATTCAAAAGCACCCCGACGCTCTACCCCAACATATCTATGAGCAAGAAAGAAGAAAAGAATTTTTAAAAAATAGAGAAGAAAAAGAAAAGAACTTGGATAAAAGGATAGAAAACATAGAGAATAAAAAAATTCAACTGTAAACACGGGTTCAATATATACTATTGTGAAATTTGTGTCCGAAATTTTAGACAATATGGTTCAATTCCGAAAAAAATTTAGCATTAAGAAGACTCTGAAAAAACCAGCAGTCGAATTAGTCTAGATTCTAACACAACCGCTCTCCGTGATACACATAAAGGAAAACAAAGAAAAGAAACCTAAGAAGCGCAGTAAAGAAAAATTGGAAAAATCATACAAAAAATTGTTAGGTCCAGAAAAGGAAATATTAACGAATATAAAATTAGCTGAAGTAAATTTACTACACAAATAAGAAATTGAAAAATAACACAAGAATGAAAAAAATAGCGGAATTCGAAATAAAAATAGAAAATAAACAAAGAGAAATATTCAATTTGTTAGAAAATTATAAAATGTCATTAAATAATATGTAACATATTCTGTGTTTAAATCCTTGTCGTTTACTTTTTTTATAATCGCATTAATAACTTTGCAATTTTGCTAAGAATGACAAATTATTTTTCGACCTTTTTATCAATGTTACGATGTTATTAAAATACTATTTTATCATTTTTTAAAATAATTCATAAATTGTAATATTTTGAAGGCATGATAAAACACATAATAGTTATTAAATAAACATACACCATAGCCATGTAGTTATTAAAAATAATATTGGTTTCTTTATATATTCAATTTTTTTTGTTCGGTACATAGCAAATAACTTTTAGATGATACTTTAGAACTATTAAATAATACTATGTTAATTTACAGCCTCTAAAACATGCAAATAGTTCATTAGTTTGATTTCTTTAGCTCTTCAAATTTGAGCCAAAATCCATTTTTTCGATTCATAGGAAAACTTGTTGTATCGTAATCATCAATAGGATGTCGTGATTTTTCCGTAAATTGAATAGTGAATCTTAATATATCAGTGATTCCGATCTTGACTACCATAAGAGCAAATCGATTGCCAATGCACTGCCTTGGTCCTATACCAAACGGCTGATACATGTATGGGTTAATACTGCTTTTGTTACTCTCACTGAATCGTTCAGGATCGAATTTGTCCGGACAAGGAAAATATTTAGGATCACGGTGATAAGCATAGATGGGAAGAAAGATTTGCGTTCCTTTCTCCACATGCAGGTTAGGATACCCTTCCATTGGCGGTGAAAAGTCATATTCCTTCACGCAAACCCTGTTGGTGAATGGTGCTGATGGATACATTCTCAAAGTCTCGTTTATCACCATATCCAAATATTTTATCTGTACTAGAGAATTGTAGCTAATTTTGCCATTATCCTTGTTCACTTGATAAATAATCGCTTCCCGTAATTTATTTTGCACATCAGGATTAGCAGCAAGTTGGTGGCACAAGAAGGACATCGCACTGGACGATGCATCGAAACCAGCCAGGAAAAAGAAGAAAGCTTGGCCTATTATGTCGTCAATAGTGACTTTCTGAGAGTTATCCTTTTTGTCCATGGCTAGCATCAGTAGATGAATCATGTCTTGTCTGACAATACCTTTCTCTTGTCTTACCTTCACAGTTTCGGTTATAATATTTTTTAAAAACCGATCCGTAGCGTTTGGAAGAAAGGTAAATCCAGCCCAACGCATAAGTTTTGGAAAAATGATCATCAGTTGGAATCTGATGAAATCTATTAATTTAAAACTGGTTGCTGAAATACCATGACGATAAAATTCATTGTTACGGTCCTTCATGGAGTTTACTTTGATTCCGAAAGCAGCTGTACCGATAACATCACCTGTGTATCTGCTGAAAGCATCCTTGGCATCGAAGCTACTTGCAACCTATAATTTATTTAAAATCAAACGTAATTTGAATGAAAAATTCTAAAAACAGTTTTAGTTATCAAAGATAAAATTAATAATAATATGTCGTTGTTACATTATTTTTCAAAAGATGAATAATTTTGAACCAGTATTACAAAATACGTTTCAATAAAGTATGGATCATATTGCGAAACGATTGCTTCCGTACTCAAGATATTGTTATCGTTAGTGTCGCACCAATGTAACAACGTCAAACTGTTATCTAATATGACTGAAATAAAAATACCCTTTCGAAATTTACGATAGCGATCAAGATATAAATTTTTAAACTGTGATACATCGTTAAAATTATACTTATTTTTATAGCTTACCTCAGGATTGTCCAAAAAGTATTGAACAAAATCATTTGAGCATTCGGCAATCAGCTCGAACATCAGCTTCATTCGTGATGCAGTAAAACTTGGAGTCAACAGGTTTCTCATTCTTCTCCAATACTCTCCCTCTAAGTTAAAAAGATTTCGGAAAATAACAGGGTCCATATCCTCTGTAATAAATGCATCGTGATCCGAGAAACTGTCGAAGTTCTTGATGCAGATCTCGCGCACTAAATCAGGATCTTTGATTAAAATTGCTGGTGTTTTATTGTCGAACGCGCCAAAGTATCTTGCCCCCGGGAAATTGTTGTATAACTTTTGGAAGTGAGTAGAAAAAGCGTTGGTTCGAAAGAAAAGTGGTGCGGTATTGCCGAAAAGTGGCGTAGGTGTCAAATGTAACATTTTACGACGTTTCCAATAAGTAAATTGATGAAAAATGATATAGCCTGCATATAGAAGGCCTACGCCTAACGCAAAAGACACCAATGTTAGAAATTGTATCATTTTTTGTTCATACTTTTACTTTTTAATCTGAAAATACGCTCGATTTGAACGTCGCTAATGTAATTTGACGTTTGCTTGTTAGCGTGATACTTGAAACTGGTTTATAAATACTCAGCGAATACATTGCTGTTAATCATTATGACTGAGCATAAATTTATCATCTCATGTACAAATGGTTATCTTATCAAAGAGCCACGCAATTTATATTGTAAAAACGATATGTCATTCTGCGTGATACTCATTTATTATTATTATTTATCATGCATTATTCAATTCATTGGTATATACCATTTTTTAAGTTCATTAGTTTTATCATCTTTTCATTTTCTTTAGTATGTTGAGCCAATCAATATCCATTAACTAAACAATTTTCTGTCTTATATGGTATCTACATAATCACTCACAATCAGACTATTAATTACTGGAGTAGAGTCCACATACTGACTATCTTTACATAATTGATTCACTACAATATGTTGATAATTTATTTTTAGTTTTGTTGTTTGTGTCGACAATGAGAACGAAAATAATAATGTTAAACTTATAAAATTATATATGTTCAAAGGTTATATTAAAATAAGAGATCACTTAAGTGAGTCGAATAGTACATTTCCCTACTAAATCTGAACAGTGATTTGAGCCTCCTATGCACTTTTGCGGCCGAGTATCCAACCTGCAGTATCTAACATTTTTGGGCCTCCGTGCGCAAGAACTCGATTTGCGCTGGCTTGGGAACGCAAACGTGCTTCGAATTTCATCTCGTACGCGTACTGTCGAAAAATCAAGTTGGATAGATGTACGAAAACGTGATTTTACCCTAATGTGGACATATGCGCCCGAGCGAAGCGAGGGTGTAGAGGCCACATGAGGGTGAAATCACTTTCTCTTATTAGCATCAAAATATTAAATCACCTCATTATAAGCAATATAGACCTAAAATTATTGTAAAATATATACAATATTGAGTAGTGACCGTCACAACGGTCGGGTATTCATTATCGACTCTAAGGACCCAATATGGTAATAATATTGATAGAAATTCCGTTTTATATTCTTTAAGTAAAATAGTCATTCTTTTATGAGTTGTACTATTGTGAAGGTACGATTCAACTTCCTGTGATATGTGAATGTCGCTGAGCTTTTGATTGATTGGAAAAAAACTGCATATTTCATTTGACTATTACACAAATGTGATCGATATGGTCGATAATTTCAATGTCATATATTCCGCAATAAAATACAATATAGATAAATTGTATGCATATTTTGCAAGGACAATAATCATAACATTTGATTTTATCGTAAAAAGTATAATCATAATTCAACTCATGTCGAGTAATATGGCTCAATATATAATAAATGATGACAGTGTTCGTAAAGATAGTATAAATGATTATTGGTACTCAAGACGTAAGAAAAGTAAATTAATTATAAAATGTATTATTTGACAAATAATACTGGTATCTTTAATTAGTAATTTATTGGTAACTTTAACTAATTATGTTCTATGATATAATCTTAATGAATTTAAAAATTTGTATTCTTAATTCTGTATAAAAACATATTGGAATGGTCTCAAACCAAAAAAAAGCTATTATTTACAGAAATTGCAATAGAGAAACTTTCAAACAAATTTTATTTGCATGTGTAACATAAGTTTGAAAAAGTTTAAATTGATTTTTGAGAATACAATTGTTGCAGTTGTTACAGAGATGTAAGCCAAATATTAGGCACATATGCACTCATTATCTGCCTTTTGAAGATTTTTTATACTTTTTTGATGTTATTTTTTTGTTAGACATCAGTATAGCTAGTATACAATTTAATATGCCGATAATTAATGATTCTTTACGTAATTTGAATCATTAAAACCAATTGGAATGAAATTAATACTATCAAATTGAACTGTGATAATAAGGTAAACTCCAACTGTACTAATCACCTGCAAATTTTATAGTAAGTCATAACAAATTTAAAAAACTTCATACACACAAACAAGTCCTTATGTCGTTATGACTTACATCTTGAATTAATCTGAAATCAAGATTGAAGCAGCCATATATTGTCAAAATTAATTTATTTTGAATCAATTCATTATTGAAATTGCGTATCTGAAATAAAGCATCATATGAATATTCACAAAAAAATTAAGAGATAAAATACTCATACCTCAGTTTTAGTGTTATCGCTAATAAAAGGTTCATCATACAATTCAGAAATAAAGTCACCAGTAGCCATGGACTGAAAGTACAAAATTAATTGTTTTAATTTCAATTTTATGAATTAAACCGAATCTAAATCAGTGACATACTTCTTTAGAAATCCCATTACACATCCAACTGACTAAAAAAATCTTGGTCACACTTTCGATGATCAAGTTGCAATTCGCGACTGTGATTCTTAACTTAGTGTTATCGAAATTGTAGAATGTTACGTTATCGTAAACAGTATATAAGTTGAACAGCAAGAGTAGCATATGATAAAGGATAGATGAAAGAAGATGAAATTCATAAATATTGTTCGTCAGTTTGCTTAAATTAACCAACTGGCCATGAATTTGTCTAAATAAAGAAATTATATTTTTTCAATAGTTGTATAATATATTATGTATAATGATTAGTACCGAATTCTTACTTTGCCAGTTTTAATAGGTGAGAGTGATCTTTTCTAATACTTTTTAAGAGATGTAATTTAGGATGTTTTTCTTTGTGAATCGATTCTTGAAGAGTTCTTTTATGTTGAGGTATTTCAGTCTCACATATTCTTAAACTTCTTATTAATTGGTTGAGTTTGTTGAATTTATTTTTTAGAAGCCTGTTGATAATGTAAAAAAATATTAAAAATTGGTAATTTAAGAAATTTTTGTTTTACACTTCCGCTGTGCGACTTTCCATATAAAACCCAAAAATGAAGAATCAACTATGGATATCATGATCATCGGGTAATACCAAGCAGCAAATAGTATGGGCGGTCTTATTATTGTTGAATTAATGTAAATAACACAAACATTCACCATAATGATAAGAGGACGGTATAGGAAATAAGCAATGTATTTTTTAAGGTGTTTTCTGATTATTTTATAATCTTCTGCCTGTATTCCGACCTTGTTCATTAAAACAGTTGTGTCCAATATTTTTGTAACGCATTTGAATAAACGCTGTAAATTTGAAAACACAATGGTAGAACGTAATGAAATATGTTATTCAGTATCAATTTAGTGTGGGTTGAATAAGAAATGATTACCTTAGCTCGAAAGCATCCAGAAAGTATTATATAATTAGTTAATAAAAAACCCCAACTCATTAATATTTTCATATGAAAAACATTTCCTTGAAATAAAATCTTTACATAAGGATATGCAAACCATATTACTATCCAGTATAGACCTAAACTTATTGTAGAGTATACATAACTTAGCCGTGGCCATTGCGTCCCGATCGGATGTTCAATTATACCGATTCCAAAAATCCAGTTTGGTAATAGAATTAATAAAAATGGTGATCTTTCTTCTTGAAGTGAAACCGACATCTTTTTATACGTTCTATTACTGCCAAGCTATTGTTTGATTTAACATGATTTTAAAATGTCGTCAAGCTTTCGACTGATTGAAAATAAATCATGTTTGCTTATTTTATTTGAAACTGAATATTTTACTGTTACTGTATAACAGAACAATATTTTACTGACGTGGATTTTCATTAAAAATTTTATTTTTTTCAATTTGGATTATTGAGTTATTCGAACATAAACGTGTAACTTTAAACATATATTCTTTGTTTTTATTGTTATAATTAACAAAGAAAAAACAGATACAATGTGATAAGTTTCAATTTTTTTGATGAATAGTTAATAATACTTCTAAATTTCAATTATGCTAAGAACAGTACGGACTTCAAAGGTGTTTTTATTACTGATTATGTAAGCTTATTTTGGATGATATTTTGAAACGTGATATGCCCGATTAGTGAATAATGTAGTAAAATAAATGTCTAATCCATTGCATATAAATAAATGAAATTATGTTCAATATATTAAAATAATTTCGTACATGAAATATTTATTTAAATTGCTGATAAGACATAATGTATAGTTATCTATTTTTAACACCATTAAATTATAATAAATATATATTTTTACTATTATTAATGGTTATTTTCAAACTATAGCGCATAATTTTCTAGATTCCCTCGGAATAATTTAAGCATGCTTTTCTTTTTGCATCTATATTTTTATAAATATAATCAATCGATATGTAGTTATGCAGCAGTCGTGACATTTTCATCTTTTTTCAACTAAATTATTAATTGCTCTTACCACATCGGATTGATATTGAACCAAAAGTATCAAATACGTAATGATTGATGTTAGAAGCTATATAAATTAAATAAAAATTAATTGTTAAAATTATCATCATAGTAATAAAATTAATTTGAGAATGTTCCAACCTCCTTTATATAAAGATAATCAAATACGATTAATCCCGATACTGTACAATTTAATGGATTTTGGAGTATTTGAAGAGAGAGCTGATGTATCTTGAAAAATAAAATAAAAATTAAAGTCAATCAATAAGCGATATGACCAGAAATTTGTGAATTATTTGCTGTTTAAAATTTTCTTAATTTGAAAATATGAATGGTTTAATTAAAGAGAACGTTTCAACTCGAACTGCCATTTCAGCAGCATTTTTTAAAAAAGTGATGTAGAATATCATTTACCTCGTCAGTGATTTTACTTTCCGTATATGGTATATATATTTCGTGAGCTGATTGACTGGTTTGCGCAGCCTAAAAAGATAATTATTAATAAAAATAATTACATGGAAAAATTAGTGATTACCTCTTTCATAACATTGACAGCTTCTTTTGCTGCATAAATGATATTGATGAGGAAAAATAGCACCCAACTTATTGACCAAATACAATTTATTATGTCACTGATACTATCATTTTTGTCTCGTAACACGAGAAAAGTATTGTAAGATAATCCAACAAAAAATATGAAAGCTGTTGACATCTGTAAAGATAATTGGGCGCCGAAAATGGAGTTGAATTCGCGAAAATTTCTACATAGACCCAAATGAAGTTGCCTGTTGAAAATGATTGATCAAGTATCGCTGACCCTATGTCTCTATTTTTTATCATACTGCGTCAATAGAACGGTTACCTTGTAATTTTTAAGACTAGCTCTAAATTGTCCCTTTTTCGAAAATAATATGATTTGATATTATTTTCCAATGTAACCTTCTTACTTTTCCAATGTAAATTGGGCGCTTCTTTTGAAATCCGCGAGGCATTGTGAATAAGTACATTCAACATTTTAAACCTTCTACTAATTATACTTGAACAGAGAAATAATATAAAATATTATAACTGATAAATGAAAACAGGATCAATTGCAGCTAATGATACTAACGAAGCTTTTATAGCGAAATTTAATTGTATTAGAGTGTTAAGCATAAAGATCAAATCTCTAGTTACGACAATTGATATTGCTTCATATAGCGATTTTCGTTCAAATATATTTATAGAAAATACGCTCGTTATACTTATTATGATGCCAGTCGAATACCAGACGCCAATTCGATTTAAATTTTCTTTAAGCTCCATTAAATAATTCGAAGTTATTTTGAAGACTTTCAGAGTTTCATCTACCATCATGATATGTTGTATGAATTTCTTCAATTTCTTAAAATCAATAATAATCATGATCAATAAAATACAAGTTCAATATCCCAATACAAACGGAATAATTCTTACCTTATAACTCAATAAATGCATGAATGTACAAATAATAGCTGTGACTAGCGCAGTGTACGTGCAAATTCGATGTACTATCATGAGTATTGGGCGCTGTTTAAAAGTATTGTACTCATGGTCACGCGTATTCCAAAAGAAAAAAGTAAGAATAATTAATCTTCCAATATTATATGATATGCTCAATTTTGGCCATAGCGAATTACTGGACGTTTCAAAAGGAGACACCCCCCATAAGCTATTTAGAAGTTGCAGAGGAAACAGAGATTTCGATACATTCTTCACCGTGATTTTCAGACGTAATCTTTTCATGTATTTAAGTGTCATTTTTTAGTATTATTAAAATATTAATTATATAGGTATTTTACTTCAAAATTATTAGAAAGTAGTTATTTCAAAGATTATTCGTGCAGTTCGTTATGTAACGAAGTCTGAATAGAAATTGTTGGCGAAGGACAGTAGAAGAAAGTAAGAAATCTTTTTAAAATTGCTCAAGAAATCAATAAAAAACAATACAGGAAGTTGCTTTTAACCAGACCAAAATGATTGACATTTATGTAATATTTGACATTAAATATTAAGAACATTGTAATTTAATGGATGTGTGTGTGTATGTGTGTGTATATTTCTCTAGTATAATAGAATCTTGTATTAACGGAAAAAGCAATGTATTATTACTTGTAATGCGATAGCTATAACCACGGAAATGAAAAAAATTAAGTTAAGAACTAATTTTATAAGCAGTTTTTCAACGATGCATATCTCAAAAAAAAACACTAAATGATAATTTTTCAAATATTAGTTTTGTCATCTAACGTCTTTCTTGCTTATTTTATTTCAATATCAAACTATGCCTTTACAGAGTATGTTTTTGAACTAAACTATATAAATTCATTATTTATAATTATCTGTAGTTCTAAAATTACTTTATAAAAGCTCTAAACAAAATTCAAAGCGTCAAATTATGCTATTTGTACTTGAAGGATGTTTTCAAATGGCTGAGATAATTATACAGCAGTTATTTTGGCGTTATGATATTTTATCGTGTTATGCGATAAAACTTCAGTCAGTTTTATTACTTACAAGCCATTGACGAATATATCTTGCATCATGTTGTACGAAAAATTTAAATTCCTGTGTGATTTTATGTTTTACTGCTCAATAATATAAAATTCATACAGTATGTTCGATTTTTATTAGTGTAAAATTTCTGTTTGCATATAGCCAGAACTAAAAATATTGTTCTCCATCAAGGCCATTTTGCATACGAGAAGCTGAATATTTAATATTTTGAAATTGCATAATAATTATAAAATAAGTTCCTATTGCAGCCATCATCTAAAATCATCGTTAACTATCACTAGTATTCTAAGGTTAAACTTATTTATAAAAATATAAGTACTTACAGTTGGAATGAGAGTTAAATCTATGATAACCATTCCGCATGCTGTTAATTTTAATTTATTTTGTACCAAGTTAATGTTGAATCGTCGAATCTGAAGAGAATATGTTAATTATAATAAAATAATTGTAACTCTAAGACACGCATTACCTCTTCTTTCGTATTTGCATTGATGAAATTCTCATCATATAATTCACAAATTATGTCGCCAATTCTATTAGCCTGAAAATCATGTAAAACTATATAATACGACAAATATATCAGACCAATGGCGATTGTAGTAATTAAAATAATTGAAACAATCATTTGTAGTAAATAGTGAATATTATTGGTATTTACGCTTTGGCAAACGGTTGTATAAAACTGACAATTAGTCGTCGTCTTTATAAAAAAATACAAGAACCAATTAAGACTTCTCAATATTTCCTTGAGCTTTATATTATTAGAAACTGAATAAGTCAAGCTGGTATAAATATTGAAAATATCATTTATCATCATCGTAAAAGCAACCACAAGAGACGTAAGAATGTGGAATCCATAAGTTCTATTTCCTTCTTGACATAATTTGACTAACTCCAAGTGTACTAGTCTACGGAATAAATTTTTCAGTTGGAAGAGGCCATAGAAATTTCACAAAAATAATAGATATGGAACACTTACTTTCCCGTTTTTATGATAAAGGTATAATCTTTGTTTTGAGCAGTGTTCTCATCACGAGAATATACGTTTGTAGTGAAAACTTGATTTGCAAGTACTCGATAAAGAGGTATGTTTTCCGTACTTGTTAATAAATTTTGAAACATATCACTTAAACTCTCAAATTTATAATATGCGTACCTGGAAGTGACTCGTTATTTAACGACTTAAAAGTTATGAATTTTAGGCTCAAAAAAGTACTTTACCCTAAAATATTTTTAAATGATGTGTCAGCTATAAACACAACAATAATTGGAAAATTTTGCAGAAACATAGTAGTAATTTCTTCAGTTTTTAAGTCTCGATGATGAGCAGTTATTGCACAGTTGACAGTTATAACAGCGAGAATGTAAACAGCTAATGATAGAAATCTGAATAATTCTTTTTTCAATATTTTTGAGTGATCTCTTTGTATTCCTATTTTTCGTAATAACGAGTTCGACACTGCTGCACTCACCATGCATTTCTGTAATCCCTAAATAATATTAAAAATCCTGCATTATTCATCATATTAAGCGTAAAGTACTGCCATAATTTATCGGCATACTTTTGACTGGAACCATCCTGCTACAAGCACACTAATCGTCACAGCAGTGTTAGCATAGTAAAACATTCCATTGGTTATAGGGCTCATTTTTGCTACTTTTGTAAAAGCATAATAAGGGTAAGACAAATAAGTAAGATACAAAAACGAAGACAATATCATTGAAGTATAAATAAAACTAAAAAGTTTTCGTGGTTTCCACATTGGATACTGAATTATGCCAATACCAAAAATCCAATTTGATATTAGCATTGGTAAAAATGGTTTCTCCATGCCTTCGTACAATTGCGTCATTTTTGATCATTTTTCTGTAACTCGTAGGTAATATTGAATTACTGAATAGCCAGATATTCTATCAAATAAGATTTAAAACTACACAATATAGCTACAGTTCCAATCTCAAGTTTCATGAACGACTGTAGCTCTTTGGCAAAATAAAATCTGTATACATAAAAGATGCATAAAATAAACCAACAATAGTAAAAAGTTGTACCAATCTAGCGATTGCTTTGATTTTGTAGACTATACATACACTGAAGTAATCAATTTTTGTAAAAGCAACGTAAGATATGATTTACTTGAGTGTAAAATAGTAATAAATGTTGCAAATGAAAGTAACTGAATCGATTTATTGAGAGAACAATAAGTGATAGAGTTAAGTAGAATAAGTCACACAAAAATGAGCTTATAAAGAAAAAATCAATTTATCATTAGTAGTTTTAATTAAATCATTTTTGCAATTTAAAAAGATAGTTGATTGAAATTCTTTATACATATAAATATGTAAAAAAAAGGAGCAGCTAGTTTCACGTCTCATAGCATCGCCTGGCTTTCTGTGTTTGATGAAACTGAACAAAACCTTTCATTGTCAAAATAACATTTTATGTTCAACATAAATTCATAACAATGTTATAAAATTGAATTTTTTAAATTACGTATAAATAAATCATTTTGCTGATCCGCTGCTCAATGAGTTAACTGTATTATTATCGAGAGCTGCCAGAGTATATGCCGCCTTAAGCATATCAGGTTGATTTTGAATTAAAATCATCAAATAAGTAGTAACAGAGCCAACAAACTGTATTAAATTAAAAAGTTGCATCAAAAATTGAATAATGAAATAATCTTGAAATATATAGTGTAAATACCGACCCCACGAACGTAGCCAAAATCCAATACAATTAATCCAGAAGCAGTGAAGTACAGAGGGTGCTGCATTATTTGCAGAGACAGCTGATGAATCTGCAACGTTTAAAACTCACAATTAATTTTAAATAGAGTTGGACGACTTTGTTAACTAGTTAGTAAAATCATACCTCATCGATCAACTTGTGTTTTGATCTAGGAACTTGTATTTCATGAGCTATTTGACTTGTTTTTTGTGCCTAAAAACAAATAATGATAAACATAATACAAACATCAATATTTGTATTATGTTCATCAATATATAGCACGTTCACTTTTAATAATTCATCAAGTATCTTACTTCGGTAGTGACGTTGACCGATATGCGAACCACATGAATCATACGAAAAATACTGATTGCAATCCATATCGCTAATGAGACATACTGCTGGGCTTTCTGTTCCAGTAGTATATATGGCTCGTTGTAAACAAGATAGAGGCTATAACTGAAACCTGTTAGAAGTAGGAATGTGGAAGCCATTTGCATCGACATTTGTTTGCTGCATACATCATTTACTTTTCGAGAGATTCCGCACAAATCCAAATGAAGTTGCCTTCGCAGATAAACAATCAAACTTATTCTCAGAAAGATATTACGATGTCGTTAATCAGTGATCACTGTAAAAATATTAAAGTGAAGTGCTATATCGTCAAGTATACCTTGTTACTTTTAGTAGTAATTCCAAGTTGTTTCTGTTTTGTTGATGAAAAGTTGGTTGGACACGGACTTTCCGTTGATTGCACTTTAGAATGTTCTTATAATTATTAACGTCATTAGAAATGGTTGATATCGTTGTCGAATCTGTCACATTTTGAATGAGCGCATTCAATCTTTCAAATCTCTTCCCCAAAATTCTGGAAACCACATCAGATAATTGAATATTTTTTCTATAGGCTTATTCAAAATATGTTGAAAACATTTTTTGTAGGAGCTACGAAGTTTTTGTGCAAGTTCTATAGTAGTCAATTCTCGATGTTGTAAATACGCAATAAAGTGTCTTAATTAATGAGAGTAAGAAGAGGGTAAATAGACTCTATTATATATATTTATAAATTATGCAGTGGCTTTACTGCATCATTGCGAAGAAATTAGGAAGGCATGTATGCGTAGTTGTGCTTGTGTGAGTGTTAGAATTATGAAAAAGGAAGAAGATAAAGTCGAGTGAAAAGATCAGTGGAAAAAGAAAGGGCAAGGAAAAATAACTTCAATTATTATACCAGAGTGATCAAGTAATGTTTTAGTGTATTTATAAGATACACTGCCAGTCGCGGACTTTTGCCCCACCAAGAGCAAAACTAGTCATACTTCAAAATCGTGTATCTCTGATCAAAATTGACATAAAGAGTTAAACGGGGTGTCATTTGAAAGCTCTTTCCAAGAGCTTTCAAATTGTCTGTTTTAGAAATCCAATCAAACGTTTTTCTTCTCTTTTCAAACGATAATTCGACGTTGAAAATTATAAATATTTGTGTCCATTTTTGATCGTTCGCCCAATCTTTAAAACTTGTCGCACAGAAATTTGGAGTACACCATCTTGTAGCTCTTTCCAAGACCTATTCAAATCATGTATTGCATATTTATTGTCCTTAATTATCATGCGCGTACCGGCATTTTTCCCCGAAATTGACATATGGTTTCATCTTGTCATATCTCCATTAATATTCATAATATGAAAAAAATGAATGGAAAAGAAAGTGTTTGTTTTTTCAAGTAGATTTTTTTTGCAAAAAATAAATTTTTCAGCTTCTTTGACCTTACAGTGGTTTTTTCTAAAAATGTTCAATAAATTTTCTAAAATTTTTTAAGACATAATAACTCCTATTCGTACTCATAGGCAAAAAATCATTAAGCAAAATTGCAATTTATGCAAAAAAACACTAGATAAACTGGTAGCAAGAATGCCAAGGTTATGTAAGACTGTGATCAAACACAAAGGGGGCCATTTCGATGAGAAAAAGTTTAGTTCATGTTATGCAGTTTGTGTATTTTTTCATTAAATATTTGCTTTTATTTATTATTGTTGCAATGGTTGATATATTGAATTGTTTTGACCGTTTATTTAAATAATTATTAAGCTATAAATTAATCTCATAGTTTGTGTAGAAATTTTAATTTGCTTATGCTCTTCTTGTTACGTTATTGAATTGTTTGTAATTTCTACCGTCTGTTAAGTATTAAATAAAGAAGTTATTCGATTAAAAAAAAAGGTAAAAGAAAAAAGAAAAAACAAAAAACACTTTCTTTTCCATTCATTTTTTTCGTATTATGAATATTAATAGAGATATGACAAGATGAAACCATATGTCAATTTCGGGGAAAAATGCCGGTACGCGCATGATATTTAAGGACAATAAATATGCAATACATGATTTGAATAGGTCTTAGAAAGAGCTACAAGATGGTGTACTCCAAATTTCTGTGCGACAAGTTTTAAAGATTTTAAAGATTCGAACGATCGAAAATGGACACAAATATTTATAATTTTCAACGTCGAATTATCGTTTGAAAAAAATAGAAAAAAGTTTGATTGGATTTCTAGATAAGACAATTTGAAAGCTCTTGGAAAGATCGTTCAAAAGTTCAACAACAACGTATAAATAAGTACTCACGAGATTGTTGTACCGAAATTCAGTTCAATCATAGGATTCTGCAGCAACGGAATATCGAAGATTATTGTTACAAGTATACCTTTGCTTAAGTCCTCAAAAACTATACAATTCATCGCAACTTCACAAGCCAATATCAATGCAACGCCGACAGACCACAGAACGGTTTTTTTAACTATATCTCTGTACTCTGATACGTAGTCCGGATCTATTCCGAAAACCTCCAAAGTTTCATCAGCCAGTTTCAATCTTCTGACAAGTATACTTGAATGCTGTTACAAAATCAAGAAACGTTTGTGATGATTTGAATTGTAAAAGATTGTTACAAGTTGATATACATTACGCGATAATTAATAATGCCCAGTACAGTCGATATGGCTGCTATAAAAATATTCACTGCCAGAATCACTTGATAAACAACCGGTATGATCTTAATCTTTGAATGCTTCACGGGCACGTAAGTTCCGATATACCATAATAGAGCTCCGTATGCCGATGACCTGATCAAGATGTACAGAATACTCAGTTTTGGCCAGGGACGATTACATGGAATCTCAAAAATCGACAGTCCCAAGAAGGCATTAAGTAAGTTCAAGGGATATATTGACTCTTCTAAAGTTTTCTTCTGACTGATCATCTTTGGACTGACTTTCTTGCACACTTGCGAACACTTCTAGCATCACACGCAGCAGTCTCGGCGAAATTGTATTTTTCGTTTCAATTCCCTTTGAAGGGGATTTGTTCAGGCTTGCTATGAAATTAATGTATGCTATAAAATACACGCACGCCCGGGCACCGTTTTCACTTAAATATCCGACGAGCAACTATGCAGCACTTGTCGAAAGAAAATTATAAGCGGCTCGCGTGTGCACCATTGTGTTCGATTAAAGTGAACGTCACATCGCTAGCATCTATTAACGGCTATGAAAGTGGCCGTTAAACAATTGATCGACTATAATTTGCGAAATACGCACGCGCTAAAGTATCTCGAGGATAACTAACGCGCTGCGAAATGTGAAAAACATGCGCTTTTGTGTAGCGTTGAAAGTTACTGACTTTGCCGGTCGATAAGAATCTCACGTGCGCGTGCGGGGTCCACGCCCATACGCCCCGCTACATGTACGCTCATGGAAATATACGGCTTGTCTAATATTATTTTTATGTTAATTGCCTTGTTAATTGATATGGGGGGTGGAGATAGCCGAGCTAGTTATCGTTTGTTTGATCATAGCCTTATGCGATGTTTGTACTCACTGTAAATTTTAAATAATATTCGAAATTTAGTGAACTGTTATCTGCGGTTCATGTGCAGAGGGGTAGATGAATATTTAGTAATTACAAAAAACTAAATAAAAAATAAAATGTGCGCAGGCGTGGCTGTCGTCGATAATCTGATCAAATTTTGTAAAAATGTAACAATAGAAATAAGAAGATATTCGATTACGTTCGGGTGCAAGTTTATTTCCAAGGATTTAATTTTTTGAACATTAAAGTCAATGTATTCTTTCAATGTGTAAAGTTTGAAGTTAGATAAAGATAAATTTATCTTCATACCTAAATAATGTTTATTTATAGAGTTGTGGTTGGGCGACGATTGCGTCAGCGGTCTTTGAAATAGATGGTTGATTTTGTATTAATATGATCAAATAAAACACCACCGTCCCAGCGAACTAGAAAAAACCATCAGTTAATCTGCTTATTAAATGTCTATATTTATTTGACAATGAAATGCTTGAAAATTCTCTTAACCGATTGCACGAAGTTGAAATCCAGTTTATATAATCCATAAGCAGTAAAGTAAAGCGGATTATGCATTATTTGCAGCGAGTACTGGTGTATCTATTATGAAATGTCAAGTTGCAATGAAGTGTACAGTTTAATTGATAAGTACACCAGTAGATTATTTCTGATAAGCACGTACCTCGTCAAGAATTTTTTGTTCGTTATTTTCTATTTCCTGAGTTATTTGACTGGTTGTTTGAGCCTAATATATTTCTGTTAAAATATGATTGAGAGCAGGAATATTGAGTAATAGAAAAACTACTATACCTCTGCAGTAATATTTTCGGATGTTCTAATGATAAAATAGAAATGAAGAGTCCCGTATACGATTCTAATTATAGCGAAAAAGAGAAAATTCAATTTAATTTGGAACGGCATATTTTCTTCTTGATATATCAAATAAAAGGCATAACTGTATCCCGTAAGTAATACAAATTTTACCCCCATCTGCATGGCAATCTGTATACCCATTATTCGATTCACAAATCGGGAAATTGAACAAAGATCCAAATGCAGTTGTCTACAAATTTTCGCAAATATATAGACATTTGCATACATCAATTATTCTTGTTTACTTTTACAATATACCTTGTAGTCGGAAGAAGATATTCCAAATTGTTTCTAATTTTTGCATAGTATCTCGTGCTTATTTCATCGTGCTGGTTATCCATCAATATAGTATTGTATTTATCGATATTTTTGTAAGAACCCGTTTGCGATGAGTTCCTAACAGCGTTGCTGAGTAGTGCGTTAACTTTTTCAAATCGTTTCTGCAGTATTCTAAACAAGACAGAAATTTTTAGTAGAATGTCGATCACTTTAGAAAAAGGAAAAGTGTACTAACACAAGCAGGATTATAAAATTTAACTCTATTAAAATATGTAAGACTTGTGGCCAGATAAATGAAAAAGTTTGAATGAATGCATCGCTGTACGTATCGCATATATTACTGTAAATGACGATACTACTAGTAAACAATACAATTATTGCAATCAAAAATAAGAATATCAATTTGCGATAATCCCTTTGTTCTTCTTTATACTTTGGATCTATACCAAACGATTGTAAAGTTTCATCAACCAGTTCGATTCTTCTTCCAACTTTAAGGTGATTCTTGAAAAAAAACAATGAAGTCTAAATGTAACTTTTGCTTATCTCCGACGAATTTAGCATATTTTAGACGATAAAGAAATTTGCAATAAAAATAAAACTTTTTATGGTGTTGTACCTTACGTTGAATCCAGAAAATGATAAATACCAAAAAGGCGGTAATAACGTTGAAAATTAAAATAATACGAAACACTACAGACACGAGAGGAACTAAAACAACCGATTCTACTGACATATTCAATCTAGACCACAAAACATAACTGTAACATGAACCAAGTGCTATGACATAAAAAGCAGTTAACTTGGGCCAAGGAACATTTTCTGGTAATTCTAAAATTGTTAGTCCTGTCAGTCGATGTGTCCACACCATTAAGAGTAAAGATTCTTTTAAATTCCACATTATGAAAAATGCTCTGTTATTTAATGTTAATTAAATACCAGCAATGCATGTGCGCGTTCTCAAAGTTTCAATACGTCAAACTCAAATGTTCACCAAAAGCAATGTGTATGTCGCATTCATTTTTTCGAACGAATATGATACATATTAACATTAATAAAAATTGCATTCGATAATATTGAAACCACTTATAACATATTTGTTTAGATTGCAAATTGAATTAAAAGTAACTTGGGTCTAAGAGAATTAGGAGTGCAAGTTATTATTGTTATTGTTGTTATTTCAAGAACTACGTTCATGTTAAATCACGGCTGATGGCTGCTGAATAAGAAATTTCTGAAAACTAACCTTATGCCATTTTCTTAGAATTTATAGTTCTTGATTATAAGATGCATAAATTACACGAAAGATAGGTGTCGCACTCTTCAATTACTTCCAAGAACAATTGAACGGCTGAAAATAATACTTATTTATTTCAGCTAATTTCATCAAAATAAAACAAGACTTAGTATTTCCAATCTATTCTATGATATTCAAAAGAAAATTATTATTAATATCTATTGTTCATCAATCGATGAAAAAGTCATATCGATTTTGAATATCTTGAACAAATATTGTTCGGTCGTCAACAAAAAATAAAGAGAAAGCCACTGTCTGTTTTCAATCTTTCAACGAATAGTGTAGCTAAACCATTTAGACGCAGAACATACTGGCTGGCCTTAAAGAGAAAAATAAAACGCAAACCGTAAGTGAATCCCCAGACTCGAGTCATTAATATCATAGCAGCACTCCACTCGCTCGCTGCATTGTACAGTATCCTTTGCGTGCGAGCGGTGAAAATTGCTGGTGGCCGATTTGCATGGGCGTGTGCGGCGGCAATGGTGGTGCCGGGGGAGGGTGTGGGGGGGCGCGACACATGTAAATAACTTGCGCGTAGCGCGGATTATCCTGTCTCGGGTCGTAAATTGATGCTGATCCTGCGGGGCGGGATATATAACCGACTCGACGAATTTATCAATTGGTGCAGTCTGCAGTCGAGAAAGGGGCTGACTGCCAACATTCGTTAATCATTTTCAATTGTTTTTCAAGAATTGTTTCGGATCCTAGTTTTATTTTTGCTTTCAATAAAACGATTCTATTGTTCGTTAAGCTTCGTAAGTGGAAAAAAGCCGATTGGGTCAGACTCGAGGATGAATCCTATGTAAAATGCTTTCTGTTTGCGTCTCTCTCAATTCATCGCATTGTCAATATAAACAAACTAAGTCAATGATCAAACGGTTAAAATTGTGTATGAATAACTTTTCTTTAGCGGTTTGACAAAAATAAATTCCATTATTTAGGTCACCAGTGTGAATTGAAATCGTTTTCAAAACAAACTATATTCTATAAAGAAATATGCCTAGAAGAAATATATTATTTGCTTTGTTATATATTGTAGTGTAATCGACGTCCTTAAAGTAAACATAGTTTTTTTATATAATTTTTTCCGACTATCGACTTTACCGTTTCTTACACGTGCTCACTTTACATGATGACTTTAATTTATCTGGAAGAGTAAGTCAATAACGCCTTATCTCTTAGAAGTATGTAATGAATTCAAGTGCAACGTATCGACAATTTAATCACTAATAACACGAAAATCGAACGATTGCATCTTGTACGTGAAGGAGACAAAGAATAATTGGATATAAGCGAGCGAAAATCGATTGAGCGGCGCCGATCCGTGAAGTTGCCTTGCACTAATCCCATTCTTTTTCACTTAGAAGCTAGAGTCCCAGGAGACACCCAACTCGAACGGCTATCGACGAAAATGGGATTCGAGAGCTTATCCGAGCATATGTCCGATCGTTCGATGTCTGGAGTAGACTGCACAATGGGATGCGCCTGTCGAGGTAGCTTTGGCTGCGTATTTTAGCTTGAGAAAATTGTTCGCGTAATGAAATTGGTGGGCAGTTTACTTTTTAAACATAAAATTACGTCGTTGAATGAAATCACTTTTTTTTTTGCGAGAATGTATTGATTTTGATATTCCTAATATTTATACGTTAATTTTGGTGGAAAGGTCTTGTATCGCTTAGGTTTACTCTGTACATTAAATTGGAGTCAATATTTAAAAGCATTTACATTTTATATTTCACAATGCTTTATATTCAATTTTACAAATTATCATACATTTCGTTTTAGTTACAGTAAAATATTTTGTACAGTTCTTCCAACATCTAAAAATCGTTATACCGAACTTTCAACGGAAATATCTGATCAAGAGAAGCTTATTAATTATTATATATAATAAATCGTTTTGACGATACCTTCTGAAAATTCGTTACATTGCACTTATTTGAACAATCGAAAGGAACTTGTTGATCGACACGGCCGTGATTTATTCAGCAGTCGATTCGAATTCTCATGCTTCGAGCACGTGATTCAGGTAGGCAATGTAGCAAATAGCCAGGCGCAAAATCTCAATTTTCGAGAGCTTTTTGTCGGGAGGTAGCGTCGGTAGGAGCTTGCGAAGTTCCGCGAATGCCAGGTTGAACGCCTCCACTCGTACTCTTTCTCTGTCGAAATGTAAGCGAATGCCGTGATTATCAAAAATATACTCACGAAATGGATGTTTTCTAGAGTAAAATCTTATCAGCCTAAACAATGAGGATGACATTTACCTTGTTGCGTGGGCTGTTCTGTACTTTTGCGTGGCCCGACGGCGGCGGCGCCTCTCCTCTCTCGATAAGCCCGTACCCGAGCTAACTCCGTTCATTATCGTGTGACCACCGTTTGCCATGGTATTTTCTCTATCTCTACAATGACAATTATACGCATTTACATTGAGCAACGAGGGAATTCATATTGGAGATAGCTTGAATTTTTTATTCGTTACGATGATTAGAAGAGTATTACGAAATAGATTTGCAAAGTCGTTTGTATCTCAGCAATTAGACTCTATAACGCTTGAATTTTGCAATAGACTTTGAAAACATACCTTCTGCGTGGTTGCAAGCCGATGTGACAACAAGTAGGAATAGAAAGAAGAGCTTCTCTTTCCATTGTTCATCTGCTGCAATAAAAATAACACGCTGTTCAAGCATCCTCGCGCCACGTACGCCTTGCGATAAACATGCAACCTTTCTTTTGCCGTGGAAAATCGATATATTTGACCAATCGACCAATTTAATTAGACTTTCTTGCTCCCGGTGGAATTCCAAGAAAATATGTACGCGACGGAGCGTAAGGGGTAGGCTAAGCTTATAATCTGCCCAGCAAATATTTGCCGTTGAGCTTGGTTTAAGCGAATGCGTGCCGGAGACGATCCTCTAATTGGATCAAGGTGCGCATTTTATCTTTGCTCGTCTGAAAATTTACACGACAAATAATACACGCGCCGATATTTGTCATTGCTTGCCGCGTCGAGTGGACGTCGCGTGCTGCTACGAATGCCCAAGCAGGCCGACGCAATGGCAGGAAGCACGCCAATAATGGAGGTCCTGTTTGATAAAATTTTAAAGAGTATCGACACCCGTCACCCTTATTTTCGTATAAAAACAGCTCTCCCCTCTCAAACGAGCACGAAATCTCAACGATTCCGAAGAGTCGGTCTCTGGAGACCTGTAAATCGCGCAGTTTCGATTTCGAATTGCCGCGCTCTCTTGTTTTGCATTATTAAAAACTTTTTGCGGTCGACTGCTTTGCGTGTTCTTTGGAAATGCGAGGAAAGCCCTCGCTTTCAAATATTGAACGCGCGGCCGCGCATCTGCTGATTTTTCGCAATCGATACCGCTCATTTTCATAGCTGAGAGCCGACCAGTGCCTCCACGACACGAGTACGAGTGCCTTGGAAATTGTCCTTGCGGCAGGCCGCTTTTTTCGAACGATTTTTCGTTCATTTGCAATTATCAAGTGGTTCTAGACCATTATATCGGAATCTTAATTGGATCGACGAGCAAAAACGCGTACGCGCAGTTTGTTAATGGATAAATTGCGAATTAACAGACATTCGTCGTAGTAACGATCTACGTGAACGGACAATTCTTTATTTTGAACAACAATTTTTAGGAATAGTAAGCTTTTTGAACTTTTCTTCGATTACTCGCAAAAACATCGAATTAAGAGATTTAATAAAAATTGACAATAAAGTCAATTCTTCATCTTCAAAATTAGCATTCCTATAATGATATTCTTTCTGAGTGCTTTATCATTGACAAAGCATTTATTTCGACTTAGATGGCTTTTATCAGAGAACAATTGAATACTCACACAACTGAAAGTCGCTTTCATTGAACGCTGTGACTGGCTTCACAATCAAATTCAACGAATAGTTATAATTTCCGAAAAGAAAATTCACAACTTACACAAAAGTACATAGTTTTTTTAGACCCAACTACGATGACATTGACACAAGTTAACTTGTCACAAAATCGCGGCAACAACTGCACAAAAAAAATACATCCGCATTTGGACACTTTGTACCCGGCAAAAACAAAAATAGAACACACTCGTGGTAGATCGCGAGATCGTCTGATAAATTCTTGCGACTGTTGCGATGCTCTTGCACAGATGAGGCTCCGCCCCGGCGTATCATGGACCAATAATAAAGGCGCAGCATCCACGCCCAAATGGATCGTCGCCATTGCGCCTCGAAGGATATTGATGCGTCAGAGGACCTTCGGAGACAATGGAGCCCTTTTGTTTTTCCACAGCAATGTTTTTCCGAAGGCTGTGAATAATGATAACTTCATAAAATGCTGAGCGATGCGGGCAGCAGAACTGTATCTACGTGTTTCTCGTGCACTCTCGAAAGATATTTTCATTTAGACGGCCCCTTACCGACAGTGCTGTATTGCACGGAGTGGATTCCATCTTGAGCGCACTTGTGATCGATAATTGTTGAGGGAACGCTCATGAGTGCCCAACTGAACGCCCGATCGTTTCGCAGAAAATATGTGCAAAGTCATTTTTAACTTGATACCTTCGCTACGCGATCTAGCTTCGTGCCAATGTAATCATAACGAACATTTGAGGAAACTGCAGTTGTCTGTACGACCAGTGCAAAAAGTAAGCTACGCAAATAAAAATTTCGAAAGCTGTGCCCGTTGCCTTCCATGCCGCAATCGGAGCGAACGATAATTCGGATAACAATCTTTTGCCACGAGTCAAAGTCTCGTCTAAAGAGCAGCAGCAGAGCGTCACGCAAGTTAGCTTTTCAAAAGTTCGCTCTGAAACGCGGCAGCGCCAGCAGCATTAGAAAATTAAATAATAATTATATGCGCGCAGCTCAACGCGATCGAGGTATAATCATACCCTCGAGACTCGAGCGACAATGTGAACCGCAACTCCCCATGACACGCATGCAGCATACAAATAGCAACGAAACGAAAGAGGTGATGATCGGTCAAAGGGTACGTACGTATAAGGTTGAACGCGTGTCGTCGCGTGGCCTGATGCTGCTCATCCATTCAGTTCTCGCGGGAGTCACGGCTTGTTGATTAAAGTGCGATGATTATTCGCCTGGGCGAGGCTGATGATTGATAGGCTTGACATTATTTTCGGAAGTTGCGACGATTGCGCGGCTGGGATCAATCGGTTTTCATTGTGCCAACGAACGCGTGCTTTTTGAGCTGATAAATGAAAAAAAAACAAAGGGAAATTCTTTTCCTTCATTCTCCGTTTGCAGCTGCGTGCTATTATGGCCTGGCGTGCTACAGTGAAATTTTCATCATAACATCGTATACACATGCCTTTAGACGGAGAACGTAGATATTTTATTCCAACTTCGCCGCAATGAAATATATACATTTCAAATTCACGAAAAAAAATTATTTTCATACGCTTACGTAAAAAATTTTCAATCGAAATCAAAATTATCAATAGGTGGCAGCACCGAGCAGAAAAGCTTACGACCCTCAATGAAATCAATGCATTCAACTTAGTGATCATATAAGCAATCAACTCGTGTTTACCACCGGCGGATAATTTCCTTTAAACTAATTAAAAATCTTTAAACATTAATTTTAAGATGCACATTTGTTGTCGTCAAAGTTAAATGTATAGTATCAATTTTGTCGACAAATATAATTTAAAATTGAAAAGCATTTATTTTCCATAGAAAATTCATTAATAAATTGTGACAATACACAATTATTTTAGCAAGTACAATGCAAAAAGCCTTATAATTAATGTAGCTGTGAATAATTTTGTACTGTAATAATTCATTATTCGTATTATATATTTGTATGGTATTTTAAGTTGATAATTGTCCAATTCCAAAATTACTTGTATGAAAAAAATACTCTCTTTAATTGAGTGTCCATACCTTTGTTTGGATACACTGTTAACTCGAAACTGCACTATTACTGCTCATCGGAATAGAGGGAACAGTAGCAAAATACATTTTTGACTAGCGAAACGAGAAGAATAATGAATACTTTTGTAGTATAAACATCAATTTGTATAATCAATTAGTGTAACCATTGATCTTGCAAAGTCATTTTCGTAATCAAATTGCGGAAAATTACACAAGAGTATATGGCAGTAAAGTTGTAGGCATGACAAAGTTAATGAGATTATAATAGCTTAATATTTTGTTGCTCTCCATAAGTAAGCTACAGCTTTTAATTTTACCGCATGATAAAAGATGTAACTACTCGAATAAATAACTTTTCAGTATTTCTAAAAATTTTAATAATACGCATGTATGATTATCATTTTGTAAAAGTTTTTGTCGTTAATTGATCATACAAGTGTAACGGGGGAAATCAGAATATCTAAATATTCGATCTGTTAATTCATTGCTTTATACAATATAATTCAACTGATTCAAATTCGTTGCCTCCGTACGAAGTTGTTGGGTAAAAAATAAACATGTCCCTACTCACATTCCAATCAGCTAAGTTACTTTTATTCTTATCTTGTGTTGAGTAGCCAAATGAGGGCACAAAAGAGTCTCGCTAATACATTATCAACGACGAGATCATTTGGTATAGGTATGAGTGGGAAAGTTGCTCAAGTGATGAGTCGTATAATTAACAGAATTAAGCCAACGGGAAAAAAAGCAATTACATGGTATTGCCTTTCTGTTGTTTGGCTTGCCATTGGAATCGTAAAAGCTCGACTAGTCTCAGCTCAAATGTCAAACTGAAAGCTTCGCAAGAATGCCAGCCAGTCCAGCAAACATTGGGGGAGTTAAAAGAAGTGAGAAATTACAGTGATTTATTATTTTTGGCTTTTTTTCTGTTTTCATTGTTTTATTACATGCTCTATCACTTAGGAAGGCAGTGCCAAAAAATTAAGAATTTTTTGTGCCAATACTGTCATGAGACGTCTTTACATGGCTTTAAATACGTAGTATCGAACGAGTCATCTTCAACGGAAAAAATTGCATGGGCATTGGTAATGTATTCGAAATGATATATAAATGCATTTGAATAAAACGAATAAATCCATTGCTTCGAAATTGCTTCTTTTTTGAAAATGCTGAAAATTAAATAAGAACTACATAATTCAAAATGTAATGTGGTTGCACGTGATTGAATTAACGAAAAAGGTATCATTGATTTGTGAAAACTTTAGGTTTGCATAATCGGCTTGACTTTGAGCGCTTTGCTGATGTCACTAATTTGGCAAAGATTTCGAAGAACCCCGACAGTGACGACCATCGATACAACGACCTATCCAATTTTCGGTTTGAATTTTCCAGCTGTTTCAATTTGTAACTACAACAAAGTTTACAAACCACATGCTGATCGTCTTTCTGATGAAATGTGAGCGAAACCGCAATATAAATATCAGTTTTCAAACAAAAATTCTTAGCCTTACAAATAAAAAAATTTTTTTTTCAATTTTTAAAATATAAATTTGGACGAATTTCATTTTGAATGTCCATTTTTAAAGAACAATCACTTTAAAATTTCTTTAACGTTATTTATTTATGACATAGATTTTGACAATTATAACTCAATTTGATCTAATGTTTGTACAGGAGGCAAAAAGGTTTAACCAATGAAGAAATCGAAGATTTCTTTACAACGTTACCTAGATTAATTAGACAGGATTATGTAGATGCAGACTTTTCCAAAGTTATACAATTGATAACAACTGCCGAAACGAATATAGAAGAGATTATGAGTGATGTAAATTCTAAGAAGCTCACTTTGATTATAAATAATAATAATTATATTATAAGAGAAATTTTTTTAAACATATTTCATCACATTTTCAGATGATGCAGCCGTGCGAAAAGTTACTTTTAAGATGTTCTTGGGAGGGCCAAAGATATGATTGCAGCAAAATTTTCAAGCCTGTGAAAACTCCCGAGGGCTTTTGCTGTGCTTTTAATTACCATGTTGACGATACTGAAAATTCACCGTAAGACCAGTGGTATTACGATGAACTTATCCATTATTAATAATATTATTTTCTGCAGATATAAGATCAGAAAAAAAATTAAGAACGTTACCTCAGAAGTGAAGCGCAATCTTACAAAAGAAGAGCCTGGTGTACACGAACCTTTAGTCAGTGAATTTGGTTCGAACTATATATGATGGCGTATCGATAATACGTAAATATTGCTGTAAATGCATATAAATCAATCGATTTCAGACTGTTCCTGGTGCGGGGAGAGATATGGGAATATCAGTCGTCATAGATCTTGAGGAAAATACATACTTCGGTTCAATAAGACCCAGTGTTGGCGCATCGATTCTTGTTCACGATCCATTCAACTATCCAGAAGTAGAAGTGTTAACGAGTTTCATACAACCCATGCAAGAAATGGCAGTGATGCTATCTGGTTCTATCGTTGCCAGCGAAGCAAATGTCAAGACACTAGATTTAACGCGTCGAAATTGCTGGTTCAACGACGAGGTATTTTTTTACTAATCTTTACTATTGCTCGAACACAAATAAAAGCAAATTGCCTTTTCAATTACTATAAATGAAATTATTTCATCGTAACTTCTGATTTATGTTCGAGTTTAAAAACTACAGATTATTTCAAATTTTTCACTTTTATTCATTGAGCTGGAAGTTGAAACAGTAAAAATTAAAGTATTAATAATCATATGATTCGTTAAATATTTAACGTAAGTTAAATCGACAATTAATTACAGGTAAAACTTAGCATCAGTTCAGTGTATAGTTATCAATCTTGCATCACCGAATGTAGAATTAGATATATAAGAAGATATTGCAATTGTGTTCCGTTCTTTTATCCTAATTACTGTAAGTGAGTTTTGGCTGTAAGTCGATTCAAGATGAAACTTCAATGTTGATACTCCTCGTTCAATTACGTTCCAGATCAAGCGAGAACTTGCAGTTTGGATGACATCAATTGTCTGACAAAAAATCGAGGTATGATAAATCATCATTAAAATGTAAATTATTTGATGTTTTTGATAAACTTTTTAACACATTAATAGGGAGCTTATCGAATTTACGAACAATAATCGACGTAGTTAACGAAAATGACACGAGAGATTCAGCAAAATGCGACTGTTTGCCGTCCTGTAATGACACTACTTATACTTCAAACAGTGAAAATACTATAATGTCTAATGTTTCATTTCACTCACCCTTGCTGTAATTATCATTTTTTTTTAAATATTTATTTTTGTTTTCGTTTGTAATATATTCAATTACTATTTTAGACAAGGATTTGACGTGAAAAAAGTGTCCTTGGCTTCTGTTTACTTTCGAGGCATAACTTGTTTGAAATATAGAAAGGAAATTTGGATGTCCTGGGATGATTTACTTGGTAAGGTTTTAGCTAAAAAATATTACCAATGAACATTAGTACGATTATCCTTTGAATGATATGCATGCATTTTGATAGCATCCTTTGGAGGAATCTTCGGCCTCTGCGTTGGAGGTTCATTTGTAAGCTTAGTCGAAATTTTGTACTTTTTTATAAAAAAACTTTGGCGGCGCAGCGACCAAAGCAAGCAGGCAACACTAGCGAATTCTCCGCCAGCGCGAGAGAAATTTAAAGTCGTTAGTATTGATCAACTGAGAGGTTGGTCTCACAAAAAATTAGACAACGACAGCGCACACAAGAGAAATGTATCTTCCAGAGAGAACTTCACTTACCCAGCGGAAATAAAAAGTGCCACAATGAAACCTAGTTCCATAAATGAGGAATTTATCAGATATTTTTTAAATAAAAAATTATAACACTCGTTATTTTTTATATTATAGTAACAAATATTTATTTGTAAATTTATTAACGACAATGTTTGAATACATTATAAATAAAAAGTACTCGGTAAGTTTTACTATGCGATAAAAATCTTCTCGTGTTATATCTTGTTAATTCATTGTTCACAACAAAGTTTTTACTTTTATACTTTTACTAATCACGTAATTTCTTTTTTCGCACGTATATACATAAACATTGAACGAAAACTATAGCAATGAATTTCTACTCTTACAAGTGCTCATACGAAAGATAACATCTTTTGCGATAAAATCTGACATCGTTTGAAGTCCGTCGATAAGCGCGACGTAACAATTTCATTTACTTTGAGAGACAAAGCTCTTATAACTTTCAAAAAACTTTGCGATATCAAATGGCATGTGTCAAGGCAGTTTGACATTTTCAACCACTATTGACTTCAGTTATTGATAACAGCATCAGGGTATACATTTCTGATTGGTAAATGCTCAAATAAACGACAGAGATCTTTCTCAAAAGACACACACAATTTTGTTAGATTTGCTGAATGAATATGGAATTGAATGTTCTATTGCTTTGTTGTTAACAACAAACGCTCGAGTTACTTAGTAACTGTAATTGATATCATAGGCCTGTTTGCGAAAGACCGGCAGAGGTCAGTTGGCTGAAGATTCCAAAAAATATACGCATTAATTTATTATTAACAATTAAATCTATGCTTCTGAATAATATTTTACATTTAGTATTTATTTTGCAGACTTTTTATACACAGTATTTTGTAATGATAAATTTATGCGTATTTTTATTTGAAATCTATTTCATCCGACAACATTTGCTTAAGCAAGTTTCTGAGGTCTCTGAATTGAACATTTTTTTTGTTAACTAAATCATGTACTCGATCACTGTAGGCGAATACGTTGTACTTTATTTTAAGACCACTATTGTATTCGTTGACTAGATTTGTCAACCTCATTAGAAACAATAGTTGAGTTCAACAATTGGAAAAGCGTCTTGTCATCTCAAAATAAGTTCGTCAATAGCTAGTTGAGAAGCTTATTTGGAGAGGTTGACAAATCTAATCAACGAATATGGCAAAATAAAATACAACGTATCGGTTTATAATCATCGAGAACAAGATTTATTTTACACATAACCATGGAAGGCGAGAAGATGAAGTTTGATGATTTTCTTTGTAAATCGCTATATTTCTGCATTGTTATTGTATGTGATTCTAATGTATGAAAATCTATAGCAATAGTGCGCGTGATAAGTACCGCAAGTACATAAAATATTGTTGCAAATGGTCAGTGATGCGTTTAGCATATTAATTATCGTTAATGTGTTTTGCTCTTATTCTAAATATACGTGACTTAGATACAAGTCATTTTTTTGGCAATCAAATTACCGATTGCACAATAGAAACCTAAACGTTACGTATCAGAAGTATTCATGAAGCGATTACACAATATGATTTGCATCAAGATATTAACAAATAAAACATGTTTCAAATTTTTATGAAAAATGGGATCCATCTTGGTAAAATGTATTTTTATGACCAAGTGTGAGGCATCTTCGACATTAATGAACAAGTCATTAATCTTTCAATATATGCTAATTAAAATCTGAAAGTCTTGAGATTAATGTTTTAATGATAAATTTTAATCGAACAAACATTTTTAGTTTAATTACGACTATGAAGTGTCAGTTAAAATGATAATTGAGTATTTCTTCAGCTCGTTCAAAATCATACTTCTTTCATTTATGTAATTGACTCACTGTAATTCATTAATGCTCGTCATCGCTTTATTACTGTAGTTGTATCACGGAAATAGCTAAAGATATTTCTTGCAACTAAATAAACTACTTATTATAAATCATTTGATTTCTCCTAAGATAATTTTAATGTCTGTACTTGGAGTGTGCTGCAACAAATTCTAATGCACTAAACAGAATACTTGTATAAGACTTTTTAGGATCTAAAACCAATGTTCTTTTTTCAATTGATATAATGCATGAATTACCTAGCCACCACTTACGACTTACGTACCATATAGAATACATAGATGCAATACTGTTTTAGTCAATTGGAGTATATAAATTGTATATACGCTTTGATATAGTTTTTCCACTAGTCGAGCAATTAGGAACGGCAATACTGCTCGTACTCCATTGAGGAGTTAATTTATCATTTTATTTAACTGAAAATTTGAAAAGGCACTTGGAACGAAACTAACCGAAGTTATCTGTGTCAAACTGTTGCATCATATAATCGTGTTTTATTAATTTATTTTTTGACACGCTATCTGATTTCGTTTCGTTACTCCTTAGTGGAACCAATTTTATTCACTGGTGGATTGTTTTAATGAGTTTAAGACACCGTGGACACCATTCAAGCTGTTAAGCATCGAAAAGTAATAGATGTTAGCTGTATAGTGTCAACCTTTTCATCATGAAGAATAACAAGAAAATCTAACTTAGTAACTTACCAGAAGATAAAAGCAGTTTGAAAATGTATAAATACTGAATAGCACAAATTGAAATAGTAACTGATCGTTACGTATAAAACTATGTAAAATATGATTTAAAGATCTACCAGTGTTTAATATTGGTTTATAACATATAACATGTACATTCATGTTGAACTCAATTACATCAGTATATATCGTATCTCAGTCAATAAGAGTGTCGAAGGACCGATCGCTGGAAAGTGGAATCAAGCATTACATTCGCAAATACTACGTATTCGTCTATTAACTTTCTTTATTTTCTAGTAGAACTTGGCAAGTTTTCTACGTACTCCGCAGCTTTTATCGTCTTGCGGGTACGCGGAACAGCATCCAAATAATCAAATATGAATTTTACTGGTGTGCTATCATCAGATATCAGCCGCCGTATTCTTTACTGAATCAGTTAAACTGACAAAGGGCGAACCTCTTTTGTAGTTACAATAAGCTTCCGTGAGATATTACTTTTCTTGTCGTTACTAGAGGAGTGTGTTCGTTTATTCATGCCAGCAATATTATATTGGTGTTTTTAATATTTCTCTTTCAGTTTAACGTTTAGAAACAACACTGATATTGAAGGTGCGCTGGTATCAGCAAGCAAGCACCACCAATACTTCTACAAAAATGAATTTTAAGATAGAAAGGTTACGGCGTACCGAAACTGCTTACACTTTCAAACGAATGACAAGAAATACCACGTAAGAACATCTCACGAGATACGATGTGAGAAATGAGATTTATCATATCGCGCGAAGCAATGATTAAAAAGAAAAATCATCAAGAGCGTTGGCAACTTCAACGAAAAGAAGAGCTGTTTGTGGCAATAATCACCTGTTTAGTGAAGTACAAATGAAGGAGGTAATTGCGAAAGCTATCTGGTTAAGAATAAAGGAATTAACTTCGATTCATCTTCCAGTTAGGTCAAAGGCATTTTCCAGGGTTGAGGGTGCACCAATGCGGCCACATGGCTTCAGTTCGGACACCTCTTGAACGCAATAACTCTATGTGCGTCGATAATCTCGTATACACATTCTCATCTATCGCGTAGCCGTTTGTAGGTGGGTCGCTCCTGAAAATAAGTCAATTCATTGCATAATTGTAATTTGTTCAATTTTTTGTGGGACAAGTATTTCTGTATAGCTGCGTTTGGCATAAAATAGTAGTACATTGAGCGCGACAGAATTCTCTCGCTAAAAGCAGATTTTTTATTATAGAGAAATTCACGTTTACCCGAGCTTTTCTACAAGTACGAAGCTTTAGAGCTTGCTTTATTTTTTTACGTGTAATTTTTAGAAAAATATTATAAATAATTTAATTATTTTCTATTTGTATATCAGCAATAAATAAAATTGTTAATTTATTAAATTGATTAAAAAAAAACAAAAAAAAAATACGCCCAACGTGGGGCTCGAACCCACGACCCTGAGATTAAGAGTCTCATGCTCTACCGACTGAGCTAGCCGGGCAGTTGGAGACTTGAATATCATTGACATACAATAATAAAGCATAGTAGGAAAAGTTTCATTGTACCGCCATCTTCCTAGCAAGACGAACATAGTCAAATAGGATGAAGACTTTACCAACTGCCACTATAATTAAGCTATCTAGCTGTTTTATTGGCTTATCATCCCTTGATTGAGCTCTACTTTATCGACCACTCAATACTACATATAGCTACAAAGATAGACTTTATAGAAGGCTAGGTCAATGTATAAGAGCTTGTAGTTACTCGTTGACTGTAAGATGGCGCGCGTATGATCTAGAGAAAGACATTTTTGTAGGGAGGAAAGCGAAAAGAGAAAACGCTTGGCGAAAACTAAAAGAGACGTAGGAAGGGAGGGAACACCTAGCTGCAGCGAAAAAAACACTCCTCGGCTCGGTTTTGAGTTGTCTCATCGTGCTGATAGGCACACACTGATAAAGTTTTGTTAAAGTAGACCGATTTTTACAATTCAAAAACGAAAATGATTCTTTTTCTACACCGAAGCGATTCGTTTTAAATAAACCCAACCCAACCCAACTCAACCCAATCCAACCTAGAAACATTTTTAATTGCAAGAGTTATTTTTTAGTATACTGTTAATAGACCTTTTTGTAGTACACACAGGTAAAAAAAGGCTGACAGCTGGAATCTCAGCGCTCGAGCGGCCGCTATCATTTAAAATGTCCTTACCTGTCATCAAAAAAGTCAGGCTACTAGAATGTTAATAAATAATTTTTTAACAAATTCTTTTCAACAAACCAGTGAAGAAGTAACTTCCCGTAAAAAATAATTTTCTCTTGATTTTGAATTATAAAAATACAACGATTTTAACAAAAGTTGTTGATTTAATTTAATTGAACTTCCCCAGTCCAGCGTCATTTGGATGGTTCACATTCATTTGTGACTTTATGGCCAAGCGTACTTTATCTGGTCATTTTGAAATTGATAGTGAGTACGGAGTCAAAACTATGCAATGGAAAATTATAAACGAGCTCGCTTTTCCGTGTACGCGAAAAGTATAATAATATTAAAATAGTTCAATTTTTATGATTCAAAAAAAATAAATTATTTGTTAAAACATTTATTTATTTACACGTTGAGTAAACGATCTCTTGGAGCGTAGCTAGAAAAGGTCAAGCAAGGGGTGAACCCCTGCGGCGTTCCGAGCTGAGCTCGTCAATGCAGAGATCCGGCACGCACTCGATCTTTCCTTCCAAGCTTTCCTACCCACGCTTCAAAAGGTCACGTAGTAAATTTATAAATAAATAATTGTGTTAACGAACAATTTACCGTGAAAGTAGCATGAAGAATAATTTTAGTTTTTCTAGCATAAAAATTGGACTACTTTATCAAATTTCATAAGTAATCAAAAAATATTCACGTTTAATTTGAGTAAAAAGTATAAAGAATAATTTGTTGAAAAATGAAATGATCGTCCATTTGTTATCAAGTTGGAAGGGAATAGTTTCAAATACAATTATTTTTTCGTGTTTAATTAGGCAACACAATCCACTAGATCGCATTCTAATCAAACTACAAGTGTTATAAAAATTTTTTATTTTCATCTTATTACGAATGCGACTTTTTTTTCAAATTATAAAAATATCTATTAGAACAGGAGTATCACGAACTAACTAATAAAAAAGCGAATAATTTTGTAAAATTTAATTGATTAAACAGTACTTTTTTCCTTGAGCTGATGAAATCGTTTATTTCTTTTATTCGTTAATTGACGAGTTTTTTTGTTCTAATAGGTATTTTCACAATTTGAAAAACGGTCGTATTTTTGATAAAATGAAAAATCATTATAAGTTTTGATGGTACTCGTAGCTCCAATAGAAAAAATATTATAGCAGATTAAGCAATTAAATTTTTTATTGTCCTAAATTTTTTCAGCTAATTTGCAAAATCTTTGATTCTAATCAATATTTCTTTAATTTGAAAAAAACAGCGTATTTGTTATTAAATAACAAATTATTTTATACATTGCCTGATTTATAACACGAGTAGAAAAACAATTATCGTTGTTTAAACAATTATTTTGTTAACATTTATGAAAAACATCCCACACGACTAAACAACTGCCAGATTTTTATTAAGAAGGTCATAATAAATAAACAACCTTAACTTATTTCATAGGATCTCGAATGGCCTGGAAACCCCCATGGCTCCTAAACTAATACCTGTTAGGCCGTGTTAGGCCGCGCTGTTAGACCTTTCCGTACCAGCCTGCATAATTAATGTTAAATTTTTTTAAATATACCAATCGAATGATTTTAATTTGCTCAATTCACCTATGTTATCAGATTTATTTATCCATTCTTAGCTTCTTCGCAAAAATTAATTTTTCCAACGATTTTAAACATCTCTGTCTTTTGTATTAAATGGAATTTCTGAATGTAGTAAATTGTAAAAAAATTCCAATGAGCTGATTTAATTTGTCTATTTAAGTTTGAAAGTAGTCAATAGGTATTTTATAAAATTGAAAAATTATAATCGACAATAGCATTTCGTGTACGTGCATGCTTAATATAAAGCTAGAATTGGGCTCAATTTGCTTCGTACAGATACATGATTTCATGCAACAATTATTTTGAAATTTGTTTTACTGATCATAAAGATAATGTTTTAATTGAACATACAAAATAAAATAGTTTTTATTATAAAATAGTCTTTATTAAAAACTTAAATATTATTGACACACGGTAGTTTTATATCAAGTAATTAGAGACTTTTTCTATGTAAAAGTCATTTAATATCGAATGTTGGCTCAATACTGAGGTGAAAAATGTAATTGACTGTTTGTCATTATCTTACCAAAGATTTATCTGATAAGACCACATACAACATTTATTTTTATTTTATGAATTAATATCAAATATTTAATTCATTTTTACACCTTCGCGCACGTCTGGCGTTCGATGCCCGATGTCCGATGACTTTTATGTAGAAAGTCCCTTAATTGAAATCTGTTACGAAATATTCTAAACGTTATGAACATTAATTTTTTTTTTTTATATTTAAAAGTATGTATTATTGAACACGTATTATTGCAAATAATCAAATTATTATTTTACAGAAAAAATGTACAACATATATTACATCATTTGTTTGTACATAAATTTTGTTCTATACGAATTCTTTTACACAAACTCAGTAGGAAATAGTATTCTACATTATCAAAATTTATTTTTCATTGTCTTCAGTGCTGGTGTACGTCACGTCCAACTAGCAATAGCATACGAAAGCAAATAATCTTTTATATTTTCAACAAAAAATTGATTGCTTGGAATACTACTCGATCTAATTTAATTAGAATAAGATCGTTCATGTAGAAATAAATGTTGATATTGTTAAATACCATTTCATATTGACTTTGTGTAAAATAATTCATGTCGAAGAAAATTCGTTAGCTTATATCATAAATATAAAAAAAGTCATGCGAAATAATATTTCTCATTACTGATATAAAGAAAATCATGTGTAGAATGTGTAGAATTTTTGAATATAATTACTACTGAAAAAAATTGAAGTACAATCAAATTATGGAATATATTTTGTACATTTTTCCTGTAAAATAATAATTTGGTTATGTGCAATAATATATGTTTAATAATAAATACTTTTAAATATTGAAAACAACATTTAAGTATACATTCAGAACTTGTGGAATATTATGTAACATTTTCAATTAATTACTTGGTATAAAACTACCGTGTGTCAATAATATTTAAGTTTTGAGTAAAGATTATGTTATTTTGAATGTTCAATTAAAACATTATTATACGATCTTTATGATCAGTAAAACAAATTTCAAAATAATAGTTGAATTAAATCATGTATCTGTACAAAGCGAACAGGGCCCGATTCTAGACTTTTATTAAGCATGCGCGTGCATGAAATGCTATTGTCGATTATAATTTTTCAGTTTTATAAAATACCCATTGACTACTTTCAAAGTCAAATCGGCAAATTAAATCAGCTCAGGGGCAATTTTTTACAATTTACTACATTCAGAAATTCCGTTTAATACAAAAGACAGAGATGTTTAAAATCGTTGGAAAAATTAATTTTTGCGAAGAAGCTAAGAATGGGTAAATAAATCTGATAAAAAAAGTGAATAGAGCAAATTGAAATATTTGGATTGGTATAAATTTACTTAATTTAGCATCAATTATATAGGCTGAAATAGGGAAAATCGCTGTTGCAATAAATATAACACAACGAAGCGTCTATCTTCATTGTTAGTTAATCAAACTGAACCAAGGTATATTTACGTATACCAATTGCTCCTAAAAGCTATACACATAATATAGCTTTGTTAGGCGGTAACGATGAGGTCATACTGTAATCGCCTAATAGAACTACGGGCTGTGTTAGGCAACCGCTTGAATGAGCCCCATAAGACCTGTCCTTCTACAAGCGTCTATCTTTGTTGTTACTAGAAATGTAGCGTAAAGTACAATAAAAATGGAATAGCTATGTTATATTTCATTATTTATTGAGTAAATTTAGAAAAATACGATTCGAATGGTTAATTTACGAATAGCTTGTATAGGCGTAGATTTGAAAATTAAGTATCATTTTAAATTTGAACCTCAAAAAACTTTTTTAATACTATTTTTAATCCAAAACAAATTACACTATTGGTTAAATACAATTTGCCAACGTTTTTTCGCACCAAATATCTTTTTTCCTGTTTCAACAAGATTTATTTTTAAAGAAAAAAGCCGAATTCAAATTCATTAGTTTTTTGATTACTTGCAAAAAAACCGAGATAGTTCAATGTATAGACAAAGCATGTGAAAGATATAGTGTCATAGTGACACGGTAGCGACGATTATCAACTTCATTTTTCTAACGATTATTATTAATTTTCTATGCTGCTTACCAAAGTCGCTCGGCAAGCGCAGATGCCCTGGGCCATAGTCGAGGTCCCAGGGAAGCTTGACCCAGCTGTTCGCTCCAAATAGCGGCTTCTCCACCGATTACCAATCGCTGATGTTGCGTTGGATAATCTCGCCAAGGTCGATGATTGTAGACTGTCTGCCAGGTACGATATTCACCACAGGCAGCCTCGCCAGTCTCACGCCATCTACCGAAGCCGCAATCCAGGTACCAAGCGTCAACATGCGACAAAATCACGCGGAAACCATCCTCGAGAAGATCTGGTGTGTCCGGCCAGTTGCTGCCACCCCACGACTGAATTACGTGTACCGATGTATCGAGATATTGATTGGCGTATGGTCGTTTTGTTAAGGGTGAGCTCCAAAGTATTACTGCTTTCGGCGCCTTACCACGATTTGCTCTTATAATTCGCTGGAATGAGTATGTATAAAAAATAATTTGTTATTGATTCTTGTGCTTTATAGTTTCAATAAGGGAAAATTTTACAAATTATTGACAACAATTTTATTCTACTGACAACTGACTATTACATTGATTAATAGTGCAGAACTGTTCAAATTGTATACTTAAAATAAAGGTTACTGTCCTGCAGAAATTCGTAAATAAACTTTTAAGTTTCGAATCAGTTTGAGACTTTGGGTTTTCCGACCACGTGATAATTAAAAAGTTATTACGATCAAAATCAGATACATATTTCAAATGTTATAGGCTTTTAAAAAAGCCAGGCTCGCGCTACTGAGTTTTCAAATAGTCCAAGCTTTCAAACTCATGAACTTTGCACTTTGCATGCAAAATAAAAAAAATGGTTTCATTGGTTCAAATCTTCTTAACTATTCAAGTTCGAAAGCTGTTCCAGTGATTTCTCTCACTGTTACTCAGTGGAAGTTAAATTATACATGTCCATTGAGTATTCCATAAAGTTTAGAAGTTGGGCAAAACTCAATATTTCAAGCTGTAGCCCAGAAGTTAGATGCTTCAAAATTGCGATGGAAGCTCAATGATCGAGCTGATTCGAGCTCAGTTTGGCAGTTTCATAGTGTAACATATACACTGTAACATGATTCACTGGAGTTTTATGAGTTCTTGCATAAGCCTTTTGGGCTTTTGTACAAAAAGATTCTATTACCTGTCACAAAAAGCTAACATTAACTAAGTGACCAAGTAGAAATCGTCTTACCAAGTGGAGCTTCCTCTCAAAATCAGCCCACAGCACATGATAGTCAGTCATATTAAGGGATTGCATGGCTACACTGATATTGCTATATTGAGCCCAACAGTCGAGATTAACTTCATCGCCGCCCATGTGTACGATATCACGAAGTTCCGTGAGATCGAGAAGCTCGCGATACAAGCCCTCGAGAATCTTGTAGGAATTCTCGTTAATAGGATTAAGCTGACCACAATTTGGCTCGCCGCAGTATGCCGACCATGGCTGTTGGTCGACACACAACGCCAGTTCGCCTAAGCCATGCTCGACCCCTGTCGAATGTAAGTTCTTAAATTCAACGGGTCTCATCAATGAAGTAGACACTAATTCTTCTTTTTTTTTCTTTTTTTTCTTTTTTTTTTCTTTTTTCGTAAGCTTACCCCACTGCCATCCAGCTCCGGCATGCGCTGGCGAATCAATCTCTATGAGTACTCTAACGCCGCGTATCCTCGCGTAATTGGCAAGCTCCTTGACGTCGTCAGGTGTGTATACCTCGTCGCCGCTGTAGGCGCCCCATCTCGCCATCTCGGGGAACTGCGCCGAGTCATAGGGGAAACTTTGCGAGTCGGTCAAGTGCCAGTGGAACGTGTTTAGCTTCGAGGCGGACATACCTGTGAGATTGCGCGAAACACCAAAAACAAACAATTAGTTCGTCCGCTTTAATTAACAACGCGTATCGCGTGATAAGCTGCCCTCCGCGCTTCCCCTTTGCGCCGCCGGCTAATTAGAATTCCAGCTTTTGTGCGCTTCGCTATATTGCTTTCTAGATCGTGGCATTCCGCGGTTGTCTTTCCCGACTTTTCCGTTTTCACATTGAATGTCGCGCGCGATCGACCGATTTCGCTATTCGGCAAAGTCGTGTTCTCGTAATAAAATAAAAATTACCATCTATAACACGTTTCAGCTGATCGAGGCTGAAAAATTGCCTGCCAGTGTCAACTAGGAGACCTCGGTAGGCAAAAGCTGGCCTGTCTTCGATCGTCGCTTGCGAGATAATACGCAGGCAACCCTGCTTGCCACAATTTTCATCCCACCATATCATCTGCGAGAGGGTCTCGAGTCCGTGGCGTACGCCGTAATATGATTTGCCAGTTATTCGCACCTGAGAGCAAAATAAGACGTTTAACTCAATTTTTAAAACTTCATTCGAGAGCATTATTAAATCTTGATAGCAATACCTCTAGACGTTTTTCAATAGTAAGTACTTGAAGACGGTAGGACTCTTCGGTGTCTACGTGTAATCGAGCATCCCGAGCATCACCAGCACTTAAGTAAATTATCAAGCTATCCACTGACGAGCGAGTCTTTGAATTTGGTGTTTTTATTAAGTTTCTTATGTGTCCTGGGAAAAAAATATTCGAATTCGAAGTGCACGTTTGAACAATTGGCAAAAACAAGCGTACCTAGAAAAACTTCTTTAGCTTGTTCGAGCATATCCTTGACGTCTTGGCTAGCGGTATTGACAGTGATGAGTTCAAGCTGCTGCCAGTGAAAGATGAGATTGTCGGGTCCAAGATCAACGAGTCCCGTGGGTCGCGGCCACAGTAATCGACCGCTACCTCCACACATGGCAGTGCACGTGGCCAAAGAGATGCGTGAACTTCGTACCGCACGACGCTCGCAGCGACCAGACACACATGCCCATGACCAAGGACTCTGGAATGTTCTGGGACAAACATAGATTTTTGTTAATTTTCATTCCCTGTTATGACTTTTTAACTGCACAGATTACATATTTCGGCAGTAGTTTCTCCATAGTCATTGGTTTATACTGGATGTGGGACACGCATTGTTTTACATCTTGCTGGCATTGATGATAAAGCGAGTTAATGTTTCTTGAACGTCAATTTCTAAAAGCTATGGATATTCAGATCGAAGCATCGATTAATTAAATATTACGAATTAAAAATGTGCAATTTCGAATGCCAGTTGTTCAAACTGTTTGTATAAAAACAGCTTGCCGAATGAGTAGCGAATGAGAGCCTATCAAAATGATTCCGATTGATGATAGGGAACTCGATAATTAGACATGAAAATTGAATGGAACATGTCGCGAAATCTTTTGCAATTCAATAACCCAACCTAAAAGGATATATTATATAATACTGCACTGTACGATGGTTTAGAAAACACACACGGGGGATGCAACTGCATAATAAACAAAACAACTTAAATCTAGCCGAGGCACAAATATAACATACTTTATCGAAGCTTGACAATTTACATTAGCACATATACACTTTAAAAATCGGCAGCTCAGCACTTCTCAATAAACCAAAAAAAAATCAGCTTTTACCCAGCTTCCGATGACAAATGTTCGTAAATGGCATTTTCTGAGATTTTCATATCGTCGTCACCGATAACTAAACTCACTCCACTTCGTCGCACTTCTTCAAAACTGCAAAAAGTAGTATCTCGAATGAATCAAGTGATACGCTCTCAAGTTATATACGCGTAAACGGAAGAAAACAAAAGAAACTTAAAAGAAGTATTAAAAATTGATAAGTTCGTGAGAGAAAAACAACGCCTTATCTAACGTGTCGATCGCCTATACGACGTTGTCAATACAGGGATTTTCAATGTAAGGTCATCGTTCTAATAACATCCTGACAATTATTACGAATGTCCTTGGTCTTCTTTATAATTTGCTTGCAGCACAACATATTAACAGCAATAATAATATCGGTGATAGTAGATAATGTACAATTCCAAATTAAACGTTATTTACCTTCGCACGAGCGCCGATATTAGTAAATATAAAATAAAAGACGAAGAAGTTATCTATCGGTTCGAACGGAACGAGGCAAAAAGGCAAGAATATCCCTTACCTGCGAACGGCAAACGGCTGAAGGGAGCCAAGAGGCGGTGAGTGGGCGAACATGGCAATGAGCAGGACTCCGGTTACCAAGACGAGGAACAGCAGGAGCCGCCTCATCCAGCCGCTAGGCACGCTACCCACCATCCTCGCGAGCCTGCAAGTAGATCAGGTACGTGTGCGGTCAGGCCTTCAACATTATTTCATGCCTATTATATCTCACTGTTTTTTTACGCTGTGGAACACACGTCTCTGTGCACGAATGAATCGTTATTTCATTTGTTCGGTGAATAAAACGAATTAACTGATTGGTTCTTTTTCCACGCGATTAGTTGAAAGAGTGACGCCTGATATTGCCGGTTTTATTCTGATTGTTGGACAATTTGCTGCGCGGCTCTCGTCGATTTAGCGTTTTCGGGTTCTCAACATTTTTGTCTATGACTGCCTTCATTTCGCAAACATAAACAACAACGTTAATTTTTGCTCGTTAAAAATGAACGGCGAAATTTACCATACCACATATTTTAACACTTCTTAGAGTACATGTCGGGAAATTCGTGCTCATTAAAAATTTGTTACTCCGAATGACGTCACTTCAATGCTCTACATAGTCATGAAAAAAACACGTAAATATCAAAGTTACGAATTCGTTTGACTGACGTAGTTGTACGTAACTTTAATGGCAATCAAGCGCCTCTTACGAAACAAAGAACCGCTGTGGAGAAAACTAACGCACAACTAGTAAATGCGTAATCAAATTCAAAATCGAGATACAATTCGATTCCCCTGAGAAACATGCAAAAACACAAAAATAAAAAGAGAAAAATAAAACAACGAAACCCCTGGGATTATCGATTTGTCTCCAAGTTCGCGTGCACAAGGTAATCCAGGTTAGCTGTCGCGCGCGCGATGCTAAATCGCTGGTCTCAGATCAGGCCGTTGAAATTACGCGCTAAAAATAGCCAGGCGAGGGTCATTCTCGCATTAAAAGTAGGTTTACAATTTTCAAAGGGACTTTAGGCCGTCGTCAATGGGGGAACGCCACTCGAGGACGTTGGCGTTGTGTATCGACTTTTTTTTTTGTTTCCGAGGACTCTGAAATTCGGATCCGCGCTTGAAGCACGATAATTGAGCAAGAATTAAAAAAAATGATATGAAGTATGCAGCTCTCTCTTCCTACAGTTTTATAGCTACGCTACGTTATTTGAGCGATAAAGAATATTCTGTCCTTTGCCGAAGAGAGAGAGAGAGAGAGAGAGAGAGAGAGTTGAATTATTTTTGAACAGTTGCCGGTAACAAGCGAATTACGCTATAAATTTTTGATTTGACAAAAATATGCATGGATTTACGTCTAAATGTTCGATCTTGAATCAAAATTGTACATGTTCTGGACATTTTCCATTGACGTCTATATAAAGGATTGTTGGGCTGTCGAGGTTATAATTTGCCAAGCTAGAATGATTTTATGTAGCAAAGCGAGTCCTTTTTTTCCGGAGTAAGGGAAAAGAAAAAAAAAAGGATGATAACGAAGAGAAAAAGCAAACAATGTAGAGTAGACGCCATCAGTCCAAACAGAAACAATAATATTCGTACGCGCGAGATCGGTCATTGTATCGTTCGATAGAGTGCACTGTCCGTTTGGAATGATGGAAGAGTCGAGTGTGACCTTGCAGCGGTAAAAGCTTCGCAACAGTCATCCGATACTCGTGTAAATATTGGGCCTAGCAGATTTCGCGCGACAGAGCGCGAATGGCAAATTGTTCCGTAGGCTGCGACCGATGGATAGTCCTGGGTGCACTCAACCAAAGCGCTCTCATTAGAGTCGAATCAAGCGTCCGGGAATAAAATAAAGTTACATAGTTAGAGAGCCGAGAATCCAGTCAGACTTCGACACTGCATATCTGAGAGATGCTTTTTAAATTCCTCGGTGATTCCGAAAAAGTTAGGCCGGTGCATAATCCGACATTCGAGAAAAGAGAGAAGTTTGAAGAACGATTCGATCGAGCGTGTCGGATAAAGCCACCGCTGGCGGCGAGCTCGCTTGCGTCTTATCGCGTGTATGCGCGCAACAGAAAAATCGGGTTGCCTCGGTGTCAGAGCGCCGCGCTTGTAAAATGCATGAGGGGCGCGCATGTGAATGCAAATGCGAATCGATGTGCGCGCGTGACTTTGATGCATATATCCCTCCTTTGTCGAGAAAACCAGCTGGATTTTCATTTGCAATGGGATTCCCCCCCCCCCCCCCCTACAGATTTTTGCCGCAACATCGACAATTCTCACAGGTGTTACGTCACGGGCAGAGAGTTAGTTTTTACGAAACGTGATGATTAAGCGCTCGCGGAGATTAGCATAAAGCTCCTTTGCTAGCCGGGAACTTTTCATTGCTTTTGATTCATTATGACGCGCAGCACCGTCCCCGCGCGGCAGCTTAATTTTTGATGAAAGTCAATATCCAGCAGCTTCTTTCAATATCGATCCCGCGCAAATTCACTCGTCGGCTAAAAAGGGAAAACGAAGGGAACCGCCATCTCGAGAAATATCCGTGGAAGATTTTTCCGTGACGGAAATTCGAGGAACGAGCGGCGATCATTCGGTGTGCAAAAGGAGACCAAAGGAAAGGGAAGCGGCTCGGTGGAGCTCGGTCGCAATGAATAATTTCGCCCTGAACTGGCGTAAAAAGGCGCTTATTAGCAGCATAGCCTCGATATTTCGCACTGCTCGGCTATGTATTATTGGACGTCGGTCCATTGGCTCTTTGTTCCCTCTGCGACTTTAAAAGTACGTTTAAACATTTCTCACAGTTGTGTATTTGGCTTTTCCGAGAATCGGCTGAACACTTGTGAAAAGCAGGGATTTCTTGCACAATAGTTCCGAGTGCTTGTGCAGTAACAAGTCGACTAGATATTGATCGAGTCTTTGGATGATCGATAACTGTCAGAATAGATCTGACGGCGGACGTGGCATAAGCAAATCCGTTAGCCATACAATGTTTTACGGTAAGGCTGTACACCCCTCGATTACCTCTTTTCGTCTTGTACTACAGCTTTGAATTTACTACTTTGGTATTATTCGACAAGAATGGCGATTACTCAGTTGACGCGAAACGACACAGAGAACTCGATATTGCGTCGTATTTGACAGCCTCTTTCAGGTTGGAAAAATTAGTTAAACTGAATTGTTGGCCAATTCTACGATCACTTGTGTAAGCGAGCGTACTTCGTGAATAATAAATCTTAAAGGAATTAAATAACGTAAGTGCCACTCTATTTCGCGGTAATAAAATACGAGCACAGTCGTTGACACATTTAAGATGTAACAAGAAGTTGCGAGAGCACTTGTCAAATAAAAGGAATTCTCGTACAATATGATCTTGACGTCGCGAACAATGCCGTGCTCAAAAAACTTGAACATTTCGTACCCAACTTGCGCGCAGAAACAAACATCGTATACCTCGAAATTTACACGTTCAATTCTATTACTACGCCCTTCGATGACGCTCGTCTATTTGCTTATTCATATATTTATTTGAAATTTTCCGATTGTAAATACGACAAATGCATCGCGCAAAGTGTCTTCAATGATTGCGATCCTTCGAAACTCATTAGCGATGATTTTAGCGGTGAAAGATCTAACATTTGGAGAATGAAAAAAATACCATAAATCTGTAAATTCAATTTCCCAACAATTCCGATCAATTTGGACTGCGACGAGCAATTTGTAAATTAGCAGTTAATTGGTTTTTTTTTTAATTATTTACAGCTCGGACATTTTCCTCTCTCACTGATTCTGCAGTTGCGCATGCAATTAAAATCCATTTAATCGAAGATCGAGTAATTGGAGAAAGCGATGTAAATAGAACACGAAATATGTTTATTTGATTTCGTCGTAGGATGACAAACAGCGCGTTCACGCAAACGAGATAAATCAAGTCACATACAGTCGATGTAAGTAAATTTTATGTATTGAATCTGAGCTTTCGACTAAAGAAGTTGTTATAAAATGTGTATCAAGAACTGACTTTAGAATTACTCATTATTTTTAATCTTTGCTATATCGCATCGCAGATTATTTTTTCAATTTGATCACGTTGCTTCAAGTAATAGTTTTCACATTCCAAGATATTTTTCGATTATTAAACGTCTCTTTTCGATCGATTTAATAATTATTTTTCAATATTTGGAAATATAAAACTTTTTCTTCACGCACGGTTATTGAAAATCAAATAAATAACATTATATACGAGTTTCATGCATGTTGTAAAAAACTATAAATTAATTAACCGCATATTTTCAAAGAGCAGAATCAAAGAACATCCTACCAGCATCGTGAAAGAAATATTCGTATATGAAAAATTGCTCTAAGGAAGCAATTTGCTTTTATTTCAACCGAGAAAAATGAAATTTCTTTCATTCTGTATTAAAATTTTCATTTCTCAAAAAAAAAAAATGGTTACGTATAGCGTTAGTCAGATGGACTGACACTTGAAAGATAAAAAGAAATATTGCAATGATGGGTTTATTAAATATATTACGGAAGGGAAGATGACTGATAACTCAATGAGTTTGCCAAAAAAAATCTTGTGAAATGAAATGGCTTTTCAAGTAATGAAAACCCCCACATTTTTCGAAAGTAGTCGAGATATATCCAAAACCAGGGAGATAAAGCAACTCTGAAGCCAGATTATACTTTGGTATACAGTGTCGTTCGCGAATCCGCATTTGTTGAGGCCGCCATCAATAAAATGTCCTAAATCAATATTTGATTTCAAATAACAAAACATAATCGAAAGATTATTCGAAAAAACTAACAATATTCACCTCCTAAATTTATGTGCTCTGAATAAATTCAATCCAAACCACGATTACTCGCCTCAACGAGCCACTTCACAAAGCAAATAATTGTTAAAATAACATCAGCCGCCTTTCCCACTACAGCGAATTCCATGATACATGACATCCGAAAATTGCCAACATTAATAAATTTAATTTGAGCATAAAAAAAAAGCCGGCATCGCTCGCGGCTGCGAAGGTAGCCAAAAGATATTCTATAAAAATTGGACAGAGTAAACGACACATTCCACGCCGAGATTACGGGATATTTGAAAATTCTCTGAAGTTAAACACACCAGCGCGCGTAATGCACAAACGTGTGCGAGGTCGATAAATTCTTCGGGTGAGGGGAGGGTCGCGTGCGAGTCACTTTTTCTTTTTTTTTTCCCTTTTGTCTCTGGCGTTAATTTACCTTGTCGACTGGTACGTCTCTCGTCGTCTGGAGTCAGTCGCAGCTGGATTTTTAACGCGTCGACGATTAAAACTGCAGTCTGGTGAGTGCCTCCGGCGCGTATACACGAAGCTTGTTAGCGCGCTTGCGCTTGGTGCTTCGCGTTTTTCGCGCCTTCAAAGTGCCCGGTCCTCCCGCAGGGATCACCGTTGCGTGATGATTTTCTCGTTAAAACCGTCTGCGCCCAGCTCGGTCTTTTTTTCGCCGCTGGAGTAGGCGCGAATTTATGCGCGGCCTTTTTCTCCAATCAGAAATTCTCCGCCTACTCTGGTTAAACTTTATGAAATTCGCCGCTACGAGCTGCACGGAAACGCGTGGAGGGCCACTGAACTTTTATTATGTTTTGTTGTTACGCACGTCAGACTTTCACGATGATGCTTCTTTTCTATACAATCTCGATATAACCTGGGAAAAACACGAAAGCTTGCAAATATAAAAGGCAATCTACATGTGGAAGGAATAATGCAAGAGGTAGACGATGCAGAAAAGAGAAGCGGTGGAGGCCAATATCGCAACGCCAGCACAGCTGCCGAAAGTCTATAGGGAGGAAAAAAATGAATAAAAAAGCTGAGTACTATTAGAAAGAGGCAGCTGCCGTGGCAACGTTGAATTCAATATACTAAGAAATAGAGCTTCCGCCCCCCCCCCCCCCCAGCTCTGTCTGCGGCTGCCGAGAGACATGCGTGTGTACACAGATACACGAAGAAGAAGAGCTGTAGCTACAAGTTTTTTCCTCTCTCCTTGTGATCGTGTTTGTTTTGGGAGGCTTTTCTCGTTTTACGCGCTGACAAGTGTTTCTTACTGAATAATTCATCGAGACGATCCCATCATTAATCTACGAAAAATCTCCTCCCTTCTTTCCCTGCTGTACTACGCCCGAAGTGAAAACGCGTCTTCTTACGCCCGACAATGGTGCCAAAATATGTTTGGCCGCTGAGGGACCGCTTTTTTCCTCTTTTAGTCCTGAAATAAACGATACATCGAAGAAGCAAAGAAAAGTAATAGCAGACTTTTCACCGGTGGAAAGTTCCGTAGAATTCCAGAGTAGCATGATCCGAACATTTATAATGGATCATTTTAATGATTTCTACGATTTGGGAAACGAATTTTAAAAGAACACAGTGTGTATGACAGAAGCAGCACAATTCAAAAAATTAATTATCAAAGCCTTTGCTATCGATTTTTCCAGGAAAAACACGTTCATCGATCATTCAAACTCGATTAACACCCAAAATATGTATATTTCTGTAAATCATTCTTTGAATTTACGAAGTGCAAACATTCGATACACATTCGCGTATTATAACATATCCGATGAGCGCGTTGAAAGAAAAAAAAGAATCCTCGGACATAGATATCTGATGAAAAATTATGCACGTCACTGTTGCGACTTGTAAGTAATGGTGACGAATAAAAAAATAGAAAAAGAGACAGCTCTCTGCCCTCGACAACGAATTTCATCTCTCTATCTCTTCAATCGTATATAACGAAACCGAGAGTGAAGCCTTCGCCCTCTCCTTGCGCAGGTAGAGCGCGCGCGCGCATACCACGTCGCGTAGCCATAGGCAACGTAGAGCCGATGACCATCACACAGTCGCGGCCGCGCCGCACGCCGACTCACATCACTCGCTCTCGCCGTCGGGCGTTTCGCATTAATTTACCAGGGAATACAGTGACTGCGCAATACAGTGACTGTGCTCAATGTAATCATGCCACGACCGATTGCCTTGGATTCTTTTGTGGCGTTTAAAGGTATTCAGGTTTTTCAATTTCCATATTTCAGCGACTTTCGTCTGTTTTTATTTTCTCATGAAGATTTTGCAAATTAGTAAGATCCATGCGCTTGGGAAATATTGCAATACTGACTGAACTGAGGGCGTGATTCGTATCAAATACATTACAATTACACACTATTACATTCGCAATTTGTATATCAAACACGAAAGTTATGGTCGCTTTTAGAAATCGACGACATTCTAATGTAAAACAAAAATGCAACGGTAGTTTCTTTTTCCTCGTGTTCTTTAGCGCTTGCATTTCGAAAATATTTTTTTCGCGCATTATAGGAAAATGACTAGAGAAGCCACGTCACAGTATATATTTATACAGCTTATATACCATGTTTGCTATTAGTTCTGACGTGTTAAAAGAACACCGTACTGATGTGTAGCTAGACGAACGAGTCGGTAGTAATATATTCACTTTCATTAGCGCTCATTTATTTTTTAAATTATAATGTAGATTTGCGTTTACACGTAAACTTTATATCAAATCCATAATGATGAATAAATAAAGTAAAGGGGTTTATTTGTTTCAGATTAAAAAATTTACAATAAATATCTTCGCAAGTCCAATTAATTTGCCTCAATTTACTCATTAACGTATTAATGTCATTTATTTATAGCGAAGCATAGTAAAATGTAATGAATAGTTCGTATTAAGCGCTGCTCATTGATACGCGAAAGGATAAATAAGTGTGAACAATTACGTATTTTAACCCTGTAATGTGCATGTAAATTCGTTTTGACTGACTTCGCGAAAGATAAAAAAAATTCCAATCTTCTCAAGTCTTCTCGCGTAAGCAACTAAAAAAGTGCGGAAAGAGACTGTTTGTATCCTCGATAAGCCAAATCTTTGCGGCCCTCTGTGCGGCAGTGACCCTCTTCATCATGTTTTTCTTACTCACAGTGCTTCATTCGCTCCTGTGTCTAATTTGGCTGTGGAAATTTGCGTTTAAATCGGCTTTCCTCTCTCTCTCTCTCTCTCTTTCTCTTTTTTAACCACAAAAGCTAAGAAACAAAGTGATACGAATCGACCCGACTGTTTATTACGTAAGCAACGTTGCAAGGGTTCGCTTCGATTTCACAAAGCAATTTGCGTTTGAATATTTCTTCTTTCTTCTTTCGTTTAGTCGTTGAAAACAGTGCTTTGCGAAATTGCGTAAATTACGAAATGATTGTTGTTTTAGGAAACAGGATTTGGATGTATTTCATTTTTACAGTGGGAAAACTTTTTTATTGTAAAACCCGAAAAGTGTCAGAATTTGAATTTCAAAATAAATATTTTTATAACTACATTTTTATTGAAAATCCCTGAATTATTGAATTAAAGCATTATCTGTCGCGTTGATTTTTATATATTTCTCGTTCAATTGACATTTACTCGATATTGTTCAAACATAAAAAAAAGTAAAAAAATTTCCGCAAGTTCCGAAGGTAGAAAAATAGCGTTAATGACAGTTTTCATCGACATAAAACTTGATTACCAAAAAGTCAATCAAATAACTAACATTGGTTCAATAGCGTCACATTTCGCATATATAGAATACGATAGAATATTCCGCTGAAACACTCGCAAATAAAAGACGCAAAAATATACGAAAAATTGACTTTTGTATCCACCAGTACATATACCATCAGTATAAGCTTCCATTGAATGGTTACGAGCGAAAAAATAGAAGAAAAATCGCGTCGAATTGTTATAAAAAAAGTACTTCCACGTGTAATTCCCACCTTGAAAAGCAGAATATCGGAACGAAAAAAAAAAAAAAAAACAGCGAGCAAGCTTGAATTCAACGATGCAGTCCCAGGTGTACTCGAAAGCTCTCCTACAAAACAAGCATGGAGAGAGAGAGAGACGCCGGCGTCGCGTCGGCGTCTCGTTGCGTGGCATGAATAATGCAGGCGGTTGTACGCGAAAGAAAGAAAGAGAGAGGGAGAGAGAGAGAGAGTGAGAGAAACAACTCGCGGGGTCGTTACCTCCATCGTCGACGCAACGCCCCGCTGTTGCTGCGTGATGGCATCTTTGCACGATTTGTTGGCGATTTTACCGTTGCTGCTCTTGTCGTGGATGCATTTGATTATTATACATGCTCCCCGCCGTAAAACGCGAATTGAAAGCTCGGATGTATGCGACGCGTACGCTTCCTTTCGGATTGCTCTCTATACGCGCGCGAGAACGGTGAGAAATGAGCTGTTGTTATTGGTAACTCTGACGTTTTTCCATTTGCACGGGCGAGAGTTGAAATGCAATTACGCCCAGAGAAGGACGGGTCAGTCTGGTAACCCCGATTGTTCTTTAGATATATCTATACCGCTTTAGAATCAACGCAACTACCGCGCGAAAGTAGGATGAATGGCCTTTCTATTGTGTGTGAGCGCACTTGTATAAATAGTTACGCGTGCAACTGTAACATTATTAAATTGGCGTACGAGGTGCATTTGGAACGACGCTCGGAAAGAATATCGTGAAAGACGTCGACAGCTCGTCACTTTGCGCGAACCGCGTAGCGTTGTATTAATTACGTAGAGAGGCCGCTGTGGCAACTCGCCGCATTGCCGTCGCGGCGTAGACAATTCCAGTGGAACGTTCGGTGTCTCGGTCGCGGGGAGGCTTGCATCGCGCGCGGTTTCGAAAGGAATTCGGCGTGAAAAGGCCGCGGCAAAGAGCCGCCGGTGCGGACGCGCCGAGCTCGCGCGTTCGCGAGAACACCAGCGCACCAGCAGTGAACGCAGCGACGTCGCGTGCGCGACGACGACAGTGACACTGACACGTGGGGATCGGTCAATAGTGCGAGCGCGCGGCGAGTATGCCAAGTGCCGCCCGGAGTTGAGAGTGTAGAGCCGACTCGAGGACACTACGTATGCAATGCGTATACGTGGAATCGACCCGAACGCCTTGCCGCTCTAATATAAAGAAAGAAAAAAAAGAAACAGCCTACGCGTGCGAGTTTCTCCCCTTCCTCGGCTCTTTAAAAACCGTGCGTACGCGTCGATCGATGCGATGGAAAAATTTATGCCTCCCCTTCAAAGGCGCCAGCACCGAGAACTCAGGAGTGCATTAGTTTTCTGACCTGCCCGCGGAAAAGCACACAATGCGCGTTTTTATTATTCAAGCCCGCGCGGCGTCGACTCGGCCATCCGTTGTTTACGTCCAAACGCAAACAGGCGAACAGCAGAAAGCCCCTTCCGCGCAAACCGCTTGGAAAGAGATGTCGATTCATTAGTCCGGGGTTATTAATCTGATTACCTGACGTCACGAAGCGATAATCGCGCGTCGTGCAGCGACGGAAATAACCACTTTGTGCCTATTTGCGTGGCTGCGGTAAAAATAGATGAGCCGCGGTCGCGGCGGCATCGATGGGAAACCAAATTCCCTCGACGAGCGCACGACGTATCTTACACCTGTGCGCCAGCGCCAAGAATAGACCGGCTAGAGTCTATAATGTGCAATCAAGGATAGTTTTAAATAGTCTGTTATGGGCTTAAGGTCTATAGGGTGAACGACCAGTGTGTCGCAATCTATATGCACTCGGGGCACGGAGCGTATACACAGTGTGGGTGCGCTGAAGAAGAGCCAAAAGAACCACGACTCCGTGCTGAATACCTTTGTAAAGAAATCTGCGTTCGCGTTTGCGCGTGCACCCACCCGCCGACGCCTTATTCTCTCGCGCGATGAAGGATATTGCACGAAATTGTAAGAGCGCGAGTCACGTTTCGGGGCTAACGTCGGGCGAATACCAGCGAGACAAGATATAATCGTAGGGCAGAATGTTCCCCGCGTTAAAAGGAAAATGTCATCCGGTGAGAAATTGGAGCTGCTGCCGGCATCGGGCTCATTCGCCATTTGTCTCCGGTCTAAACATTTTATTACGCCTGAGGCGTACCAGCTCCCCCGGCAGTTTTAAGTGGTACGGCTACGGCTTTGATCGGACTGGAAAGCACAACGGAAATAATTGCCGTGAAGGAACAAGACCTGCTTAAGCGCCGGCTTTTCTCTACCGCTAACAAGACTCGCTAACGATCCTCCGATAGAGACGTTCATAAAGTAGTAGCGATCGGGTAACTCAGATTCGCCGTAGATTTGAAAGTGCTCGCCTCGCTTATTCTTGACGAGAGCCTATAACGTCGCTTCGATAGCGGAGTATCATCATTGCTATATGTCTTTAGACGATCAATGTCTCTGCGTTGGATATAAAAATAGTCACGATTGTACGGGCATACGGAGCACTTTGTAGAAGTAACTTATTCCCGACTCCGTTGAAGGTGATACAATGATATATATTGTTCGCAGATGACTACACGCTGAAATAGCATCTCACCTTTTAATCCTGTCGGTCTTATTAGTTGCCTCATCCAAAATCTTCTGCTTGCGTTCACGACCTGCAATCAGACAAACGATAACATCGGTGAACAACTTTGTCAATTTCAGAGTCATCGTTGAATTGAAGCGACGGACAAAGTGGTCAATCGAAATGAGATTGACACGATCATCGCGATCGGCGCGTGCTTCTCGATGAACGGGAGGACGATCGGCATTTTCGATGAAGCGTCTCGCAGTCATATCGGCGGTGCACACGGCCCAACTGTTGCAGCACGCCAACAACAGTCAGCAAGGCTACAATATGACCGTAGGCGTTGGTCCCGGTGCCGGCAGATCCGCTCGTTACGAGACCGATTTGCACGGCAATGTTAATATTCTGCTCGGAGGGTGAGTTTTACCAATTCAATAAATTGTCCGCATGTAGAGACTGTGAGCTTTTTCGAAGCCCGAAATGACCTCGTTCCTGGGGCCGGCCAAGCGGTGGCAAAAAAAAAAACAAAAAAAAAAAAAAAAAAACAAACATGTATATTTTGATAGCGGCGCCGATGAGAAAGCACTTTGCATAATTTATGCCCGACGAAAAGTGCACTCGTTATCTCCTGCCATCATTTCCGAAAATAGATTGGCCGGATGCATTTTTCATGATGCGAACAACTCGCACGCGTGGCGCGGTCCAGATATAAGAGACGCCGAGGAAAACGAAGCTCGGAGGAGGTGCGAAATAAAAGCTCTTTGAAGTGCGTGTCAATCCCGTATATTTGTCGGAGCTTTCATTTGAGGATTTTGCGCGCGCGGCGTCGTAATGAAATGCATGTTTGTCCTGGAAAACGGCGCGCTCAAGAATATTTCACACTCTCTAAATGAATTTTATCCATTAACCTCGCTCTCAATCCTGAAACGATCGCAAATGTATTTAACGGGGAAACGAGTAAGCAAGCGAAAGCGATAAATTCTTTGAAACATTCTTGAAGCCGTAAATTTTTCCGGGCACAGCGTATAATGAATTGAATACGGCGATCGTATGAAAGGCGACCCGCGCGCGTGCCACGCTCTCATCTCGACCGCCTTTCCATTTGAATATGCGATTATTCGACACGATCTTCGCGTTGCATTATAATCGGGGCGGCTACGAAATCTCATATATGAAATGTTCTTTTCGCGTTGCGCCGTCAGATTTTTCAAAGTAAGAAGATTCATTTATTCGAAAATTGTATCTATTAAAACTGCGTTTTATTCGCCAAATTGCTTTGAATAGATAATTGAGCCGTTCGGCTTGATGTTTTCTTTTCTCATCAATAATAACTTATACTTGACGAAACTTTTCCACGCGGCAACTTTGAAGACACTTGAAATATTATACCAAAGCAGGTAAAGCCGATCCTTACAGAAAATATCTCTTATCGAGTTTATGATAAAGTTCTTTGGAGATTCATTAGCAAGTTACAAAAAAATTTTTTGAAGCTGCTCGAGTAAAAGCCTTATAAGGAATTCTCAGAATTTACATCTTTCACATTTGTTTCTATTTAAAACATAACCCATCCTTAAATATTTTTTAAGAAGTAACGAAGTTAACGTTTTTAATGGTCCAAACAAATTCAGACGTTCTAACGATTTGCAAAAGTTCACTCGACATCGATTGCGCTCTTTTTCGAATAAACTGACTGGAGCCTCGGCATAAAAGAAACCGACCTCCTACCATTCCCCGGGGTGCGATTCACGTGTATAGCGGTGACACAAAGGAGCTTACGACAAATTAAGGTGGCGATTGCTTTGTAAAAAGTGAAAAAAAAAAAGAACAGTTGATCGTTTTCAAAACAAAAGCCATGCAGATTTCAAGATAAATAACTGATGGGAAAAGTTGTGCGCATACTGTCGAAAAATTATTAATCCCTTTTTTATCTCGAAATAAAATAGTCTTCAAGTGTAAATACATTTGCCCTGTTTGAACAAAAATTTAATGCTTCCAAAGCGATATTCGTACAAATTTTGTTTTCACCGCAAGAATCCACGTAAAAAATTTACAGGAGCCATTTCAACATTCGCAGTTCTTATCATCAAATGTCAAATGTATTTTTGCATTATAAAAACTTTAGTCGTTTTCGCGAAACAAGGGCATTGCCTCGTAATTCCGAAGTTTCTTTATCAACAAAGGCAATACGTTAGCGAGATTGATAAAAGGAAAAAAATGCTCGGGTTATCGTAAACGAACAGCTATTATCAGACTCTGCGCGGGCCAGGTCACGTTACAGACCAGGTTCTACGTCATTTGGAGAGTCAGCGAATGGAATGGGTACTTTGAGGGCCAAACCGTGTTATTAGAGACGTGCGTGCTGGAGTGAGATTGGAAAAAATTTATGGACAACTAATTGAGTCTCGTAAAGCATTAATCTACAGGTCATTGATTCCAAATGTCCTATATTATTTACTGAATACTCCATAAGATAGAACGATGAAAACAGCAAATATCCCGTGATTTTTCCAATGTTTCTAGGGGACAGGTCTATCTAAGACAGAATGGAAAATATACGTAACGACAAGCATCGAACCTTCAATAGCTGCTTGTAGCATACGTGTCAGCTGGATACACAGTGAAATGTAGATAATTGAAATGCCGAAAATCGGGGGCGCGTCGCGAGAGACAACGTTGTCGCTGCCGCCGCGTCGTTGATCGTGGAGGGTATACATCGATACGACGAGAGGATCGCGAGGAGCGATTGGTATTTTGTGCGTTATGTGTCCACACAATTGGCTTCCGCTCGGTCGCGTAACGTTGCGCCGCCGCAAGCTCGGATAGTTTTCGTGCGTTGGAATTTATTTATTTTTGCGCCTGATTACACTCGCTGCTACGTCTACGGGTTGGGTTGGGTTTGAGGTTTACGCTTAGCTCGAATTCGTGGAATTTTCGAAATTCGATTGCGTTCGCTTTGCCTTCCCTAGTTGATAAGCAGCTTTGCAGTCTTGAAATTGGAAATGTTTACAACTCAATTTCGTCAATTCAAAATGAATCCATCGACGTAAATACTTTATCGCCAATTTCTTTTTCAAACAATGATAATTCGCGTTTCGAATGCACCTCTTTTGCTATTTCCTAGCGAAATACCGATACATTTCCGCATTTTATTCACTCAAACAATTCCAAATAAATATCTATTTCGAGACGTTGCGCGGAATATGAATTCAAGCAAAAGAGATCATCAATTTGTCGAACCCGCAACCATAAACAAATTCATCTATCGGATTAAAAATCTCTCAAATAAATCTCTTAAAAAAAGGTCGACTCAGTCAGCGTATCAAACACCCTCGCGTGGCGACAAAATAATAAACCGCAGCCTTCGGCCTGTCCCTCTTCCGAAATAAAAATGAAAGATAGAAGGGTGGCATATTGGAAATATTTCTTTCCAAAATTCGCAGACTATTTACGAACGGCGCTCCGGATTTTAATAACGAAAAATATTAGTCGCCCCTTCATCGTAAAAAAAAAATTGTTCAGACGTCCGATACTTTTTAATAACCGTCTGTTGTATATATTGTACACAGTGCAATGCTGGGTGGTGTGATCGTAGTGGTGTTTCTGGTCTGCTACTGCTGCCATAAAAACATGAGGAAGCACCGGCCACACGAATACTCGCAATACTGGCGTCCCGAATCTGACGTACACAGTCTCGAGGTCTTCACTATGGACTCGCACGCTATGGTAATAATCATTATTGGCTATCACTGATGACCCTATTTTTCCGACGATACAAGTATTTTATAAGGTTTTTAATCTTGAGGGAATTCTAAGGGAAGGGAACAAAAACTATTTTTCAAAGTTATCTTTCTAATTACAAAAGTACTTTAGATATTAAGTGTTAGTATTTATCACTAAAAAAGAAAAGTCAATCGATCATATTAATTTATAGATTCGGCTTCACGTTTAATTTGTACTGCGGTCAATTAACAATTAAGTAGTAAGAAGAAATCGCATACTACTAACCAACAATATTTACTCAAAACGATAATGACGTTTCCAAACAATTATTATAAATTTTATTTGATTACAACGTTGAGTCAACGTCTCAAAGCGTATAATTTATCAATGCAAATAGCTCGTTCGTCGAATTCATGACCCGCAATATCCCGATCAAACATTCATAAAAACCTTCGACGCGTTCAGCGACTACATTGTCATCGAATCATCCTATCAATCGAAGTAATGATTAAACATTGATGCCGACAGTGCTACGAGAGGAACGCAATGTCGTTGAACCATTTGGATGAACTGCCAACGTCCGTGACAGCGACGACTCTAACATCTCTACCTGCTCGTCGGCCGTCGACTCCAGGACCACCACCAGCTTATGAAAGTCTAATCTTTAAACCTTACATGACATCCCCATCGGACAAGAAACCCGATTTCAGTTCGTGTATATTACCGGTGCCCATAGACTTGGAAAGAGGTATGCATCAGCATCGCCATCATCACCAGCATCATTGTCGATCACTCGGCAAGGACGAAGAGGATCATTCGAGCAGACACGTGATTGATCACGACGAAGGATTGCCATCATACGAAGCCGCACTTAAATTGGAAGCACAAGGTTACGTCTGAATTGAAAGATATCACGGGAGACTGTGATAGGTTTATATGTACTTGGACTCTGATTGTTAAGTGCTACATATGTAGGCATTGAGTGATTTCTGCAGGATGAACCGCTTGACAGTGTCTTGTGATACAGTGAATTGACGTCAAAAAGTGCGCCGAAGATGTATTACTGTAGGATTGTTTGTTCGTAAAGTTACACATTAGTTCGACCGATATCGAGAAGCAGTTGTTTGTATCCAAAGACTTGATTTTATTGAAGATTGTTCAGTTGATTGTGTTACTTTTAGTATAAATGTACATATGTAAACAGATAACGTAAAAATAAGAATCGTCGCATGTAGCAATGAGCTTTTCAATATAACAATGTATTGTTCAACACCAAGATTTTTTATATTACGCGCATTTATCAGCAACTTAAGATGAATCATAAAGTATTATAGCTTGATTGTAATTGAACTTTCATTTCGTTTTGTTACAATTATGGCCAAAGCTCTCAATGTCTTATGAGAAACGTCTGTATTTTTGTATAATACATCATTAATAATTTTTCTGTGAAATCTTTGTTCTCAAGGATGCGCTCCTTTTTACTTTTTTGACTCTGAATAAACTGTCTTGAGGAATTATAAAGCTTACTTTTTTAACGTCGTTAATTCATAAGTGTTAACGCACAGTGCACAACTTTCAACAATTCAGCTTTACTTTTGTTAATCGTAAAATCATAATCATGGTTGTAATAAACCAAAAGGAATAAATTTACATTTGGAAATTGAATTTTGCAGTATTAATATTTAAATATTATAATTTAAAAAGAGAGATGCCTTAAAACTTAAAAGTTACTAAAGATTAAATATAGAAAAATTATTGTATCCCGCCTAGCAGCTAAGTAGAAATTTCTTTTACCGACCAAGCTGCTCGTGTGGTTTTCCTTTGCAGTATTAGCGCAAGGCGATAAAAAGCAGTGGTAAAACATCGATGGAGCGCCTCAAGCAGTAAAACTGGAAAAGCTCGGCCTGTAGTTTTTCCAGGGATAAAGTAGAAATCTGTACGTCGCTCCATAACAAATAATGAAATTTTTATTTTTTTCGACTGCACCGTAGATCGATAGTTTATTAACTCGTATAACAGAGTCAATTGAAATCCATTCAAGTCAGTCCGAAAATTTGAATCAAACGGCTGGTATTGGCACAACACCGCTTACTGATGTCTAGATTTACAAAGCAGTAATTAACACTTTATTTGACAACTGGTGAAATTTAAATTTATCACCAAATTCATTCAAAATATCAAAGTAAGCCATTAAAATGACACAATGGTCGTCTATAGATACAATGAGGTACCGTGATTGACGGACGGTAAACTCATTGTTCCGTAACCGCGTAAATGCTCAAACTAAATGTTTCCAGCTACCATTGGAAGTGCTCTGCAAGCAATTATCTCACCAAGTAAACACTTTACACTGAAACTCGTTTTTTCCTACTTTCCCGTAAATGAATTGAAATTCGCTGAGCGTAGATACATACAATGCAAACTTGTGAACATTTCAATTCTATGTCCTTTACGAAATGTGTATTCTTTCTTATCTTTATGTTAGCTTTAGTGATCGTTTATGCTATCGTTTCTTTTCTTCTCTTTTTTTTTTTGAAAGGATGTAGAATTTTTAAAATTATTATACTATAATTAGCGGGATGAATGGTAACTTAATGAATTTTTATGGAATTTCATTGATAAAAATGATAATTTTATCACGTTGACATTCGAGCCGTGCAGAGTATATAATTGCTCGTGAAGCGGAAATGGAAAAAGGTATATATATATGTATAAAAATAAGAAAATCAATTAACTTTAAATAAAAACTATATATATTTGTGTAAAAATACGAACACTGACAATTTAAAAATAAATTATCGATGTTGCTCGCAAATGACTAAAACACGATCAAGATACAAATGATGTTACAGTACATCTCGCCAATATAATCCATAAACGGAAAACCGTTATCAAGGCTGAGTACTAACGGTATATTCGTCGATTACAGTCTATCTCTCTCTTGGTAAAGAGCAGTTCCTGGGAGAAAAAATGGTACATGGTAAAAGAGGTACAACAAAATAGAGCAGCAGGGAGACGCGAGGATAGAAGCCGTTCTGTATACGTTCTATAGTAGCCAACAATAGAGTCACGCGATATAGGTATATACTCCTTTCTCTCCTTTCGCGACGTCGTAATTGTGCTTGGCGTCGCGGCTCCTGGGCGCCAACTCCTCACACACTCTTATACGAGCAGGACTTTACATGTCGTCGTCGACTCATGGGGATTTCTAACGATTTTACCAAGATGCCAGACGAATTGCAACGAAGAACACGAACATGTAGGACTTCTTCTCCCGAGTTTTACGCTGCATTTATTCGACAATTTCTTTTTCTTTTCCAATCGTTTTCGAGACCGTTTTCAAGAAAACGATTCGCAATAGTATAGAATTGCAATGCAGGACGTTCCGGAGAAAATTTATGCCAACGCGAAAATGAGTAAAATGTAAGAGATACATTTCGTTGAAAGTAGCACGAAAACTATTTCCTTCGTAATTAAAGAAAACACTTATACAACTTCTTGTTTGGTGAGAGTTTCCAACAGATATTTTCTTGTAATTATTTCTCAAAAGTTGCAATATTCTCACGCTGGCACGGCTGTTATTTCGAAAGCTACCGAATACTTTCCGAACAAGTATTTTTCACGCGTATATGGCAGAGAACGCCTCGGAGCAAGATTGGATTGCACGATCAAATTTCAATCGCAAAGTATAAAATTGGAAGGATGTTTTAACTATGACAAACGAACATCTCATAGCGCAACGCAACTGGTACTTAGGGCCAAGCGAAGCCATACTTGAAATAAAATAAAAAAGTTCCGAATCAGTGGGAGTTTCGTTTGCCAAACGGATATACAAGCAGAGCGTAGCCAAGGAGAAGCATCTCCATTTGTAACTTGTCGGACGTGAGATGGAAACAGAAACTCGAGTAGAATCAAGGATGAATTGACTTGGAAACGAGTTGTAACTGCAGGCGCGTCTGCCTAAATTATCGCGCCGCAGCGGCAATTTTCATCGATGCCCGAGCGCGCCAATCAATCGGGGAGGCGAATTCCGCGGGCAAAACGCTGCTGTGCAATTGAAAGATGAGAATCGTCTGATAAGCCGCTAATTGGCTGCTAGTTTACTTCGTGCCCCCGTGTGATTACCGGCTATAACGACACGCGTAATAATTCATGAAGATATTTTTTGGTCTCGAGGAGGAGCTTATAGCGTACCCTCTACAAGAGAAAATTGCATATAACTGTAGGTATATCCGACGTCAACTCGTAATTCCTTGCAACGTGCTTTATTTTTCATGATGTAATCTGCTATTTATTTATAGATCCTGCGATGCTCTTTTTTTCGTCGTTCAATTATTTCCAGATTTTTTAATGGAGGCTTCTCGTGGTTGATCAATAAGTGGGATGTTACTCAATTACCGCTGGCTGCTACGTAGATTTTCAATCGATGCATTTCCAGTAATATCAAACTTCATTGTTCGCCGGAAATTGCGTGCAAGCAAAGTGATCTCGAAGCTGATTATAATTACGGGTTGGCGCATATTCGCGTCCGCGAATTTTTTCACAATTTTCCTTTTCCATTGGTACAAGAACAAATCTCTTTTTAAAGTTCAACAAACGCAAAGTTACGGCTAATGTTTTAGTATTAAAAGTTGATATTAATGGACCTGCAGTACGTTATCGCCCAAGTTTTTGACGAGTGGCAAACGCAGTGTTACTCTTTCACGATCCTAACGCCATCAATATACCGATATAAAAGTACACTCGTAGAATATCCTTTAAAAATTTCACATACATTCGACCTCAATAGCGACAAATAAATTTTAAATAAGAAAAAATATGAGAGCAGCGCGCAGCGATTTGTCCTGATCGTTGCTGCATTTTAATCCTCACGTACGACTCGTCCCTCGGCGAGAGAGAGAGAGAGAGAGAGAGAGAGAGAGAGAGAGAGAGAGAGAGAGAGAGAGAGAGAGAGAGAGAGAGAGAGAGAGAGAGAGAGAGAAGATCGGTCTTCGCGCGCGACGATAAAATGATAAAGGAAGAGAAAGGGCGGAAAGTCGAGTAACCGTCGCTGAATTGAAATGTCAGGCAAAAGTTGTTCCTTTCGTTTCTTTTCCGAAGAACAAAAAAAAGAAAAACCGAGCAATGTCGTACTGCACAAGCGAGCGAGCTTAGATTGAAGTCTGACGAAGCGTTATGCGCGCACACGCGGAACACGGTCAAAGATGAGAAAAGGAAATTTCTTTTCATGCCTCGCAGTCGACTTATTTAGCTGCGGCAGACGTAAGAAAATTTTCCTGGCTGTGCTCCAATGCGATATTTCAGCTGTTACGCTATGAGGTAGGCGGTAAGGATAATAAAGAGGGAATAAAATAAGTTGGCGCATGATAACTTCGCGGCAGACACGTTCTGGAACATAAGGACTTGGCGTCTTTATCAGTCGTTCGTGTTTGATCAATTCACTGCGACGCGGGCGACGCCGACATTTTCGCGAGCAAAATTATTGCTGCCAGTCTGTACTCCTGCGTCTTCCTTGCGCGTATGAGCATTGTGGCTCAAGATTTATTTTGCGCGCAATTCATTCGCGTCGGAAAGTGTGTTTGTTTCCCCGACAGCCCAAATAAAGTTCGACGTTGACATTTATATTCTATCTCTAGCCGCCGCGCGATATTGCTGCATTTTCCATTTTCGCAGGACTAAAATAGAAAATCGATTTCGTTCCAGCAGTACTCTTATCACCGATGGAGTTAAATTTAATGTTACTGCACTCAACGTCGCCGCAAGTCCCATTTTTTACTCCTTAATCTAAGAAATTGCCAATTGACGATTCCAGCGACAGCAAACGTAGACCATCGAAAGCTGACACGATTGCCGCTATGTATCTCGTGTGAAACTGCGAGCTGCGCATTTATATCGGTACGCGTTCATTTCCTAATTGCTCGTATAGCAGGTCGCGCGCGCACGACTGGAATTTGATCGAAAGCGCGACGAGAGTCCTCGTATAAATCGAGCTCGTCACGACCGGGGCCCAAAGAGCTTTGGCGAACGTGAGCAACTTAATGAGCTGTCGGCGCGCGAGAGCGGGGCGATGTTTTAACGAACGACTGTCAGCCCAGCCTCGGTCGCGCCTGCTCTCTTCGCGCCCGCAGGCTTTCAGAGGAGAGACGTTTCCGAGCTGTCGAGTAGCGCCGCGAGAGGCTTAGGCCTGCCGAGCTTTAATTGCTTTGGCTGGCTCGTCTAGCCACGATTTGTATTTTCAGCCGCGAGATTGCGTCGCTGCGTGTATACTTCGCCGTGCGCGCAACTGCAATTTTGCCCCGTGTGTCCGCGCTGCGCACGGCCGCCGATCGCCTCTGCAAACTTATCGCGCACGGTTTGCAGGCGCGGTAAATGGATCGTAACGAGTGGCTATTAATTAAGCTAAGTGGCGCACGCGAACGAGCAACGCTCGTCCGCCATGGCAAATGACATCATGCGCGAGTGGGGCAAGACGTTGCGCCGACAATTTGTTCCTCCAACGAGATTAATTGTTTTCTACGAGTTATCTTGCTCGACGAGCGCTCGCTGCGTAGCATCGATCAACTGCTTCGGATAGGTGCACA